AATTTTAATCTCATTTTTCCTAAGAACAAGGTTAAGAACAAGGTAAAGATGGTCTCACAGAAAGGTTCTTAACTAATAGTATAATCTTAATTCTTAAGCATAAGTAATACGGCCATTAAGTAAAATGGGCCTAAACTATGGTTATTTTTGGGCTTCAACCACTTCACAAAGATGATCATCCTCCTATATTTTAAATCTAATGAAAGTTGTAACAAATTCTCAAACAATTTTTTTTTTTTTGCAAAACCTAATTACCGTGAATTAATATATCCAACCTCAAACATTCTCGCAAATATTGAATTATTGTTTCAATACAAAAAAACCCATAATTTATGAAATAAACCAAATTTCACTATGTAACAAAATGACGTACCTAATCATTGTTGCTGAGAGAGAGACACTTGAACGAATGAAGACAATTTCGATTATTGAAAACTTGTTTAGTAGTATATTAAGATTTTAGTCATTTGCATCTAACCAAATATTGCGACATATTACCTATATCACTGCATTTTAAATCACACGTACTCACATAGGACATATATTTTATAATTTTATATAATGCTAGTTAATTATATACATATATTTGAAATATTCAAGATAGACATGCTCATTTTATGTTAAATGCCTTTAATATTTTTTTTTTTTGATAAACCCTAAATGCCTTTAATATTGATAAGACAAATTAAATGATATAATTATAATTGACTAAAATTTTAGGAAATTATACAAGTTATACAGTAGTACTTGTTAAAAGTTATACTTATAATTAATCAGTTTTATAATATTTTAAAATTATGCGTAGTAAAATAAGAATATTTCATATATACTGAGTACTGACTGCTACCATGTCTAGTTGTAGCTACACAAGTTCTTGAATTTGAATTAATAAGCATATAGATTGTACAAGTATCAACTATTCTAATTTGCCAACCCTAATTTGTGCACGATAATACGGCAATAACAGTGTCCATAATCAATGTTAACACAGAATCTCACAAAAAAAAGTTGTATTTTATAATTTAGAAGAAAAAAAAAAGTAACTCATCTGTAAAAATTAGCAGAGGGCGGCAGTGTAACTGGACCTGTCTTTGGTGTTTGGTAGGATTCCGGTGCCCGGTACAAAGTGGCCGAAGCTAGGCCCACACTATTTGACCGTACGTCACTTGATTGTTTCTCTAACGACTTTGATTCTTTTACTCGTTATTTTTTCTTTTGTGAATATTTGAAATGTGATCGGTTGCTTCCAAATGCAAAAGTCTCGAGCAAAGAAAGTCTTCCGTTTATTATAAACCACACAAATGGCTTTTAAGCAAGAAAAATATCTAAGAGGAAGATCAATTTTGTTATGTGTAGAGATTATCATTTGTATATAACTTTATGTATTGATACTGTTGCACGTAAAGATAATATTTGACCTTCAACTAGAAATATATTTATTAAATTTGATTTGTTTTTTTTAATCTCCAATGCTAATTGCGATGTACAATTTGTTGTTGTTGTAACTTGTAATACTAAAATTTATTCGATTTTATTTGCGGATGAGTTAGAGAATTCACGAGTATGATGAATTTTCTGATTTATTGCAAGTTTCATGTTAGTATTTCAAGAAAAAAGAATATGGTCCTTGCGACGGCTATGCACATATGTTGACATATATATGATTGTAGGAATTGGATATTTTCTACTTATTTTTTTCCATTTCAACTTATCGTTGTCACTAATCAAAGCTATTCTTAAACGGTCTATTTTGAAACCAAACAATTTTGTATTATATTCTATTTAATATACGACTATTATCGCTACATATTATTTTTGATTACACCAATTAGAATTACAATTACCAATAAAAATGCATGGTGATTCCAGAGGTATGCACTGGATGGCTTGGAACAAATTGTGCAATAGCAAATCGGAAGGGGGTTTAGGATTTCGGAATGTTGACGATTTTAATTCAGCTTTACTTGCAAAACAATTATGGCGGTTGATCACGGTTCCAGATTCTCTTTTCGCAAAGGTGTTTAAAGGACGATATTTTAGGAAATCCAATCCTTTGGAAAATATAAAATCATATTCTCCATCATATGGATGGCGGAGTATATGTTCAGCTAGATCTCTGGTTAATAAAGGACTTATTAAAAGAGTCGGATCTGGGACATCCATCTCGGTTTGGGAGGATCCCTGGATTCCAGCTCAATTCCCGAGACCAGCAAAAAGTAATGGTTCAGTAGCTGACCCATCTTTAAAAGTTAACGATCTTATAGATCGTCGGACGAACTTTTGGAATATTGATCTCTTTAAAGCGATCTTTGATCCAGAAGATGTCGCGCTAATAAGCGCCATACACGTGGGTGCGCCAACAAAGGAAGATTCTTTGGGTTGGCATTTTACAAAATCCGGAAAATATACAGTCAAATCGGGATATCATACCACTCGGTTAGAAAAGCTGGAGACCAATTTAACCTTTTTTGGCCCTGATATCAACCCGTTAAAAGCACATTCTTGGCAAGTGCACTGTCCACCTAAGATACGCCACTTCTTGTGGCAAATCTTAACAGGTTGTGTACCGGTTACAGAAAATTTGCGGAGAAGAGGAATTGATTGTGACACGGGCTGTGCCAGATGTGGCGCACCTGAGGAAACGATCAATCATACCCTCTTTCAGTGTCATCCGGCACGACAGATTTGGGCGCTTTCACAGATTCCTACGGCTATTGGGATTTTTCCCACAGAATCTAATTTTGCGAATTTGGATCACTTATTTTGGAGAATACCTTCAGAATTTGATTCGTCAGCCTTCCCGTGGATTATCTGGTATATTTGGAAAGTAAGGAACGAAAAAATCTTTGAAAACATAGATACAGACCCAATAGAGGTATTACGATTAGCGGAAAAAGAGGCACAATTGTGGCAATCAGCTCAAATTGAGCTCCATAATGAAAATCATGGTTATGTGGATTTGGTAAATCGAATTCGAGTGAGGGATGTTTCACTTGAATCGAATTATTCCGGATACCGTTGTTTTGTGGATGGATCATGGAAAGAAAGTGACAAGTTCTCCGGTACAGGGTGGTTCTGTACATCGTCAAATGGAGAGCCGCCAACCATGGGAGCTGCGAACCTCCGTAGAAGTCTATCTCCACTACATGCCGAAGTCGAGGCCCTTCTCTGGGCGATGAAGTGTATGATTGGTGCAGATAATCAAGAGGTAGCGTTCTTTACAGACTGTTCAGACCTGGTGAAGATGGTGTCTTCCCCAACCGAATGGCCGGCGTTTTCAGTGTACTTGGAGGAATTTCAGAGCGACAAGGAGGAGTTTTCATCTTTTTCTTTATCTTTAATTTCTCGTAGGGCTAATGTTAAAGCGGATAATCTGGCACGAAAAGTTCGTACAGAACCGCTTCATATCACCTATGTAAACAACATTTCTCAGGAATGGCTCTTTTGAGCTTTAATTAATTTCGGATGACAAAAAAAAAAAAAAAAAAAATGCATATTTTCGACTGTTCACCATACACCGCCAGCTAATTATTCTAAAACATTCAATTCATTGACTAAAATATCGTCATTATTTTGTTGACTCAATTTGTTGCTGTTCCTCTAATTTTGTTCACTAGTTTTCAACTAGGACAAAACAACTACTCGGTCAGTTAGTGAACGAATGAATATGCATGTGTGGGGTTTATTGCTTGATATGGATATAGAAGATGACCACAATTTTTTAAAAAAAAAACGAAGAAAAATAACTTTATTTCCTTACCAAAACGTGTCTAGATGTAATTCTGACATAACCAGAACTTGTATAACGCATTTAACAATCACTTCCGAAAAAACAAAAAACAAAATTCAGGAAAGATGATAAAATTGTAAAAGACAGACTGTAATGGCGTCTACTGAGACAATGACTCAATCTGTCTTAAACCGGAAAGTTGACTCGTTAGCCATCTTGGTTAATCTTTATTAATTTTTCCATTTTATTCTCTCATTTTCTCTCCAAGTAGTAACTTTCTTTTGCTCAAAGAAAGAAAATCTGAAAACGCACCCCTAAGTTTATCTTAATTTTTTATTAGTGCCTCTATTTTTCTAATGTGTAAACAATGAGACTCACTTTCTTTTTAGTTGATATGAAGATTTGATGATATCATATGCTTCTAGACTTCTAGTTAAGGTTTTTGTAAAAAGTGTCATACTACTTTTTGTATTTTTTTTTCTCAAAAAGAAAAAAATAATAATTTAAAAACGGATTCAAATTTATACTAAATAATCTGTTTCAAAAATGTAGAATTTTCTTTAAAAATTTTGACTAGCAAGATCTGATTTGATATGTTTTCTATTTATCAACTTTTACCCTTTTGGTCAATTTTATTTTGAAACTTTTTTGTTTATAGACAAATTTATGTAATTTTATTTAATTAGTCATAGCATTTATTATTCTTATTTTTATTATAACAAAATAAATATTATAAATTCCTTATTCAGACTACACATATACACCAAAAATTGTCATTAAAACCCCAATTTATTTTGTTTTAATAATAAAGATGAGATCATGCAATTAAAGACCAAGACAAAACAAAATGTGCCACGCTGGCAATACAAATTTTGTCGTGGTGTTAAAGAAAAACACAAAAAAGTTCAGGGACTTACTTGCAATGTTGAAAGTTTACCGGTAAAAAAGAGAGCAAGAAAACGTAAAAAAAAAAGAAGAAGGAGAAGAAGAACGCTTATATGGAGAAAAAAACGTGTCACGAAGTGGCGAATCACGCGACGAGTCTCTTCCTTCTTCTTCTTCTTCTTCATGCGTTTTCTCCTTCCTTCTTAAAAGCTCCCTTCTTCCTCCTCTTTTACCAATACATACACATCTATTTACTCTCTTCTCTCTCTTCTTCAAGTTTCTCGAAGAGAGTGAAGAAGAATTAGAGAAGAATTTGGTTTTAATTATTCTTTGATTACCCTTTTTTCTGGGGGGTTTCGTGATAATACCGTTATGAGTCACTTTACATGTGTTTGATCAATTCCTCTGAATAATTCACTTTCTGGGTTTCTTTTGATCTTTCTCTCACCAAAGACAGAAAAAATGAAGGAGGAACAAACAAGATCTCTGTTTGGAATATCTTTGTCTGATAAACCAACTTGGCAACAGTTTCTCATTTGCACTTCTGGTTTCTTTTTTGGTTATCTCGTTAATGGAGTCTGCGAGGTTCGTTTCCAAAATTCTCTCTTTTTTTTTTCGAATTCTGAAACAGAATCGATCAACGTTAATGTTTTTGTTTGTTTCTTGTAATAATTCCACATACCCTGCTTCTGATTCTCGCAAATTTTTGATTTTGTTGCATTTTAAATCTTTTGCATGCTAAGTGTTTGATGTTTTGTTTCTGAGAACACAAAAAACAGAGGAAGCAGAAAAATTGCATGACGAACAATTTTCAAAGTTGTAATTATTGAAATCACAAGAAAAGTTTTGATCTTTGTAAAGAAAAACAGATTTTAGAGAATGTAATTGGATCTACAATTACTGATATATGATCATTGACTTGATTTGTTTTCTTTGATTTTGCAGGAATATGTTTATAATCGTCTCCAGTTTAGGTAAAAGTCAACTTTTGATTACTCTTTAAGTTTTAGATTTTAAGCAAGAAAATTAACTATGGGATTTGCTCTGTCTTTGTAGCTTTGGTTGGTATTTCACGTTTATACAAGGATTTGTCTACTTGTTTCTAATCTATCTTCAAGGCTTTACCACAAAGCATATCGTTAATCCGATGAGGACTTATGTCAAACTCTCTGCTGTTCTCATGGGATCACATGGTTTAACCAAAGGATCTTTGGCTTATCTCAATTATCCAGCTCAAATCATGTTTAAATCCACCAAGGTAAAAGATCCACAATTCTCAATGAGTTTAATGTGTGTAGAGAATGATCGAAATGACGATCTTTCGGGTGTTTTAGGTGTTACCGGTGATGATAATGGGAGCGTTTATACCCGGTCTCAGAAGAAAATACCCTGTCCATGAATACATTTCAGCTTTCTTGCTGGTTCTTGGTTTGATACTATTCACATTAGCCGATGCGCAAATGTCTCCGAATTTCAGCATGATTGGGATTATGATGATAACCGGTGCATTGATCATGGATGCTTTCTTGGGTAATCTGCAAGAAGCTATCTTCACAATGAATCCTGAGACAACTCAGGTAAGGAACCCAAAATAAACCCGGTTCTTTTTGGTTTTCCTTTACCGTTCTGTTTTGTTTCGTGTCTGAGATTCTTGTAATGTGTATTGTGCAGATGGAGATGCTTTTCTGCTCAACTGTTGTTGGATTACCGTTCTTGTTCGTTCCCATGGTCTTAACCGGAGAGGTTTTTCGTGCGTGGACTGCGTGTGCACAAGTAAGTAAACAACCTCTGTTTCTTTTTTTTCTGGTTTGAGTTTTGGTCAACCTTTAACCAACAAGTTAACCCCTTTCGGTTTTCGGTTTATACTATACACCATTTATGACATAGTTCATTGAAGTGAAAGTGACAAAGATTGGACCTTGTATTGTGGACTTTGAACGTTCTTGTTTTAGATCTGACTCGGTTTATGATTCAAACCGGAGTTAGGCTCGGTTTAGAGAAAAAGTCAAAAATTGTAGGATTCTTGGTACCGTCGAAATGAAATTATTGACCGACGACGTGCTTCTGAATCTGCCAAACTTTTTAAAAGCCAAATTGTCTTTTAAATTCATTGATTCCATAACTTAAGTACCAACGTGGAATATTTTATAGTCAAACGGTTTAACGATCCGGTGGTTGACATATATTTAAAATCAATTGTTCTTTGTTTATATTTGCAGCATCCGTATGTGTATGGGGTGCTTGTATTTGAAGCCATGGCCACATTTATCGGTCAAGTCTCTGTTCTATCGCTCATTGCCCTCTTTGGAGCCGCCACAACCGCCTTGGTAAATCTCTAGTCTTATCTGTGAACGCTCACTTGCATTTTGAATGAATCTATATTCTAAAATCACGGTTAAAAATTGTTTTGTGTAGATAACAACGGCTAGGAAAGGGGTTACGCTGTTGCTATCGTATTTGATATTTACAAAGCCGTTGACGGAACAGCATGGATCAGGCTTGCTGTTGATAGCAATGGGGATTGTATTGAAGATGGTTCCGATGGATAGTAAAGCTCCGACCAAGATTCCAACGAGACCAGCTGTTAGGATCGCAGGAGGGGATGGTGATAGAGAAGAGGAAGAAGAAAGGAAGTCACTGGTTTGAGAATATAATGTGCCATATATTTATATATATTTCATCTCACAAATTCAAAAGGGTTTATAGAATAATGTTGGGTGAAGGAAAAACAAAAACAAATAGAGTTAAAAGTTGTTTCAGAGACTTGTTATTAGATTCTAAAGTAAACTCACAAAAGACTGAGCTGTTAAATTGTTAACTATGATATGATTTATTTGTCATCACTCTCAGAAGAAAGCATTATTCATCTCAAAGCCTATTCATAAAGCTGGAAACGCTACAGACTATATTCTAAAAGAGGAAAGGATCAGTGATGAAACTGATTCTACCTAAGATGCTCCATTTTCTTTCTCTGATCTACGAATAACAAAATGATCTACGATTTTTACAGTGTTGACAGGATCCTGCTGCAATGTTGTTGCACACCATTTGCTTGGAAACCTTCTGTGATGACTCATTTTCACACTCGATCTCGGCTCTGCATCCCAGTCCTTGTCCAGCTTCCATTCCTTTGGCACCTGGACTCACTCATCACATACACTCCTCTGGTTAATTCCATAATCAAAGCCTTTTTCTTTTGTCATTTTAACCTCAAGAGTTCTTTTCTCACCTTGTCTACTCCGAGGGTGAAGACTTCAAGGTCTCCATCAGGCTTGATGTGGAAACGGGTGAATGATTTGTAATTGGCGATCCGAAGTGAAGAGAATGCTTCATCAAAATGTATGTGAAGCCAGTTGATGGATATATATAAGTAACTTCCAAAAACCAAAGATACAACAGGAGTTGAGAAGACCCAGAAGTAGAGGAAGACAGAAGCATAATAGATGGCTGCTCCGCTTCGAGAAAGCGACTCCATTCCTTCTCGACAAATGTTAGTCCGTGTAACCGCCATCACCTAATGTTAAATAATTTACTTTCGGCTGAAAAATAGATTTCTATTTCACCTAAAACAAAGGCTAAGTTGATGAACTACGTTACCTCGGGAATATCAAATGCTGACATAAGATACTTGATGCAGGCAGGATAAAATCCGAACGTCCACTGTTCAATACGGTCTCGGAGGCCAGTAGGGTCCGGAAAGTGTTCGTTTTCTACTGATTTGTACCACTGATACAATGTATGATACCCTGTGTAGTAAAGAGTTTCAAAATCCATTGAGGTTTGATCACAAATGCAAAAAAAGATCAATTTAGGTAGGATCACTCTTTTTATCCATTAGTGTCAATGACATTGTAATGAGAAAAGCCACAACATTCTATGGAAAGGAAACTGACCGGAGGTCGCAAGGAGCTTATGCTGAATACAGATTTCTATGCCGAGTTCCAACAGCAACATAAGAATCAAAGCAGCCGTAAGGTGTGCAGAAACATGAAGAATTCCAATTAACAGTCGTTTCCTCCGAGATATTTTTGAGGGTACAAACATAATTGCAGTTATTAGCAACATAAGAACACCGGTGAAAGACACATATGACTGCTCTACTACGTACACAAAGGAGCTCCAAACTGTGCCAAAGAAACTCCCCAGGTGGCCAGAAAATGAATCACCTCGTAAGATATGGCCTAGCTTACACTGAAACCAACAAGGAATGAAGATATAGACCTTCTCGTGAGTCTAAGTGAGCATAAAAATGGTTCGCACAGGAAAACACTACTACAGATGTGCAAGACCTGTCTCATTTTTACCATTTAATAGTGGATGCTGACAATGTGTACCATTTTAAAAGAAAAGTCTAAATGACCAATTCAAGCAGCATTGCTGACAAAATAAATATAAAATGGAAAAACAAGAAACAGTTCATATGAAAAGGGAGTTTGAGAAAGTCAAAGATGTGTAAAACCGCACCTGAGGGAACAAGGAAAAGACCAAGAGAAAGTATATGATGCCACCAATGAAATCAAATTGCCAGTTCTTTTTCCTGAACTTTAAAATATTTCCCAAAGCAATCTGCAAATAACAGCAAACAACGTAAAATATCAGAAAGCAAAGAAAACAAGGCAAATCAGTGATCGTGGATAAGAGATCCAAGAAACAAGAAAAAGTTTACCCTGCTTGAATCATCAAACGAAGGATAAGCAGATTTACTTTCATAAGAAGCACCATAAAACTTTGAAAAGCTGCGGAACACGTGGGTGGGATGCAAAAAAGCCCCTCCACAGCCATTAACAAGGAGATGTGGGACATGAACAGGTCCATCTGATTGAGTACATGAATGACGCATATAATGATGCAAATCTCCTGCCATTCTAAGTTTACACCTGCCTTTCAAAAAGTCGTATATCAGGTGCCTCATGTTCTTCCCAGTATCGTCTTTCCAATACCAATCAAGAAGCCAGTTCGGCTCATGTGTGATAATGATCACTGCATCATTCTCCCCAACCTAAATGAAAAGATAAAAACATTCATCAAGCAACAAATTAAAATTCAATGTTATCAAACAGAAGACACCAGCTCTAATATGGTCGTTTCACAAACCAAAGAAAAACCCAAAACCAATATCACAGAACATCATAAGTTGTGAACAAAAGAACAAAAGAGCTCGAGTAGATGGGAAGTAGTATATTTTGTATAGCATTCTGCAGAATCTATTTAGCCGGAGAAAGAAAGATGATGCTGAAATCTACCTTCTCCTTCACTAATTCAGAAAAGAAATTGAACTGGTACACATCAATATCACCATGAAGCGCCAGATCCAATCCAAACACCCACCATCCTTTAGGTAGCTGCAGGGCAAAATAGCTTTTCTTCTGGGGCATAAACCAGCCACCCAACCAGCTTTTATGGCATACATACCTCATGAAAGTATTTAGTCCATCGAACCAGTCTAAAAAGTTCAATAATAACATTACAATTAGAAGCAATACCAAGAAACACCAAGTATGCATGTAGTTATGTGAAACATATTACTAGAAAGAGAAATGAAGTTGAGAGCTGAAACCCACCATGGTTTCCAGGGATAAGAAAGCATTGAGGACCATCATAATGCTTCAGATCAGACACCCCATCAGGTAATTCAGGCTTGTTAACAGAAATTGAATCCGTTTTATACCAATGAGGAGGTTGGAGCGCATACTCAAAAGGACAAAATAGACGTTTTTCATATGTAAACGCTGATGGATTAGGGTATCTGCAATATATCAGAGTAAGACATCCATTCTGTTACATTCAGACCTGACAAAAAACAGAGAATATTGAAATCACAGGTAGTATACAAGAATCTTACGCAAGGTCTCCCCCAATAAGCAGTATGTTACCCCTTTCTAGAGATATAGAATCATTCTCTAGCGGGACTTTGATAAAAGGCTGAGCTAGAAGTTTCGCGACAGAATATGATGAATTCCCACCATCACCAGTATCCGCCATGAAGTCAAACCAGAAGTCAGTCTTATCAGTTAAATGATCATATAAAAGTTCCTTGCTCTTGTTTCCATCACAATCTTTGGTCATTGCAGCCTACAGATTTAAGAATGGGGAAGATTACAGAAAAGCAATATAATAAGCAAATCAAAACGCGGAAAGATAAAAAGATCTGATCCTATCACATAACTATAAGAAATAGTATACCTGCATCATTCGCATGTCAAAGCGGCCAAGAAAGACAGTCACTGATACGAGGAGGTCAAACACAGTTTTAAACAAATCAGCTGAAGTTCTGTAATAGATTATCAGACAGATTAGATTGTGCCCAAATATCCTACTTTAAATATGTATTGCTTCGAAGAAGACATTGGTAGATGCTAATATATGTAAAAAGAAAAAAGATCAGTTTGCATAGACGTACCCTGAATACCAAGGAACCATATCTAAGAAATTAGGTTTCATTTGTTGCCTCTTCAACTTCTCATAATTTTCGACAGACAGAGGATGTGCCAGAGCCCACCTAACCGTACAAAGAAAATTTCATAAAACAGTAATTATTCTGTATGTGTTGATCATTTTAGTTACAATATTCACTTAACAAAAACTATGCCACTTACCCTGTTGATCTCTCCACTACATAATTAGCAATGTAAAGGCCAATAAACGTTGCCCACAACGAGTATATAGGAGAAATTTCATCAGATGAATCAGGACAAGACCCATTGCATGCCAACTGCAGATTATAAGGTAGGAATACAACAGAGAGTGGTCAAATAAGAACGTACACAATAAACTAGAATAATATATTATATAACAGAAGCCAGACCTCCCCATAAATGACCCATTTGGACAATAGTGGATAATCACGTGCAGATCCAACAGGAGCAAACCATGATGAGCAGACTTGGTCTCTTAGCTCATCAATGTGAGTAAATTTCGCAAGCCAAGTACTGTTTCCATCTTCTCCTTTCCATAATGAAAAACGGCTAGCATGCCTTCTTTCGAGGGGTGTTTGCCTCTGAAAAGCACGATTACCACAATGGCTGTAGAAAATACAGCATGATATGCTAAGAACCTACAAAAGATAAAGGACATGGAAATTTGATTTTTATTTGAAAACAATGTTTTTAAAGCAAGTGACCTTGATCTACAAGATTGGGGATAGCATACTTACAGCACAACTTTGAAGAATGGTTAAAATCTCTGGGCGTCTTCCAGCCACACGAGAAACAAGACCAATATACCAAAGCCCAAGAAAAATAATGTGAAAGACAAGAAGGAAGACTATGGATGATATGTAAATTGTTAGAAACAAGGACAAATTCATCCTCAAATCCAAACCCATTGACTGAAAACTTGGGAGATGGTACAAAGCTGCAACTAAAATCCAAGCAATGTACCTACACAACAAAACAAACCTTCAAAGTGTTAAATTTTCTTGGATACACACTTGATGGAAGACGGAATAAAAGGATTCACTTACCACCGACTGAAGGTTGAGTAGCTTGGTCGGATAGTCTTTCTGATGAATGGAGATGAAAAGAAATAGAAAAATCCAAGCAAGCAGGCATACATGGACCACCACTTGAAATTATTGTCCAACTTTTCTACGAGGCTGTGCACGTTCTCCGACGAAACAAAGAACATGCAACCCAAAATCACAGCAATCATAGCATGACGTGAGTGCTCATGCGGATACGGGTAAGTATGGGTTAGAATCGTTCTGACCCTCTCCATCTTGAGGTTATGTAGAAAACGAGCAGAATGCTTATCAGACCCCATAGCTCGAGGTTCTTGTAGTCCTTACAACTCTTGAAGACAGTTCAAATCTTGACAGTACTAAGAATGGTTAGCAGAATAACTTCAGCATCCCGGTTTCAAATTCCGCAGACAGAAAAGAAAACCTTGTGCCTAGAGAAAGACCAAAGCAAGAAAGGATTACATTCAGAACAGTGTGGTCTCATAGTGGAACATCATTCATGAAAAAAATGACATTGTACTTCTAACAACAGAGTCAGATCAGCTATTTAACGCATAACTCGATCCTCAGCAAGTTTGGTAAAAATAATTTAGTGTTGTATTTGTTCATCAACCTCAAGCTACTACATTTACAACATAATTCATCTAATCTCTGTCTTTTCAACTATATGACTCATCATAATTCATCACTTTGAAAAACCATTAACAAGACTAACATATATATTAAATGGTATTGATTTTCCTCACAATTCTTAAATGCCAAAAAAATCTACAATTGCATCTTCACACTCGCACAGGCCCTACCTAAACTTCGTCAACTGTAAAAATATCTCTGAACTTCTCAATAAACAATTTTTTTTTTCTTATTGCAAATTAACAATAGTTAATTTCGTATCATCTATAAATGAGAATTGATTCACTCACTAAATTTAATCATACAAATGTCAACAATAACGTTGAGGATATGAGAAATAGGATACAAAACTTCAAAAGCGCACCTTCAAAACCGGCAAAAGCTCGGGTATTTATGGGATTGGAATTCTCCGATTGAATCAGTCGGAAAAAATGGAAAATGATCACATCCTAACCATCACCGGAACCCTAGAAGAAATACATTTTTCGAAAAATGGTAATCATTGATTGATTCTGGTGGGTGAGTCAAAGCGGATAATGTGGTTTTGAAATGAGAAGCACCAATTTTTTCGGAGAGAGATAAATCACCATTTTCTAAATCAAATGAGGGAGAGATAGAGAGGTATCAATCTCTTGATTCCAGAATCTTTTTATTCTCGAATAAAAAAATATTAATATATAGGAACCTTTCGAACTTTGAAGATTTTTTTAGTCATTCATTACTTTAAAACATATACTCCATGTAAACATGAGAATGAGACAAATTCATTCAGTAAAATTATCAATTAAGAACGATACTATAGAAGTATAGAACTAAATCTCTCAAGGGTTTATGAAACCATTCTTTTTAATTTTACATATATGATGAATATATTCAAGGAATTATGTACTTCGTGAATCGTGACTATTAACTACACCCGTTGCTATACGAACCAGAGAACGCAAGGCCTTTGTATCAATCACATTTTATACTGTCAAACGCGTTTGATCACATAATTGTTCGAATTCGAATCCAATATAGGTGTGAATTCTTGAGAAAAATGCAAATCAACTCAACTGCATATGTCTTTTGGGTTGTGAACATTAATGCCATGCACCCACCACATGTGTGTCTTTTCTCTAAATTTAGTTTTGCTCTTGCATTTCGTACTATATATTTATATGGACAACAAAGATCTTGCATGTTGTTTGTGTGAAGATCACATAAAGTCTTTGACACTTGTTGCTGGCACATGGGAACTTGATTTTTGAGGTTTATAGGTCACAGTTAGTTTTATAATGGAGGCAAGGGTCAAGGGACCACGTTTCACCCTGGTGCATACAAGAACGACCACATGAAAACCAATGGCACATATAATTCTAAGAAATTGTTAAAATAAAGTAGTAATCAGAGATGTTCTTCTTTCTTTTTTGCCACTTATAACAAAAATGTAAGAGATGTCTAAGAATGACGACATCGACTGATGGATAACAAGAAACTTATGGACCATGGTCCATGCATGGTTTATGAATGGATGTCTATATGAGTGCCTTAGTGGGGATTAGAAAAGGTATATTGCTTGAAAAGATTTTGTTTTTCTTTAAGAATGGACCAAATAATATCAAGAATACGGGCCGATTGGTAACGAATGTTAATTTTCACTCTGGAAGAAAAAAATTATGAATAAAAAAAAAATTCATTTATTAACAGTTGAATAAGACTTATATAGCTATATATCTTTTTTTTTTCTTTTTGTAAAGCTAATTTTCAAATTTGTCTATCTTCTTCAATATGTGATACTATTTTTTTTGCCAAAATTCATTATGTTGATTCAGTTTTATATCCTGTAATAAAGAATGAGATTTTTATTTTATTTGCCGTCATGAAAAATGATTTTTCAACAGAAAATCACTGTTACCAAGATAATAAGAAAAAAAAAAGGAATATAGAGGGTCCGACAAATGAAGATAGACCCCACAAAACAGTGATGCAGCAAACTCTTATCTTCCACCTCTTCCTGTTATAAACCGTATATAAAAATCTTTGAACGTGATTACACAGAGCCACTCTCTGATATTTTCCTTTTTGGTTTCTTCTCCAATTTTGTTTCTTTTCTCACCGAATCCCAATTCGGCTCTCATTAAACCATTTTTTTAGTGTGTATCTGAGTTTAGAGGAAGCCGCCCCAAAAAAATTACGATTTTGCGACATAGAAATATCTGGACTCTCTCTCTCTCTGGGAACTTTTGAGGTAATATTACTGTATCTTTGTTCACAGAGGTTGCTAAAGATTCAATCTTTAGTTCACGAAGGTTTTTCTCTGTTCTTTTTGATGTTTACGAGGGCGATTTCACTCATTTCTTTCTCCATGGGGAGTTATTGATGATTTCTAGTATATGCATAGCTTCTGAAATTCAAATTTTCGTGATTTCATTCCGAAATTATTCTATAGCTTCTTTGATTTTTCGCCGAGAAATGGTGGGAAAGTTCATTGAAACTTAACGCCCGAATTCATTTCATGAACTAAAGATTGAATCTTTGGTTCTTTGATTTATCAGAATCTGAATTCATCAAGAACTAGGAGAAGAACGTATATTAGACTGTTTTAACGTTTCAATTAAGTAAATGTTGTGTCTTATGTGTAGTTTCGACTCTTTAGCTGAAACAGAGAATCTCGTTGACCAAATCAACACATAACACTCATGAATCATACTTATTGATATATCACACACACATATATCAATCAAGCTCGAATCTTTTTTCTTTTAACAACATGTTTCAGTGTAAAATTTAGTGTTACTTCATAGTTCTGCAAGTTCATTGATATAGAAAGGTGGAAGACTTTTTCTGGTAGTCCTTTCTACAACAAGTTTTGTGTATGTGATCAAAGAATCTCTGACTCTTCTCTGTGACTTTCTTTCAATGTAGAAGATGGTAGCCTTCGGGAAAAAGCTCAAGGAACGGAGCATTCAAGAATGGCAAGGGTAATTTTTTCGATATACTTTTCGAAAACTCGTAAAAATGTTTGTCCTAATGTGAATCGTGACTGCATGTAGATATTACATCAATTACAAATTGATGAAGAAGAAAGTGAAGCAATATAGTCGCCAATTAGAAGGCGGGAATCTTGAGCGCCGTCATGTTCTTAAAGATTTCTCAAGGATGCTAGATAACCAGGTAACAAATTTTAGTGTCTTTGAAGACAAAAGTGTAGGGCTTTATAAAAGGCTAATTTGAAAATGAATGCATACTAGATCGAGAAAATCGCTCTTTTCATGTTGGAGCAACAAGGATTGCTTGCAAGTAGGCTACAGAGACTAAGGGGATCGCACGATGCTCTCCAAGAGCAGCCGGACATATCTCATATGTCTAATCTAAAGGAGGAGTATAGAGCTGTTGGCCAAGATCTTCTCAAGCTTCTGTATTTTGTAGAGATGAATGCTATTGGTATCCGTAAGATACTGAAGAAATTCGATAAACGGTTTGGTTATCGATTCACAAACTATTATGTCAAGACTCGAGCGAACCATCCTTACTCTGAACTTCAGCAAGTCTTTAGACATGTGGTAAGTAAATGTCTTAAGATGAAACAAATGACTATGTATCTCTCTTTTTCCAAGCTTAAAGTTGATCATAATGTTGATCTATAGGGCCTTGGAGCTGTTGTTGGAGCTGTATCTCGCAACCTTCATGAGCTTCAAAACAATCAAGGAAGCTACCTATCGATTTATGATCAGCCCGTTCTTCCTCTTCAAGATCCTGTCGTGGACTCAATTAGAGCGGCAGTGGATAGGCTGACGCGGTCAACAAACTTTCTACACTTCATGGCTCAGCACGCGCTTATAATGCAAGAAGAGTTACCAAGTCCGCAAGATGAGGAAAGGGAAGAAGAAGATGGGAGATATCACTTCATGTCTCTCTTGTTGAATTTGGTCAACACATTTCTGTATATGGTCAATACATATATCATTGTCCCTACAGCAGATGACTATTCCATGAGCCTCGGTGCAGCAGCAACGGTGTGCGGTGTTGTGATTGGTGCTATGGCTGTAGCTCAGCTCTTCTCTTCGGTTTACTTTAGTGCCTGGTCCAATAGATCCTACTTCAAACCACTCATATTCAGTAGCATTGTCCTCTTCATTGGGAACTTGTTATATGCATTAGCTTTCGACTTCAATTCAATAGCGATTCTCTTGATTGGCCGACTTTTCTGTGGGTAAGTCTCTTTAGACTTCAAAATGCTCATATTATCGATGGATTACTTTTTATTCTTACCATACTGTATTTTTCAGATTTGGATCGGCAAGAGCAGTGAACCGGAGATATATAAGCGACTGTGTACCGTTAAAGATCAGGATGCAGGCTTCTGCGGGTTTTGTTAGTGCAAGTGCTTTAGGAATGGCGTGTGGTCCTGCGCTTGCTGGTCTATTGCAAATCAGATTCAAGATCTATAAACTTACATTTAACCAAGATACATTGCCTGGTTGGGTTATGGCTGTGGCTTGGCTTATATACTTGGTATGGTTAGCTATATCGTTTCGTGAGCCTGCACGTGAGCCTGAGGGGCCTCCTAAGACTTCAGAAGAGTCTAATCACTCTGGTATGTCTATTTCCCGAATCATTCTCTTTGGTAGATGGGTAGAAGTTATCGATATCTGATTGTAGCGGTTTGTGTTTGGTTTTGAGTGATAGAAGCTGTTCAAAATGTGAATCTGGAGAAAGGTATGAAACAACCATTGCTGATTACATCAGAAGAGATAGAAGAACAGGGTGAAGATGAATGTGATGGAAGCGAAGAATCTTCCGAGGATTCCCGTACACCTGCAAACTCCATTGTAGCTGCTTATAGATTACTCACACCTTCAGTTAAGGTAAACAAGAAACCCAAAGTTTACTTCTGAGAAACTGAAAACGTAATTTTGTGGTTTTGATGATCGATTTGATTGGTTTTTCAGGTTCAACTATTGATATACTTCATGCTCAAGTATGCAATGGAGATTCTTCTCTCTGAATCTAGTGTCATCACCACTTACTACTTTGGTTGGTCCACGAGCTCAGTTGCGATCTTCTTGTTTTGTCTCGGTCTCACGGTTCTTCCCGTTAACCTCGTCGTTGGAAGCTACATAAGCAACATGTTTGAAGACCGGTAAGTTTCTCTGTTTTAGATTTCTTTTCCTTGACGTTTCCCTCAAGTCATAAACTTTATTGTCACAGGCAAATTCTCTTGGTATCGGAGATTATGGTCTGTGTAGGGATACTTCTCAGCTTCCATGTCGTTGTTCCCTACACTGTGCCACAATACGTTTGCTCAGGACTCATCATGTTTGTTTCTGCAGAAGTTCTTGAAGGTCAACAAAAGATTGATATTACTTAAATTGACCAAAACTTTTATTTAGCTCAATGTAACCCGAAAATCGGAACTTTTGACTGTTTTGTAGGTGTTAATCTATCGTTACTCTCGAGAGTTATGTCGTCGAGGCTATCGAGAGGAACTTATAACGGAGGTTTGCTATCGACGGAGGCTGGCACGATCGCACGTGTGATTGCTGACGCGACGATTACCGTCGCCGGATACTTTGGACGGAATATGCTTTTGAATGTTACTCTACTTCCGTCTCTAGTCATTTGTGTTTTGTCCATTGTAGCTACTTGTTTTACTTATAACTCCTTGTATTAGTACTCTTTTTACAAATTTTACCCCATAATAACCAAATCGTTTCAATTAGTTTTAACCGGCGGATATTTTCTTTTGGTTTTCTGTTTTGACCGTTAATCTCCCGCCTAAATAGTTTTGTTTTTTTTTTTTTTGGTGAGAGCCTAAATAGTTTTGTTTATTTCCTGATACAAATTCATAAAGCTCTTTTATGTCATGCAATTGTTTGTTATGTGGTAATCATTAAGTCAACGAGGTTGATATAAAACCCAAATTGAATATATATTTATTTTAAATAGTCATCAACAGAATTTTTTTTTTTTTTTTTTACTTGTTTTCTTTTCAACTACTTCAGTTTTTTTGCGACTTCACTTCTAAATAAGTTCACAAATTAAACACAATCTATACCAAAATGAGCAAAACGAAACTCTAAAATAAAATAAAATAAAATAAAATAAACACAATCTTCTAAATTAGCATTACAAAGAAAATCAGAACCAAAAGGTAGATGTCAATTATAAAATAAAATAGGGAACTTTGACTAAAAACTTTTAGTGTCACACATCAAAAGACCATTTGCCTGCTCTTTAGGCAAAATTAATACAAATTGGTCACAAGACATTATTGCGCTATGTACCTCGGCTCCTACTTTCCTCCCACTCTTTTTTTTTTTTTGTCATCTGAAATTTGATTAATTAAACTTGTTGTGGAATCAAGGAGAATTACAAATGCCCAAACAAGGAAAACTAAATCGGTCAAAATTAATTTATTTTGTCTTTGATATTTCATCATATCAGCTAATTTCCGTATTTTGATGATTTTTTCTAAGAAATATCATATTCTGAAAGGTAAGAAAACTGTTTTTTTTCAGAAATTTCTTCGCTTTCTACTTTTTTTTTCTTGGTTTTTCTGTTTATTTTGTTGTGATCATAGTGGATGCCACACGGATAATAATAACGCCAAAAACATATAAATCATTATAAACTTGTGATTTGGTTCGTTGAAAATGAAAGTCGCCACTAGCAATTGTTTTCTTTATCACTTTTTGTTATTTTTGATATCATATTTTTTTAAAAGATATACTACTTTATACATAGATAGACTAGTCTCCACACAATTTTGTCTCATGATTCATAATTTTAAGTCTCCATACATAGTTGACCAAAATATACATATATATGTCTACGTAACAATAATTAAGGATATAGCTAGCATGTGTTGTTTAAGATTGATTGTTCAAACTTGATTACGATAACGATCACATCCTCAGAGTGGCTGGTGTTCTCCTCCTTCCTGAACTCTTTTATGTCTCTGAAAATATGTAACCGGAAGTTTCAAAGTTTTCTTATCCGAATCATGAACAAGTTGGTTTAGTTAAGCAACATTCAATTGTACAATCTGTTAGTAGATTCAAATTTCATAAACTTGATTTATTATTATGCAACCATAAATCTTGATATATGATGTGACATATATTGCTTTAAAGATGTGACATATTTGTTCATTATCGTAAGACTTTTGTTTCCCTAAGTCACTTTTTGTTTCTTATCAATAATATGCAATGCAATATGAAAATTTAATTGTTTTAATCCAAATGAAAATGCAAAACTAACACAAACCACTAGTATATATATACAATTATTTATTTTTTTTTTTTTTTTTTTTTTTTTTTTTTTAAATATATATATACAAATTTTAGTTATCTTTTCTATAGTTAATCAAACACTATATAAAAAAGCAATTTGTACCACCCAACATAGACACACCGATGGTAGTGGAGTCAGGAGTGGATGATATATACGTGGACACGTAAAATATGCATAATCGCACTCGCACACACATACATTAGATCGTGATAAGTGTAAAGACATTAATGATTAAAGTGTAATGTAAACACGATATGAGGAAAATATATTTGACCAAGTCCAAAGCGCGTCGCCTTCCAAGTTCTACTTCTACGTGCATGAAAAAATTGCCATCCACTTTCTCATCAACATAGTCCCATTTAACATAAATAAATAGAACTTTCTGTTACAAGATTGTAACTCAATCATCGTTTCCTGATTATTCATATTTAAATGTATTATTAATACGGTAATTAAACGAGCATAATATTTGACTGCGTGTTGTAACTAAATTCGTATCGTCATCACTCCGATATCATAAACAAATGGGCAAGAAAGAGAACAAAATTAGGGCAAGAAATCTTCTCCGGTGGACCCTATTACCTAGATATAATTTTAGTGGTCAAAATATTTTACAATTCTCATCTCGACTACTAATCAAATCTATATATAATAGCAATCTAATAACTACCATTTGCACATCTGAACGGTTGCGTCTTTTTATCGCAACTTTTCGTTAATGTTTTTATTAATTAAAATATATATTTTACGGTTATGTTTTTTTAATATAAATTGCATTCTGAATGTTTTCTACGGTTGCGTTTTTAATGAAACACAACATAAACAGTTGAAACCGCTTATTCGAATCATTGCAATATTTAGTTTATTTTACGAACAATTGCAACCTTTGGTTTATATATTTAGTTTATTTCACGAACAATTGCAATTTTTGGTTTATTTTATAAATAGCTATAACATTTAATTATCTACCGCCGCGTCTCTCGGTGTAACTTTTCATAAATTATTATTTTAATTCTTAATTTTTAATTACTAAAATATATTTAAATGAGATTGTAACTATTTAATTGAACTATTTCAACATTTGGATTATTTGACGAATTATTGCAACTTTTGGTTTTGTATTACCAACCATTGTTATCTTTAGTATATTTGATGAACTATTGCAACATTTGGTATAATTGACGAACTGTTGCAGTTTTTGGAATATTTGATATCTACGGTTGCGTTTCTCGGATAAGTTCGTCATATTTTTAAAAAATATTTAAATACTAAAATATATTTAAATAAATTGTTGTTACCGTTTAATTTAACACAATAGCATTTGGTTTATTTGACGTTGAACGTTTTGGCTTATTTATCAAACCATTGTAATATTTGGTGTATTAGTTTATGCTTTTTGCACTTGGGAATAGTTTTTTAGTTATAAATTATTGTTTCTCTAATATTAATATACTTAATAAATGCTTGTGAGGGTTTTCTTTATCATAATTTTTGTAAAATATATATTGATTTGTTATTAAAAAATTCAAAATTATTACAATTCATTATGATTTTTTCGTTTGATATTTTTTTAAATGATTTTTGAAATATATTCTCCCGCGACATCGCGGGGGTCCTGAGTCCTAGTTGAAATAATATATAAGACCGATAAAATAGAGAAGTCAACTCTATTCAACCAACAACGTGAGCCTATAATATTCTTTCCATACATTATTGTTATTTTTTAAAAATATACAATTGACTACTATTCATCAACGAAATTGAAGTCTAAAAAAAAATTGGGTTCAACTATTGAAGAGAAGCAAAATTTGGTATGTGTTCCTTTTCCTTCTAAAACAACAACTTTTCTTTTGATTGACCATTCATTTATATTACAACAACAATATTTTTTTTATGGACCCAAATATTCACTTTTTTTAATCTCATTGACTTCATTGTCCTCACAACTCACAAAGTCACACCTTTTCTCCAGACAAAAAAACAGAGGAATAGGAGAGAGGGAGAGAAAAAGAAGAAAGATGAATTCACACTTCATACAAGAAGCTTCAGAAACTTGCTTCAATGGCTGCTGTTCATCACCATTCTCATCTCATTCCATGTCTGAGAAACAAGAAGAGCTTGAGTTCTCAGTAATCACAACAGGAACTTCTTTCCTAACCAGAGAAACCAAATTCACGAGCCAAGAATCTCTCCCTCGTCTCCGTACATCATTTTACGATCTCATCACAGCTTTTCCAGATTACTTGCAGACGAATCAAGCCGATCATCTCCGATCTACAGAGTACGAAAACCTCTCATCCTCTTCCCACGTGTTTGGTCAACAACAACCATTGTTCTCTTACTCTCAGTTTCGAGAAATCTCGGAATCAGAATCCGATTTGAATCATTCTCTCTTTACCTTGTTTTGCAAGCAAGTGAGCTTTGGCAAAGAACTATTATTATTCAAAGAAGAATCTCGGTTTCAGTCGAGGATGAGGAAAAGAATCACAAGTTTTATGAATCTTGAAGAATCAGAATATCACATGATTCTAACTCAAGACCGTTCCTCTGCTTTCAAGATTGTAGCAGAACTCTACTCTTTCAAAACAAATCCCAATCTTCTCACTGTCTACAACTACGAAGACGAAGCAGTTGAAGAGATGATTAGAATCTCAGAGAAAAAGGGTGTAAAACCCGAATCGGCCGAGTTTTCATGGCCGAGCACTGAGATTCTCTCGGAGAAACTGAAGAGGAGAATCACCAGAAGTAAGAGAAGAGGTAGTAAAAGAGGACTCTTTGTGTTTCCACTTCAATCTCTGGTCACAGGAGCTGCGTATTCTTACTCATGGATGAGTTTAGCTCACGAAAACAATTGGCACGTGTTGCTTGATACCTCTGCTTTAGGTTCTAAAGATATGGAGACTTTAGGGCTATCTCTGTTCCAACCAGATTTTCTCATCTGTTCTTTTACAGAGGTTTTAGGTCAAGACGATCCTTCTGGTTTTGGTTGCTTGTTCATTAAGAAATCTAGCTCTACGGCTTTGTCGGAAGAACCAACGAATCCGGCGAATCTCATGGCAGTAAAAGCAGAGCCATCTTGGAAATGGAAAACAGAGTATCCAGAACAAAATGACGAAATTACCCCTGTGGACCATGAGGACCACAAGGTGGCTTCTACTTCTGGCTCTGAAATAGTTGAAATCGAATCATCGAGTGAACAGGATAAAGCAATGATTGAGTTTCGAGGACTAGATCACGCAGATTCTCTAGGACTAATACTAATCAGTAGAAGGTCAAAGTCGTTGACTTTATGGTTACTACGAGCCTTGAGGACTCTGCAACATCCAGGCTACCATCAAACAGAGATGCCTCTGGTCAAAATCTACGGACCAAAGACGAAACCGAGCCGTGGACCGTCGATTTCGTTCAATATTTTCGATTGGCAAGGCGAAAAAGTCGATCCTTTGATGGTGGAGAGGCTCGCGGAGAGGGAAAATATTGGTTTGCGATGTGCGTATTTGCATAAGATTAGGATTGGAAACAAAAGAAGAAGTGAGGAAGCTATGAGTTTGAGATTGTCAGTGGTGAGTGTTAGGTTAGGAGGGTTTATGACGAATTTTGAAGATGTTTTTAAGGTTTGGGAGTTTGTGTCGAGGTTTTTGGATGCTGATTTTGTTGAGAAAGAGAAGTGGAGAAAGAAAGCTCTTGAGAAAAACAAATGATTGGAATTAATTTGGAACCATATAATCTCAATCTGCATGGTTCAATTTGTTACCATTTTCGGATTTGGATTCGGTTTAGTTCGGTTAGTTTTACATTGTGGTTTGATTTTTGGGCAGTAGCTAAAACTTTATTTGGGTTGGGTTAGTTTGTTTCATTTTGGTGGGTAGATATTCAACGTGGTTTGGTTTTAGAAAAACGAAATTAAAGGCACGTATATATTACTATTTACTATTTCAATAAAACATTTACATGATTTTAATATCTAATAAAACATTTACATTAATACAAAACTGTGAGCAGATAGGCAGATATTGTAAAAATTTCAACTATGTATTAAAAAGAATTTTTGAAAAATATGTATAAAACTATGTTAAACAATATCCTCATATTAAATTTATATACAAAATAGCAGATATTTGCTATGGATACAAAGGTGTCCAACACTGTCATGTCATGGAAACATGGTAGTACTATCACCACAATTTTGAAACTAGTTTTGTCTATGGACCAACCTTACCGCAAAAAAAATATTATGCGGGTTTGGAATCAGATTGTGATATCATATAACAACCCGATATTAACACAAACCACGAAAATATATATATGCTCAAAAAAAAGATTACTAACTGTTTGGTTTGAGCGGAATAATAATATTTTTTTGTGCTTATATTTGTAGATTTTATAGCGTAACTAAATCATTTAAAAAAATATGTTTCTCATAAATTATACTTATCATTTATGAGAAACATATTTTTTTAAATGATTTAGTTACGCTATAAAATCTACAAATATAAGCACAAAAAAATAATTATCACATAGAAGGTTTCTCATTTTGGAGTATATAAAAAATAATTATCATTCAGAATTGAGTAGGCAATAATTATCACATAGAAGGTTTCTTTTCTCCATCTGCTAGTCTTAGAACCTTCACCATAGGGCTGAACACTTTTAAAACCATGATAACACTACTCCAAAATGCAAAGCTCATAACTGTATCAGATGCTTGTTTTCCTTTTACACACTTAGAATGCTTGCATTCATGCCACTCATCACTGCCGAACATGGACATAAGTTGTGATTTCTTCTCGTGTAAACTTTGTAGTGTCAAGAAGCATGTAGCGAATCGTGTTGCTCCTGGTCTAACAATATCCCTCTTCTTTGTATGTGCTCTCATCATGGATAATGTTTTGTGATGAGCATATACAAAGACAGTGAGAGCTTTAGCTTGACTGATCACTTTTGCAAACCAAGGCAACTTAGAAACTCCCTCAAGCATCAAATCGATGGTGTGAGCAGCGCAACCTGTCCAAAATATATTCGGTCTCATCTCTTTAAGCATCCTTGCAGCTGCTACGTTGTTTGTAGCATTATCAGTCACTACTTGAACAACCTTTTTAGCCCCAATATCTCCAATGCACTTCTCTATGTACTTGAAGATAAATTCACCAGTGTGAGAGTCTTTAGAAGTGTCCTTTGAAGAAAGAAAACATGTACCTCCTCTTGAATTGACACACAAATTCATTATGCTTCTCTTTTTCATGTCAGTCCATGCATCTGTCATCACGGAGCAGCCTTGTTCTTCCCATTCTACTTCTAGACTCTTCAACTTTTTCTTTGTCCTTTCTTGCTCTTCATTTAACAATGGTTCTCTCAGCTGGTATTGAGTAGGAGGAACCCAACCAGGTCCAAATTGTCCCAATGCTTCACAAAATAATCTGAAACTTTCATTATCAATCGCATTGAAGGGAATACTTGACTCGTACATCCACCTAGCACAGTATTGGCGAACAACATGTGTCTTCTCTTTAGAAATTGCATCATGTATATTCTGTTGTCGTGTCCGTGCAGCTAAGGAAGCTTCAGGGTTAATGTGGTTCGCGAACTTATCCATGGGACCTTGGAAGTGAGGAGCTGTTTGAGTTCCATGTTCTTCTTGCAGTTCATCATCCAAATGCGGTTTATTTATATTCACCTCTGATCTAAGCTCTTCATCATGCTGTCTCTTTCTCGTTTTCTTGTGCTTTGCTTCTTTAAGTGCATTCATACACTTAGCTTGATCCTCTTTTGTTGACAGTGGACAAGCAGCCACATTCCCTCTTTGATGACCAATATGTTCTTTCATCCTAAACACTCCACCAGACATTTCTTTTCCACACAACTTGCATTTCACCTTGTCTGGAGTTTTTGGATCATACAATACTCCATATTCCCAGCCCACATCATCAGAGTTACGTTTGAGCTGTGGAGCATCCATTCTAACATGTAAAAAAATCAAAATCAGGCTAAGGGTTTCGACATCAAAAAACCAGTACATAAAGAAATCTTAAACGGCTAAATAAACACATCCTAATCGACTAGAAAAAGACATTAAAAACAGTAGACAAAGACATCCTAATGAGAGAGACAAAGACATCAAAGACAGTGTGTTCTAAAATACTTGTGTTCTAAAAATCAAAATCAACTATACATATAGTTATCTAAAGCAAAATTCTCCTTAGAAACAGTGAAACAGACAAATTCTAAGCAAACCCACCACACAAGCGTTCTTCACATTCCTAATTGGCAAACAAAGTATAAAATCTAAAAAGAAGAACGAAGACGCACCAGAGAGAAAGTTGCAGAATTGTGTAGTGCCGATGTTGAGATTTTACAGATAAGAGTGGCTCGAAATCAAATCAAATTTTGTTTGGGTTAGAACTAATTTTTGAGAGACGAGATTATGGGATGTGAGCAAAGTTGATTAGGTTTCTTCCATTCTTTATAAAAAAAACTTGTTTAGGTTTCGTTAATTTTGTCTTTGTTTCACGAGTGGAGAGAAGAAGAAGACGTTGATGTGGGTTTCATTAAACCATAATTCCAAATCCAGAAAAATTAATGGGTTTAACTAATTTTGAGGCCCAATTCGAATTAAAGCCCAAATTTTAATGAATTAAATCGACGATTTTTTGAAAAATCGGGTTTACGGGGGGTGTAATCAGTAAACCGATTTCTTAAACCGATTATGCATTAAACCCATCGGTACAGTACCGCCGAGCGCCTAGGCGGCCGATTAATCGGATAGGCGGCCGATTTTTAGAACAAGGGGCAATACCAACATACAAATTATTATCTATGATTAATTAGTCCATTGCAAACCTGCTTAAACAGAAAGGGCCTTTTCAAAAACATAATGGGCTTTGAAAATCATATACGAGCCCACTGGAAACCGCCAAAGAACAAAATTTTTTTTTACCGTAAACGGTTTAGAATTTCTCTCATATTCTCAATTTCAAGTATTCTTCACTACGATTCTGCAAATGGTAACTACAGTCTACCAGTAAAGTCAAAGTGTGAATCAACGAATGAGATTTTGAAATTAGAAGAGAGAGAAAGAGAGAGCATAGTGTAAAACCTAGAAAATGTGCATCTTCAATTAGCGGGAATTCTCAAAATTTCGAAATCAATGGCGTCCACTGACGACCTCCGTCTTCTCTCTCTAATCGAATCTTCCGACGCCGGTGATGATATCTTCTCTTCCTTCTCCGATTACCTGAAACCTTTCTCTACTCTATCCACTTCCCGGAAAAAACAAGACCGAGCAACCACTATTCGAGCCCTAGCTAAGCAATTCCTTCCTTTCCTCAACAAATCGATCTCGCTTTTACCTAAACGCCTCTCCGTCGCGAAGTCTGACAAGGAAGCTCGTGAATCAGCCTTAGATCTGTTCCGTGCTTATGAACTTTGCTTGGATTGTTTAGAATTGGTCTCTGCTCAATTAGCTTGTAAGCCTCATACCGTTCAATCTCAGAGGCTACGGATGATTTATTGTCTCGATGTTTGGGGTTTGTATGAGAATGAGTATACTGAAGCGTTTAAGGTTCTGGAGAAGCTAAGAGGCTCTGATAGCAAATCACGGAAGTGCCAGTTGTTGCCGGAGGTTCAGGATGGCGAGGCGGAGATGGCTTTGGTTGTTGTTGATGCCGTGGCGTCTATTTTTAGGGCTGTGGCAATGGGCCAGCAATTAGACGATAAGCGGTATAGGAAAGTTCTTCTTTTGCTCGAGGAGGTCGGAGGCTGGTTTAGGTCAGTATGATTATAGTAGATCAATGCTGCTTCAATTTTGCACCAGGGAATTCAATTTTCCTTTCGAGAGCTAGCACATCCTGAAAATTTGGTACTGTGCAGGGTTTTAGATGCTAAGGCGTATGAGAAGTTTCACAGAGCGATGGTGACAAATTTGGGTAAATGTGCTGTTTCTCTCGTTAGAGAAGCTGAGCGTTTCGATGGGGATTTAGTGATGTCTTTCTGCGACTTAACTGTGAAGGAACACTATAAATCTGCATTCTCAAAAGATCGAATTTATAAGGTGACCCTAGCCCTTTGATGTCTTCCCTTCTTGCAGCTGCTTTTCTTTTATATGCTGTCTTCTAATAGATGATAACATCCAATGCCCATTTCCAGTTTGCTCGCGAGGTGCTTTCTGTTCTGTTCAGATTTAAGGATAGAAAAATGTCTGTGACCATTGACATTTCAATGTCTGTGTTGCGCAGCTTAACTTGCCAATTTGAGGTTTGCACAAATCCCTTGCATCTTAATTATCTATTATCTTGTGTACATGAGTAACAATATCCGCAACAAAATTTCCATACATTTTGGTGTCACCTGCTCCTTTATCTGTTGCTAGATTGGATGACTTTAGGTTTCTGCTAGCTTCTCAGTTGATGTTCTACCACTAACTTGCAATGCCTTATAACACTGCTCCTTTTTTCAGGATGAAAGTAATGAGAATTTAATGGAGTTTGTTGACCTAGTCGCTTATTGCGCTCACAAGTTTCGAGCAGCAGGAGACATGTACTGTGCAAAAGTTTCAAAAAAATTAAATGAGATAGCAGCTATTTTCTTAGAGGTAGTTTTACTCTCCTTGGCATGTAAACTTGCCTCAACTTAATAATGAAGTATCTTGGTGTATGAGTTAATTTATAAATTGACTGCTTGGCAGGCAATACCCCAACTTAATCTGGTTCTTAGACTGTATTCAACCGGGCTGTCCATCACGGTTTGCGATTCCAAGCTCGGAGAAAGTAAGGTTAAAGATTCCACAGATGATTGGAAGATTCAAGCAATGTTTGATGATGATGCTAGATGGCAAAGCTTAGTTTCTTTACTCGGCTTGGTTGATAGTTACTCAGGTGATTTGGGCAATCAGACTAGTTCATCATTGATTGGTGGGCATAAGAACTACAACAATAAAACACATGGTAGCTGTACAGACAAGAACAAGAAGAATTGTTTGCCACAATACTTAGATGCCTTGCAGTTCTTGTGCCAACCACTTGCAGACTTGATATATTCTGTGAAAAGAAAGATTGTGCTGGAGACAGAAATGTCCTGCGCTTCTGCTCATCTAACTACTATTCATGATGCCTTTCTCCAATTTTGTGATGGCTGTCTCTTCCTTCAGAGGTAAGGTGATCATTATCTGTCCCTTATGCTATATTCTGTAGCTTTTAGTCAGAGTCGTGCTCTTCATCAGAAAATTGTTTTGCTTGTCACATAGTGAAAATACCTTAAGTATATTTGGGTGGATTTCAGAAGATAGTTCTTTTAAGTTTTTGGTTTTATGCAACTGTAAATGCATCATTCTGCTACCAGACTTTTTCAATATATTTATTTATCATGGTAATATGCAAATTATTGGCAGGTGGGATGATGTCTAAATTTTCAGTGCACTTAGAAAGTGGAAACAATATCAATTCTTTTGTGAAATCTTCTTTTGTGGGTTGAATGCATTTCTCACATCTCTTGTGCCCACTTCATAGATGCACGTCTGACAAGGGAGATAGTGAAACTGACAATAACAAAGCTTTGTTAAACGTGGCTATGGGTGCTTTCATTGTCTCATTGAGAACCCAGCTTAAATTGGAGGTTTGGTATTTATGTGAAAAGCATGCAAATTTATTGTTCAAGTTCCTGAACATGTGATTGAAAAATCTAACTTAGTAATCGAACATCTTCCTTTTCAGATCAGTGCCCATCTAGTTGAGGATGTAATTGCCAGTCCATGGATCCGATCTCAAGAACTCAAGTATCTAATTGCGACGCTTTACAATATTGGTATCATTTTGTACAGAAATAAGGAGCTAAACAAGGTGGAGTACACGGTTTTTGGCGTCTTATAGATTTTTATGCAAACAAGACTAGAACAAATCTGCTTCTGCTTTATATATTCTTCTTCTTGTTTTCCTCATAGCATATTTCAGAGAGTAAGTGTTCTACTTTGCAGGCTTGTGAGGCACTCAAGCTGTGCTCCAAGGCATCATGGAGATGTGTTGAACTACATTGTCAGATGTTTGTAAATCAGTCTAGTTCATCTGATAATGACATGTCAGAAGATGCCATTATGGATTTTGTGGGCGAAGCATGTAATAGGTGTGCATTCTACCTGGATATACTCCAGAAATGTAGCAGACATAAGATTAGACAGAATATTGTTCATATTCTAGAAAATTGGTTGTCAGCGGAACATTTGATTAGAAGGTTACCAGGCCCTGAGGCAATTGTAAAGCAGTGGGTTAAGGTAAATTTTTGATAAAGTACCTTCATAAAAAAATTGATCTAGTATCTGAGTGTGTGCTATCAACAGATAGAACGGGAATGTCACACAGATCTGGATGCGGCAGGTTCTTGTACAACTTTGTACTCATTGTTATCATCTTCTCAAAAAAAGTCAAAGCGTGGTATCGGAAAAATCCTAGAGCAGGTTGCGATCCTAACAACCTTTCAGTTAATGTTTGAATAAAAGTTTGCGCAGGTCCTAACTTGAAGGGGCATGCTACTAGAAATTCCCTTTTGTTTTTTTTATCGGTGGATGTACTTTACGTCTATACCTATATGTAAAATTGGTGATACTGATTGTTTTTTCATTTCTCTTTTCTGTAAATGCTTGCAGGAGCTTCTTGCCTATGCCAGAGTGCTTCCTTTTAAGTCAAATCTAGGTCAACAAACGCGAATCAAGATAACAGATATCCTTTTGAAGGATGTTTATGTCACTGAGGATATGCATATAGAGAGAGCAAGAGTCTTGATATGGAAAGCACAAATGACAAGGACATCTGGAACTGAACATATAACTGAGTGCATTTGTTTTCTGTCCGAAGCAATCTCTATATTGGTATATGTCTTAGTACCTTCAGATTTAATAGCTCATTAATTGCTTGTATATTTTCTGACCAAATTTCGTATGTATGAAAGCAGGGTGAGTTACATCATGGGCCAAATAAAGAGGGTTCTCCATCTTCTCACATGTTGCCTATTGCGTATTGCTTGAGAGCTTTTTGTACCCAGGAAGCTGAGCCAAACTCGAAGGTATAAATGCGTATTACATAGCTTCTAATCATTGACAGTTTATATTTCAGCTCTTGAACTGTGGTTCATTGTTTAATTTATCTTTCTTGAAACATTTTGCCTCGTCTCTTTTGTGCAGAAAGTCTTTCAAGATATTAGCACTTCACTAAATCTCTGGCTGAGGATTCTTAGCCTAGATGATAGTGGGGACAGTCTACCAACAGAGAACATAATTCCGTTACTGTATAATATGATTGATTTGATGTCAGTGAAGGTATCTTTTTTCCTATTATCTACCTGGACTATGTTTTTTGAGTGGCACACTTTATAGTGCGTGCTTCATATCTATCTGGCCCTTGATACTTTTTTTCCATCTCCAGGGATGTACAGAGCTCCATCATCATATATACCAACTGATTTTCAGATTGTTTAAATGGAAGAATGTCAAAGTGGAGGTCTGCCTTGCAATGCTGTGGGAATGTAGAAGGCTTAGTCATGCCTTATGCCCTTCCCCCATAAGTGATGCCTTTATCCAAACCTTATCAGAGAATTGTGGTGACAAATCCACATGCATTGATTTCTGGATGGATTGCCTGAAAGATTCAAAAGCAAAGCTAATTGGGTTCCAGCAGAACTTCCATGAATTACATAATAAGGATGAAGGTCCCTTTCAATCAGACATCACGATAGACGATATCAAAGATGCAGCTTCAGAACTCATTTCCAGTGTAAGAAATTTAAATTATGTAGAGGGTTTTCCTCGCAAAAGAATATCCATGGTGATCATCCAATTTTGCTAATGAATGTCATTGCAGGCGTCACTCTCTGGTAATTCATCTTTTGTAGCTGCATATCTCTATTATGATCTCTGTGAAAGGCTCATATCATTTGGAAAACTTTCTGAGGTAAAATAGTTATACATATATTACATCTATTTCAACAAAAGTTTTGTTGTAAATTACTGCCAGTTTCATTGTTATAATCTCTTGGGTTGATTGTTTCAACCTTTTCCTTTTACAGGCTCTTTCATATGCAAAAGAAGCCTATAGGATACGGACTCTTATATTTCAAGAGAAATTTAAGTATACAGCTGAGAAGCAGTTCGTAAAACACAATGACGCTGGAAAAATATCAGAGATACGGACTTTTGGCATAAAAAATTTCCAAGTCTACAGATTGTTCGCAACTGATTTTTGGCCATGTGGAAATTTTCTCTGGGACATCAATTGCTGCTACCTAAGTCCTTGGAGTGTACTCCAATGTTATTTGGAAAGCACCCTTCAGGTTCTGTTTCTGTTCAGTCTATCTAGTCTAGCCGGGTTCTATCACTCTGTTTCTTAATTTGGTGTCAAATTTGCAGGTTGGAATTCTGAATGAGCTAATAGGGAATGGACTGGAGGCAGAAACCATTCTATCATGGGGAAAAGCCTTTTCATGCTCGCAAAGTCTATTCCCTTTCATAGTTGCATTTTCTTCTGCCTTAGGTATGAATCTACTCCTTTATTCAACAGTATAGTCAATTTCTTGTAGGTTTCTGGTTTCCTTATTCCTTTTGTTAATACTTAATAAGCTGCTTGATTTTTTTCTTTCTTCTTTAATTTCAAGGAAATCTTTACCACAAAAAGCAGTGTCTGGATCTGGCAGAAAAGGAACTCCAAAATGCAAAAGAGATATTAATTGCTAATCAGCGAGATTTTTCTTGTTTTAAGTGCAAACTGAAGTTGGAAGTTACATTGGATAAACAACTTGGAGACATATCTCGGAAAAAAATTGATAGAGTTTCTCAGAGAGATGGATTTTTGCATGCTGAAAGCTTGTTTAGTGCTGCCCTGGGAAAAGTCTGTTGCTCAGCATGGAAAAGCTGCATTAGATCACATGGGGAAGAAATTGCTGAGGAATTTGTGGTTGATAGAAATGGAGGGGACGGTTTAGGACATAAATCAAGTAAAACGAAGCTCAGTATAAAGGAGCCACCAGGAAACAGAGGCTCCAGGAGGGGTCGAAGAGCTAACCAAACTTGTTTGTCAAAGGACCAGGATTTGATATCTGAGCCAACGTCAAGGTTGACTCGATCTATGCGTCACTCACTTAAAGAGCAATGCCAAAACCGGTCTAATGTGCCTGAAGTTGTTTCAAAGAAGCCTAATTTCTGTGATAGATCTGTTGGTTCTAGGGGTGAAAGGGTCTTGTTGGACACAAAAAATGCAGTCCCTGGATTTTGCATTTGCTACAAAGAAAAATGTCAGCAGTGCTTCTCCGAAGGAGTAATAGAATCTGGGTCTCTCAACAATTTAGTAAGTTTGAAATGGGAACTCTGCCATAGGAAGCTTGCGTCCTCAATACTTGTTAGCCTGGGTATGCTCTAATTCCTTATGCATTTGCTTACTCAAATGCGCATGCTTGCATATGAAGTTGGCCTTTTGACATTTTCCTGTTGAAACAACCTAATAGCTTAATAGTTTAGACTTTAGATGAGAACTGAGATCCAGTAACCATTAACGTCACATCCATTGTTGATAAAAAAAAAGTAATGGGTATGAAAAACCTTGAGTGACTTTTGAGGCCAAATGAGTTTGATCGTATTCTCCATTTCTATGCTTTTGTTTTGTATTCTGACAATTCTCCGGTAACTCATGAAAATTGTGTTGGTAATTCATTTGTTTATTCTCATAAAGATCACACACATGGTATACGCGTCTCACTTACGATTATGAAGCATTGCTAGAAGATGAGTATCTCTGCTTACAGTTTAGCTTTCCAATTCAGGAAAATGTTTGGCAGACTCTGGTAGAGTTCATCTAGCTCATGAGGCTTTACTACATAGTATCTCTGTTTTATTTAAAAGCAACTGGTCCAGCCACAACCAGCCTTCTGTCTGTCAGTTGCTGGAGTTTATCGGGACAGAAGTTACAAGAGATGTATTTGCTGTTGATCGTGCAATAATACTATACAACTTGTGCTGGTTGAATTTGCGGAATTATCACTGCAGGGATAGTAGGTATGTGAGACATATATTGTTGTCATTTTTGCCATGCTCGAGCTTTTGTCCTCATGTAAAACATCATATGCTAAATTGATCAAGTATGCTCTTTAGAAATGTGTACCTATCATCCTTCTTAACCTCTATATTGTTACCTTTAACAGGTCTATTTGCTGTGATCTGTTTCATATTCCTTTCACAAAACTGGTGTCATGGTTAATGTTAGCATTTGTACTCAGCAGAGCGGTTCCAATATTATTTCAAAAGGTAAAAGCTTGGGTTGTTCAACGAAAACCTGTCATTGCCTGTTATGTTTCAATCTTAATTATTGTTCGGTATAAAACTGTTTTTTGTTCCCGATAGGTTTCAAGATTGCTTGCCTCTTTATATCTGCTTTCTTCCTCAAGTGCTGAATTCTCATTCGAATATGATGGAAGTGAGCTGTCAGCAAGTCATTGGGTCTCATTTTTCCATCAAGCCTCGCTTGGTACCCATATCAGTTACCATTTCATTTCAAAGTTGAGCCAAAAACACAAATTACGGTGCCTCTCAGATAAAGAGGTAAGATAGGTTTTTTTCTCAATTTGTGGACTACCCTCAGTGTTATTGATGATATTTTGACAAATTTATTGATTGCTTTTTCAAAGTAGGTGTTTCCTATCTGACAGCTTTTATTTTCAGTGCACAGAGGCTACTTGCTCGAGTTGCATGGTTCCTGAGAATTTGGACTTACCCAGGTATGAGATAATTTAACTTAAGCAACCAGACATGCTTTTATAATTTTCTTTTGGCTGACTCTGTTTTTTCTTACTCGCCATTGTAGGCTTGCTCCTGAGCGTACTCAAGATCTTGTGCAATTCGCTAAAGAATTTTTCATCAATCTTCCAAGCTCAACAATCATCTGCATTAGTTTGCTTGGAGGTGCTTTAAACCAATTGTTACAGGAGCTAATGCATATTCGTTCACCTGTTTGTGCCTGGGTGCTCATATCACGCTTAAACCCAGAAAGTCAACCGGTTGCCACACTTCTGCCTGTAGATTCGATTCTAGAAGGTAAATATGAACTGCATATTGGTTGATCTATGGTGTTTTCTCTTTGTACTCATGATCTCACTGATTCACTAGACATGTCAGATGACAGTGCAAACCTTAGCTCTACGGAAGCGACTCAAGTTAAGAGTTTAAAGGGGCCTTGGCTTTGTCCATGGGGTGCCACCGTGGTTGATGAGGTAGCTCCAGCATTTAAATCAATATTGGAGGAAAGCTACTCATCTTCTTCTACTCCTGAAGAAGACACAGTAGAGAGTAGATGCCTGTGGTGGAAAAAGAGGAAGAAACTTGATCATCGTCTGGGAATACTCCTAAGGTATGATTGCTCTCTTTCTATAACACGTGTACATGTCTGTCTAATTTAAATTTTGTTTTGATCCATCTTCTGAATCGACAACCGCGTACGAGTCTGCATGTTTGTAAACAACATTGGATAACCATTCTTTTGTTCTAGGAATCTAGAAGCTTCCTGGCTGGGTCCCTGGAGGTGTCTGCTTCTTGGAGAATGGCCGAACTACAAATTGCCTGACTCAGTGCAGAAAAAGCTGGTAATTGATCTCAAGTCCAAGTGCAAAATGGAAGTAAATGAGATGCTTTTGAAGGTTATTCTTGGAGGTGGGACAGACAACTTTATAGGAGAAGCATGCGTCGCTCAGCTTTCTTTAAGAGATGGTTGCTATGTAGGTAGAGGGGGATATCTTTATGAAGAAGATAGCTGTAAAACTCCTACTACTGCGTCTAATATATCTGAAAGTAGGCATGAATTGGCCTTAAAACTGATACATGACGCAGCAAGCAAACTAGGGCAACAAGATGGACATGAAAATAGAGAACCTATCATTCTTGTGTTAGATCCTGAAGTTCAGGTTCGTCAATTATATCCTTATCACTTTCCTGCACATGTATTAGAAAGTTTGACTGCCATCGAGAAGTTCTGCTGATTTTATCTGTTGCGATTCTTGTCTAACTAACCTGCTGATTTTGATTAGATGCTTCCTTGGGAGAATATTCCAATACTAAGGAAACAGGAGGTGTACCGCATGCCTTCCGTAGGTTGCATATCTGCTGTACTAAAGAAGCGCAGTGAAGGAGAGCCAGCAAGATCTCATGTTGTTTCCTTCCCTCTTATTGATCCGCTAGATTCATTTTACTTGTTGAATCCTGGTGGTGATCTCACCGATACACAAGACAAGTTTGAGAGTTGGTTCAGAGATCAAAACTTTGAGGTAACATATTACAAAAGCATATATACTTATAGTAAACATTATTGTGATGCTTTCTTTCCAAACTTCCATTATTGCGTATACTTCAGGGGAAAGCTGGATCAGAACCAAGTGCTATAGAGTTGACAGAAGCATTAAAAACTCATGATCTCTTTCTATACTTTGGTCATGGAAGCGGTATGATTCCTCTAGCACTTTGGATTCTTAATCGTTAAGCCGTCTTTGGTGCAATATTTGTTTACTTGAAATTGATATTTAAAAGATCCTCTACTGTTTATGATATGGCAGGAGCACAGTATATACCTAGGCGTGAAATAGAGAAGCTAGATAACTGTTCTGCAACTTTCTTAATGGGATGCAGTAGTGGTTCACTATGGCTAAAAGGCTGCTACATCCCAGAAGGCATACCACTTTCTTATCTCCTAGGTGGATCTCCAGCCATTGTGGCGACTCTATGGGACGTAACAGACCGAGACATTGATCGGTTTGGGAAAGCGTTATTGGAAGCTTGGTTGCAAGAGAGGTCAGATTTTTGTCCAGAGGGTGGTTGCAGCCAGTGTGAGTCATTAGCAAATGAACTTGCAGCCATGAATCTAAAAGGCAACAACACCACCAAGAGGTCAAGGAAACCGTCATCGCGTAACAAGCCAGCTCAATCAAATGTCGATGGGTCAGGGAAGATTGAGTGCAACCACAAGCATAGACGTAAAATCGGTTCATTCATAGCCGCGGCTCGTGATGCGTGCACCTTGCAATACTTGATAGGGGCTGCGCCTGTCTGTTATGGTGTACCAACTGGTATCACAAGGAAAAAAGGAATTGATGCTCTTCTTCCTTCTTCATCTTGTTAGTAGGTTAGAGCATCTCTTAAAATCCTCATTGTTTGATCGTATCACAATTTTGAGGGAGCAAATAAAACTAGGAGTTAGGACCTCAAATCAGAGATCTTATGACGACACAAGAGAAGAGAAAAAAGGAGACTCTAGTCTAGAGATATATATTCATGAGAAATTGGCAAATATAACCAACAAAAAAACAATATTTAAGAAACTAACCAAAAAAAAAAATCCTTGTGATATAGTGTGTGTAATATGTATTAAATACACAATTACCCCCAAAGCATCTACGTCTCTTCCTTCTTCGTTTCTCTGCCTCTGTCCTTTCTTAGTTTCTTCTTCTCTCTCTCCGCCTCCTCTATTTTCTCTCCCTCTCACAAGCGCCATGGGGACTCCCATTTGATTCATCTACTTCAGAACTTGAACCAGAATCTCTCTGATTCAAATTATTGGTAACTGTAAAAACGTGAATTAGGTTTTGGGCAGGCGAGTGAACGACCGATATTGTTTCAATGATCTTCTTAATGTTTTAGAGTTCCCTATCATGATTTTGGATTTTGTTTACTCTGATTCAACTGATTTCGATTAGATTGAACCCAAAACAGTTGATTCAATCTAACTAGGGTTACTTCAAATATCTTATTCTTCTTTTTTTTTTCGTTGGCTCTGCTATGATTAAAGGCGGAAGCCTCACACCACTCGTCTTCGACTTTCTCCTCTGCTGCAACATCAAATCCTTCAGTTAGAGCTCGCCGTAAAATTGGAATCTCTGTTGATTTTGAGTCATCCTGCAAATAAATGTCTCATTAATTGATTACAAATAGTATAGACTTTATGTAAATAGTATACTGTTTTTCCTAAACTGAAATTTACTATTCTACTTGTTGATTCTCCATTATTTGATGTTAACTAGAAGAAGATGGAAGTTTGTGATTCTGGAATTTGAGTGCTTCTTCTCATCTTATTAAGCTGCAAATTAGTATTGAAGATAAATAGATGATGATGAACCTAATGGAGTTGAAGTCACCACCACCACCACCACGACAAGCACCACCGACGCCATCACAACCATATCCGTCACCACTCACCATCATCAGTATTACCACCACTACTGCGCCAGCCCACACTTTTCTCTTCGCACGCGCTTGTTTCCAAACTGAAACGAGTGTGAAAGACCATCGTCGCCGTTGCCGCCATACCAACACAATCACCGCCACTGTCATTATCACCACCATCACTACATCAATCCACGTTTTTCACTCCTTCCAAATCATTCGTTCCAAATGCAGCCACGAGTGTATCACTCTCCTCTCATCACACGCTCGTCATAATCCTTTACAAAATGAAAAGGAGTTTTTCGACATTTTATCCTCCACTTGTGTTATTTCCTTCATTTGCCTTATTATAGTGCTATATATTTAATAACTTTATGTAGAATGGTTATTCACCTAATTCACTCTATATTCATCCCTCTTTTTTTTTTTATGTAACAACAAATTGTAAAAAGAAATATCACATGATGTATTGCCCTCAAATTCTATGTTATAAAAGTGTTAGTAATTTATGATCCATTTCTGTGTATTTCAGACTTGACTTATTCATGTTTTCAATCCTTTTTACATAAGGGAAAGAGGGCATTTCAAACTGTTAACAGAACTGATTCCACCTCACTTGTGATTCCACTGTAAAATGTAATCTCAAACATATACATACAATGATAATGTTTCTATTTCAATTGAATGATTTACATCTGGAACATATGACCAAAACAATTTGGCAAAAGCTAATAAGCTCTGTTTGCTAGTTACTCTAAAACATTTATGTAAAGCCAATAAATAAATAAAAAAGTAACTTTTAATAAGAAAAAGAAAGAAAAAGACATACACAGAAGTGGTAAGGGAAAAAACCCGAAAAAACCGCCATCTAATTTTTTTTTGGCCGTTTAATACGTGTAGTATTAAATTTGGAATAAAAACACTTAACTTAGTTTCAGTTGCCTTTTAAAACCTTCATTTTTTAAAAATTGGTAAAATCGTACCTCCGAGTTAACGACTGTTAACTTTGCTAACGGAAGCACTAACTGCGGTTAAAACTTAAACCATGGTGTTTAAGAGTATATATACAATCTCTTTTTAGAACTTTACGAACTGATTGATCTAGTCAGGTGGTTTAGTGCGGGTAAACTGTCTAATTGAACCTGTGTTCGAATCTCCCTTTTGTTTTTAGACGTTTTTTTTAATTTTTTTCTTTTATTTTTTTTTTCTTCAACTTTTTTGCTCGCTGAGACCTGAGATGCGAAGGTTGTGCAGCCTAGATCTACTGATTTCTCAATGGTGAAGATTGGAAGATCCTAATCCGAGATTTTCTCAATTCAATCTCCGACGCGAAGCAACTTCTCCCTCCGTCGGTGAATGGTGGCGCACAGCTTCTCTTTACGCAGATCAAACCGAATCCATGTGTTGATCGATTGTTGTAGAAGAAAGAGAAGAAGGCTCTGCAGATTTCGATGGGTGGGAGATTTCGTTGATTCCTAGGTCGTTGGGCGTGGAAGAAGGTTAGTGAAAGGGCTTTTTTAAGTTGGATTAGTGAAACTAATTTAATTAAAGAAAATTACTTAAGAAGATGATCTCTGAATTTCTGGGTTGAAGGCATTGTTCAGAAGGAGAAGAGGAAGACACAGAAGAAGGAGAAAAAAAATTGAAAAAAAAAATTGAAAAAAAAATTTAAAAACGTCAAAAGAAGGAAGAGGGATTCGAACTCATGTTCAATTGGATAGTGTACCCGCATTTAACCACCTGACTAAGTCAATTTATTCGTAAAGTTATGAAAAGAGATTGTATATAGATACTCTGAAACACCATGGGTTAAGTTTTAACCGCAGTTAGTGTTTCCGTTAGTAAAGTTAACAGACGTTAACTCGGAGGTACTATTTTACCAATTTTTTTAAAATGAAGGTTTTAAAAGGCAACCAAAAGTAAGTGAGGTATTTTTATTCCAAATTTAATACTACACGTATTAAACGGCCAAAAAAAAATTAGATGGCGGTTTTTTCGGGTTTTTTTCCGAAGTGGTAAGGGACATGCTTCCATGAGTTATTGACATGATGATTGTTCAATATGCCATATTAGGAATTCTTTCAGTTCTTGTAGTGAAGAAGATATGTGCTTGCAGCTTATTATTGGTACCTGAAGAGATACATCAAACAGTTTTACATATCCCATGATTGGTATTCATCCTGCAAACTGTCACTTAATTCGACACAGTTTCAATTGTAAAAAAATGCACCAATAAACAAACATCAGGTGGTTTCAAATGAACTTGCGAGTTTTCAGATTACAGTATTATGAATCATGATCGTTCTTGTCTACTGTAGTCCCCATAAATTTACTCAAAGAGTAAATGGTTTTGGGTGGTTACAGTTTTCACTCTTTTTAAGCTATGTTTCTGTCACCTTGCTATATATATGGTGTGGTAAATGTTTATGTGGATCATCAATTTAACCAGTAAAATGCATATAAACAAAATGCTGTTGCCCTTCTTCTGTATGTTTTTGTTACATTCTACTTTATTTGGCATCTTGAGCTTGGTTTTGAGGTAATTTTGGCTTAATTCTTCTCTAGTTTTTGTTGTTTTTAATTCGTTGATAAAAATTATTAGGTTTTGAAGGGTATGGCTATTTGGTACAAGAACATACTGCAGAAGAGGTCCTCGGTAATGTTAATGGAAAACATAACCAAAAGGACAAGCAGAAGTGGGAACAGAAGAAAGATAAAAAGTTTCTCTCTTTCTTATGTTCTGGGGAAAGACATGAAAATGTACATGTACTAAAGAACTAACAGAGTAGATATGAAAATGAGTTATGTTTCTATATTTTCTCTACACTTTTTTTACGACAGTTTTCAATTCTGAGATGCTATCAGGACTTAAAATTCATCTATACCTCTGATCCCGTTTCTCAAGCTCAACTCTATCGCCAGTTGAAGATCAGAACTGCCATAAAAACCAAAAAAAAAAAAAAAAAAAGAGAGAAAGAATCTTTAAAATGTTATAGATTTAGAAACAAAGGGGAAACATAACCTAAACAGATTGAATTTTAAGTTCTCAGAGATCAGAACAGTAGAAAGTAGAGGAGATATTTACTCAGTATTATCCTTGTCTTCACTGTTGATTCCGGAGATAGAATTCTGAGAAAGACAAAAAAGGATTTTAACTTAGTAAAAGCCAGGTAAATTTCTACATGAAATAATAAAAGCAGGAGCAGTTCATACCTCAGTTTTACTAATTCCGTGCTGTTGATCCCATTTTCGGCTTTTACCATTGTCACTCTTGAATTTGAACTCCGTGAAGTTACCAGTAAAGAAGGCAGAATTGCCATTAATCTGAAAGTTTTAAAACCAAACCATAGCAATCAAAGAGACTTTGAATATAGCAATATTCATCTCCTCTTTACAAGGACAACTGATACATATTTCGCAAATACCTCGTTAAATCTTTCCCAAACCAAGTCTTGCTTCTTCTGATAGCCTTGATCAGTAACCAACGTATAGAGTTTTTCCTCACGCTGCAAAATGAGAGCCAAAGAAATGAGAATTAATCTTCTAGAATGTTCTGTATAAACTGTAGAAATCGCTTCTAAAACACATCCTGATTATCGATTTAAGAGACTGGGAACAAAAAAAAAAACACAACAGCTTTACATAATATAAGTAAATAACCTTCAGCATGGTGGAGAAGTGATTGTTGCGGAACAAGACACAAAGTTCCCATTCTTCAACGTTATCTTCCAAGGTATAGAGCCTGGAGGAAATGATAATCAATAATTATAAAGATAAAACCAATGTAGCCAATTACAGACATCTTCCTGAGCAAACAATGATCACGCACCCATGCCAAGTTAATTGACTGGCACTGTCTTTCAAGAATTCTTTGATCACTTTACCTGAAAATTCAACCATGGTGAAGTTTTCTAAAAAAACTCATAAAAAAAAGAGTGGAGTTATCTTATCCACAATAGATATAATGCATGTGTAAGAACTTACCCTCTTCTTGCGTGAGCCCATTTCTATCCTTCCCTTCCGAAGAGCTTTGTCCAAGAAGTGACTCGCCTTCATAAACTGAAGAACTTAAGCTTACACATCCCTCAGATTCAGACAGGGAGCCATCATCATCCTGGGATTTGTCACTAAGATCTGGAAATGCAATGAGCTGGTTTTACTAAGAAACTTCAAATCTAAACATATCTCCAGATGCAAGTTCATACAGAGATACCAATGAGGCTACCTGCATTAACAAAAGTTGTAGCTTCAGACTTGAGTTGAACCTCAGAAATGATGTCATTTTTGGTTGACTCCAGATTAGTCTTCTCTACTGAGATGGGCGTTTCGGAAGAAGTCGCATGCACAGCAGTCATTTTGCTGCTATTCTCAGTCTCAATATCACCAACCTTCTCATCTCCCAATTCCATTGAAGATAACTGTTCCTGCGCTTCATTGCTCTTTGTAACTGATGTTGTCGAAGATACATTGGTCTTATTCCCAACATCACAATCTGTCCTATCTTCTGATTCCGTAGAAGAAAACTGATCATCAAATTTGGACTGCTGACAGATATTACTGCCAAGGGTGATAGCACAACCAGCTGCAGCGTCCACAGAAGTTACCAATGTGTCATCCTCAGAAATTTCATTTACATCCTCAGATCCAGGCACAACCTCTCCTTCAATTGAGTCTCTGTGAGTATCAAAACTTCCCTTTAATGATGCTTCCATTTCAGATAATGTCAAGGCTTTTAACAGCAGTTCAGTTTCTTCAATATCTCCCTTTCCCAATCCACGATGCTCTGCAGACGCAGTAATCGACGCAGCAAAATCAACAGAACTTTGACCATTTTGAGCCTTTACAGTTTGTGTATCCAAAGCAGTAATCGCAATCTTTAAATCATCATGAGATCTGCCTCCAATTGCAGCAACAATTTCCAAATCCTGGAGGAAAAAAAAAACAATCAATATTGAAACTTTTCCTCAAACTGAAGCAAGAAAACACAATCAAAATGATGTACCTGGGGATCAACTAGCCATCCATGATACAAAGGAATCTTAAGTGAAGCAAATATAGCTAGCTCCGGTGTTAACTCAAAATCCGTAATGCTGCAAGCAAGTAAAACATTTTCGATTATTACGATAGGAGATTTTCTATGTAACATATGAACAAAAGGATTAACTAACCTATCGAATTTTAAATCGAAAATAATTCCAGCTGCAAGGCGTTTGATGAGCTCAACATCAATGTACTCGTCTTCATCAGAAAGTATCTCGCCAACAAGATTCAGCAATTTCTCTTCAGATACTTGAGAATTGTGAGTGTCTAGATTAATTCCGTGTCTCAAGATAAGAACATTACCTATAACAAACAAATTTCAATAGTCTTGATGCAAAACCGTTATCAATTGTGAGTATCTACATCTGAATCGATGAAAACGAACGAACGAATCTACAATTGTTCCATCTATTTCACAATTCACAAGATTCATCAACACCAAAAACCTAAAAGATTTCAAGATACTAACACCGACATTTCCCAATTTCGTTCCTAATCGAAGTTCAAAAACCCTAGCGAGAGTAAAATCGGGAGGAGAATTGCAATGTACGTACAAATGGCGATGAGAGGACATGGTCCATTATCGTCCTGGAGAATGATATGCCTCGTTTGTCCACGATACTTAATCTTCTTCGTCTTGTAAAAGATTTTGTCCGGAGGAGGACGAGAGTAATCATCGATCGCCATTGAAGAAGGTTCACGACGATGAATCGCTCGAATTCGAAAACTGCAAATCGGAGAAGAAACACTTTGCTAACAAATTCTCAAGAAATGTATCAAAGAAGCAAAGAAAGTGAGCATGGGACTGGCTTTATATACGCAGAGCATTGGGGGGAGCGACGAGAAACAAAATTGATTTTGACGAAACCGGAACTAACCAAATCGTAATTAGTATGGTTTTACTAAACCGGATTCGTTGTGACGGTCAGAGCTGGCCCGTCTATTGTTGACTTTATCAATTCAAGCGTATAAATAAAATTCAACATTTGGCCATTATGTTATGCGTTATATTATTTGATAGCGATGCCTAATGATACGTAAGCGAATAATTACTACTGGTAGTGGATAAAAATTCTATAATAGAATAAATGGTAGTAAATATTTCTAATCATGGATTTTAGAGGCCAATCAATATTTTATCGCAGGAGCCTCGTCACATAATACTATAATAGAATAAAACTTTTGTGAGATAAAACCCCTATGATATAAAACTTATAAAGCTCTTTTTTCATCTAAATCTTTTCTATTTCGTATAATGCGATTGTGAAGTACAGGATGTCATACAATTTTAAAATATAAAACCGACGGAAAACAAAGAAAATCTAAATCATTGGAAATTAAATTTTATCCAAAAGAAAAGATCGTACGTGTTGGAGTTATTTCAAATTTTAGTTCAACTGTTTCACGCATAATTTATTTGTATTGGGTAGTGAGTGACCTCATAGATAGCCTAAAGGAACCAGCTTACGAAAGATAATATTTTTGGATATATAATTGGATGTAAACTACTCCTTTTAGGCTTTTAGCAAACCACACTTGCTTTTTTCGTCAACTATCGGCAGATGTTATAAAATCAATTACATTGATTCTCACGTAGTATTTTTTTTCTTTACATTTTTTATGGTTTGGAAATGCTGCATTTCAAATGCATATTAACAAGCATTTTAAGTTTTTAAGTACGTTCATTTAGTGAAAAGGATGTGGTCCTCACAGCGTGCGACACCTGTTCCAAGATATGAAAGAATAAACAAATGTTATTGTAACGTATTATCGTGAAAAGCATCCAATAGTGGATAACCACTTGCTTATGCAAAAGTTTACAATAATTTGTAAAATATTTAAATCGTGGAAACGAATAAAGTAAAAGCTAGAAGGTGGTGGTTATAAATTACAAGAAACGTATCAAACAAGAGGCGAAGATGACATGTTGAAACTGTAAACATATACACGTGTTGCTATTTTATTTGTGTCAAGGTCGTTGTTAAAATAATTTATTGTACGGACGGGTTATTTATCACACGATTAAAGTTCTCTTCTTTTCATTTTCCGCATAAAGTTCTGTTTCATCTTTGGAAAATATAAAAAAAGTTTTGTTTCAGCTTCTCCTCGAAATCAAGAGACTATTATAAGAAAGTAAAAGAGAAAAGCTAATGGCTTTGAATGGTAACCCATTTTAAAGCTGTACAGCTTTGTACAGCTTTGACAATTACCAATCACAAAAACTTTATGAAAAGCGGTAAACTATAACATAAACAGTTTTTTTTGGACAAAAACAAAAACAAATTAAACGGTTACGGTTAAATACTGTTATGGTTAAATACGGTTACGATTAATTACGGTTATAACGGTTACGGTTAAATACGGTTATAACGGTTATGGTTAAATACGGTTACGGTTACAACGGTTACCGATAATTACGGTTATAGTTATTTGATGACTACAATACGGTTAATATCGGAGGCGAAATCTTACGAGTTACCTAACTTATTATAATACTTTTCATAAAATCAAAAAGTATGTTACAAACCAAATTTTTTTCATTTCGAGCAAAATAACAGTATAACATATTTGTTTGAGAAAAATACCATTTTTTATAACGTGGATTTTTTCATATGCGGTATCATTTATTTTTTTGAAAATCTTAATCTGAACATTCGATAATTGTTTTTACATTATATGGAGTTACAATTATATTTTTAAAGTTTTAACAATAACGGTTAACCATATGGTTAAATAACGGTTTTCATATGTTTACCGTTAATTAACGGTTACGGTTAATATATTTTTTAACAGTAACTAATTATTTTTTACGGTTAACGGTTACGGTTTTTAACCGTTTTATACGGTTACGGTTGAGAAACGGTCCGGTTACGGTACAACATATGGTTACGGTTAGCTTTTGGTCATGCCTAGTAAGCATGACCAAAAGCTAACCGTAACCGTATTTTGGATCGTAACTGGACCGTTTTTCAACCGTAACTGTATAAAACGGTTAAAAACCATAACCATTCACCGTAAAACTAGATTAGTTACGGTTAAAAAAATATACTAACCGTAACCGTTAATATACCGGAAACGTATAAAAACCGTTATTTAACCGTACGATTAGCCGCACGGTTAACCGTATTATTAACCGCATAATTAAACTTTATAAAATATAATTGTAACTATGTATAATGCAAAAAAAAAAGTCTCGAATGTTCAGATAAAGAGTTCCGAAAAAGTAAATAATACAGCCTATGAAAAAATCTCATTAGAAATAATGGTTTTTTCTCAAACAATTATTTTGGAATGTTATATTGCTCAAAATGAAGAAAATTTTATTTATTATAGGACTAGTAAATTCATATTATTATTCTAACAATAAAATATTTTTTCATTCTATATAATCTTAATTTTCATATGTAATTATATACTAAAGTACATTTCTATGTAATTTTTTTTCTTTCTAAATTCTTAATATTATTTATTATGTGTACCGCTATGATGTTTCCAATCAGAGTAAATTTTTAAAATTTGTTCTGCGTTATTTTTTTGTACAGCTTTCGTGTTTTATTCTTTTGTACAGCTTTGCACTATTCCCTAACAGCTAACAGCTCCAGCTAACAGCTAACAGCTTGTTACCAATCAGACCCAATATATTTCAGTTTTGACAGTGACTTTTAACACTATTATTATATACATTATGTATAAGGGTAATGTTCGTACCAAAGAAAATATACGACGTTATGTTTACAGTGAGTTATGTACTTTTTTTTTTTTTTGTCGTCTGTTTTTATTAATATCACAAAGAAGGATACATTGTTAAAATACATAAGCCGGCGGAAACACTAGAAATCCCCGGAAACTTAAAGCCCAAAAGAGGGAAACGAAAGCCCAAAAGAGGGAACCGAACACGTGGAGAATACAATCCACAAAAACGAAACAAAAGTCAAAAACTTAAACAAAAGCTCGAAAGAAAACGAACTTGCCAATCTTACTCCCACACCATTGTGAACAAAGCCAGCCACAAAGGACAACACGCGTCCATCTTGCAGTTAACGAAACCTCCTATTGTGTAGCCAAGGTACCTCTCAAATCGATTGAACCTAGACTTCTATTCCGACAAGAAAGACGCGAGACACATAGACCAAATCCCACAAAACTTTCGGAAACGGCGTTTGTCGCAAACCACGACCTTTAGTCGCCTCGTTAGAAGACATGAACTGACCAGACCTCGATCAGGTCTTGAGTGTAGAGACAAGGAGCGAAACAAACCTCCAACCGGCAAACACTAAACTCAGGAGGAGAAAAGCAAACGATCGAACCGGAGAGATCACAATAAAGCTCAACAAAGGACAAAAGCAAGCTCAGCAAGACACGAAAATAAGAGAGCTCTAGCAAGCACAGACCAAAGCTTCGGGCAGCAAGAGATAAAAGTGATCGAGGTAGCCATACCATAATCCCGGATTACCCGTAGAATCAGAGCCTAAACTAACCTACACAACCCCTTAAGCTACCTAAACCAACGATTATACAACCATAAACCACAAGAAAGAGACCAGAGGCAACTAATAAGCCATCAACACAAACTACAAAGACTACACCAAGCGTAACCATGGGAGAAACCAACGAGAGGAGCAGCCCACCCGACAAAGGCCAACACCACCACAGCCCCAAAAGAACCAAGGGGACAGAAACTCCAACAACCACCGCTCAAGCTCTCGTCACGTACCAGATCCACCATCACCCGACACCACTAACCAGAGCCAACACCTTTAAAGCAAAGAGAACCCGCCAAACCTTGCAAAATCCACCGTTGCAACCACCAAAGACCCACGCCGCGACCAATCCGCCACTCCAATCGCCAAGGTTTCACCAAAGAAAACACCAACAAGACTAAGAACAAGACAAAGGAACAACAACAAGAGCCCTCTCGCGGTGCCGGTGAGGAGCACCGACCACCGGAGAGGCGGATCTCAGATTCGCTTTTTTTGTGACCCTCGACAGACACTTGACTTTTTTATTATTGTTTTTTTTTTTTTGCCTTATTTTAGAAATAAAGTTTGACAGTGAGTTATGTACTTATGTAGAGTTTTTTTTTTTTTTTTTTTAACACCTGTACCTATGTAGAGTTATTTGGTAAATTCAGAAAGCAGATTATAGTAACGAAAGTGAATAATACTGTATCTCTTGATCAGATACATATATAGACTTAAATATGTCCAGAACTGACTGAAATAAACAAATTTATCCATTTTTGTGTCGAAATCTTTTACTAACTTCTTAAAATAGATTACAAGATCGGACGGTGAGCGTTTGGAGAGAAGCAAAGATCGAACGGTGCGTGAGTGAGTACCTAACCACTTTATTTTGTCCGAGTCGAGCTGGCAATGGACAAGGATGCTGGGATGTCCTCAGGTGGCACTAGTGAAACCCACTTTGACGGACACCGGATCTGTAGGTTGTCGGTAAATATGGACACGTGCCAAAATCTCCCCCATTACCTACACAATATCTCCTTCACTTAATTATGTTTAAGATGTAAGTTTGCATTTACACCAACAATATAAATTATTTAACAACATCAAACTCTCCATTTTCCTAGATATACCAAAAATAACGTGCAAACTTTTTAAAAATAATGTGATACGAATATTTTTTGTTTTTTACAAATGTGAAAGTTAGATAAATTATGGTTTACTGGTTAAAAAGAAAATCCTACGTCGTAATGAGGGGTTCTTGTATTATGAATTTATGATAAAGCTACTCAAGTTCTAAAAGGAAATAATTGATAGCATGATTCTTTTCCATGTCACACTTCATTGGAGATTATTCTTCTTCTTCCTTGTACTTATTTTATTACTATTATAAATTGGTCTTCAATTTGCATTTAGAGTTTTTACCAAAAGAAGAAAGAAATTACGTAATGCTATATCTAAAAATAAAAGTGATGTACTACTACTAGGCAGGTCTAGGTTTATATAGACTACCATAGGCATAAGAGAAAATGGAAAATTTAATATAAAGCAAAAAAATAAGGCTATGATGTCAAATATCACTCATAAATTAAAATAATTTTGGTCTCCCTCTCTCTCTCTCTCTTAGTTTTTTTTTGTTCTCTCTCACCCCTCCTCCATCATAAATCTAGGGCTTTCCAAGAATCTCTATCACACCCTCTTCCCAAAATCTCGGCTATTTTTCTCTCTCTCCACTCACATAGAGAAGATAGATTATACACATAGAGAGATATACCAATCCAAAGCGCATACACATACGAAGAGGGTAAATCTCGAAAACCATCTTCTCTTTGTGGTTGATCCATATTCTATTTATAGAAAAAGGTTCAAATCAAAGAGTTTTATTCTATTATGTTCTTGGTCACTTTTGCAGTTTGAGTATGTCTCTTCTTTTTTTTGTTCTTGATCTGAACAATTATCCATATAATTAGTTCTAATTTCTGGTTACTATTCGTTTTATTTGGTTAAATAAATATTTTGTTTCTTGTGTGATTTAAAACAGAAGATTTTGGATAAAGAATAAATTAGAACTAACTAAAGGATGGTGAGGGGCAAAACGGAGATGAAGAGGATAGAGAACGCAACAAGCAGGCAAGTGACGTTTTCGAAGAGAAGAAATGGACTCTTGAAGAAAGCCTTCGAATTATCTGTTCTTTGTGATGCTGAAGTTGCTTTGGTCATCTTCTCTCCAAGATCCAAACTCTATGAGTTCTCTAGCTCTAGGTATGTCTCTTAATTAACTTTGTTTATCTACGTGTGCAAGATCGATTTACGCTGATCAATTTTTGGATCCGATTCGTCTAGAGGGGCTAGTCCGGTCCCATTTTCACCTTAATTAGTAGATTCAGTGGATTATTTGGTAATATAATGATCAAGATCTGATAAGAGAGTGATATAATGGTGATTTGTTTTTAGGAAAAGTAGATCGGAGTAAGAAATTGGACTACTTTTATAGGATTGAAACTAATTATCTTTTTGAAAGTTATAGTTACCAGATTTTTATGGCACTATAACCTATGAAATATGTGTATATATATGTGTGTGTATACTTGTTATGAGCCATCCATTTTTCTCTGTAGATGAGTTGATCTTTCTGACTTTCTCTATTTACAAAGATATTTTTGATATGGATACAACTTTAATGTAGAGATATTTTTGATGTTTATCCATTTATAACAAAGAAGAGTTTGGCTTCAATGCTATTGCTAGCTATATATGTATGTAGCAAAATCTATGAATTTTTGAGTATATATATATATATATATATATATATATATATGTATGTTCAATATATATATTATCAGCATGTTCATAAATTAGGAAAATAGTCATTTTCAGAATTAACAAGAAATTTCCTTATTTAGATATTTCCACATGTTTATCGCTATGCTGTAATTTAATATAAATGCACATACAGTATGTGTGTCAGTAGGGATACTCATGATTTATGACAGGTATATCTACATTCTACATGAACTTGTAAACGACTGAAATTAGCAATATTAGTTTTCATTATGGTTTGCATGATACATATCGATAAATATATTTGCACATGTGTGAATCAGGCATTGTGAGTTCATGATGATATAACATTCTCAATTTCTCATTCATACGAGTTTACATGCTTCTTTTGTACTATATGTGTATGTGAATGTGCATATATATGGGAAACTATATATGTATGCATGGATATATGTTAAATTTAGCAACAAATTAAGAGTACATTTTGCTTCGATTTTAACCCACACATTGATTTACTTAAGCAATGACTGCGAAGAAGTCAAACGCATGTGTGTAGTGTAGATCAGAATTCATTACTTCTACGTTTTCTCTTATTTTAATTTTTGGGATATAATTTATGCTGAATAAATATATAGTAGTTATAAAGGATTAAGCACTTAACAATTAAATGTCTTTTGAGCAAACTCAAGAGAGGGTTAATTAATCACAATTAACTAGGTATTCTTAACCACATAATCCTTGTTGTTATCCCACTGCTTAATGATATTCTAAAGGTTTAGCTTATTAATTTCAATATCGATTTGAGCGTGTCCATGTGCATCTATATATACTTGTCTCTTCATATATATTGGTGTAGCCATGTAAAATATTGATGCATGATTTTGAATCACAAATCTTAAATAAAATATTGCTATTTCCTGCATTTTGAAGTAAAGAGGAACACTCATTTGTTTTCATATAACCTAGTAATTTGTTTCGAAAAGAAACATGTATATATAATATATGGTCCTCGAAAAATGATTTCATATCCTAACTTTTGGGAACAATGCAACTAAGCCATATCTGCATGATTCTCTGTGTTATTTCTCATTGTCCACAGTTCCATTTCATCAAATATTTAACGGTCATGATGATATATATTCTAAATGCACTAAGAAATGAGAATTGTTTTTGATATAATTAAACTCACATAATTATGTACTTTTCAGTTTTCACACATATATGACTACTTGATTTTGGTATTGACTCCAGACTTTGTTTTTTTCTTCTTTTTTTTTGATTCATTTCAGTATAGCACAAACAATTGAACGCTATCAGAGACGAATAAAAGAAATTGGGACTAACCATAAGAGAAATGATAATTCTCAGGTAAATTCTCATTCATATTTCGGGTTTTACATATTGTGGAAGTATGATTTTCTCTATAAAGATTTTTTGTGTGTTCTAAATGTTTCACAGACTAAACTACTTTTACTTGACAGCAAGCGAGAGACGAAACATCTGGCTTGACAAAAAAGATTGAACAGCTAGAGACATCTAAACGGTTTGAAACTCAAAATATCTTATGAGAAAATCATTTATATAAAATTAGAAACTATAAGGTATTTATAATTTTGATTGTAAAATGATTGCAGAAAATTGCTTGGAGAAGGCATTGATGCATGTTCTATCGAGGAGCTGCAACAGTTAGAGAATCAGTTGGACCGAAGCTTGAGCAGGATAAGAGCCAAGAAGGTGCTATATATTTATATAAGAAATTCACATTACATGTTCATATACATTTTGTTCCAAAAAAAAAAAAAGTTCATATTCATTCATACATACACTCATTTTCGAATGATAAGTGAAACTAGGATTAAGAATATTATAGATACGTTGATGAGAAAGTTTGATGGTTGCTTAATATGATGGAAGTTATATATATGCACATGTGTTTGCGTTTTTAAAAATGATTTTACCATACAAATCTAGTGATCTGCACATGTAAAAGATATAGTTAAAAACCGTTTAGATGTCTCTAGCTGTTTACAAAATTCAAAACCATGCATGTTGTTCTATTAAACATCTAACAAACTGTATAACTGCGGTTTATGGCGTTCCATGCATGAGTCCTATATTTTATGTCTATGTGAATGGTTTGCATGGCCTCACTAATCATATTATCATCCTTGTAATAATGAGTACATATGCAAATGTCTCTATTCATAAATCTATATCTAATGTGGAAATTTGCTTACATCTATATGTATATATTCAATTGTTTTCAGTACCAATTACTCCGTGAAGAAATTGAGAAGTTAAAGGAAGAGGTAAAACAAAATTCATCCTTCTTTAACTTTTTTCGCTTTCTCTAAATGTAAATTACATGAAAAATCATCCTCTTTCTCCATATTAATACTTCACAAAACTGTTCCTTGTCAAAATCTTAGGAGAGGAATCTCGTTAAGGAAAATAAAGAACTGAAGGAAAAGGTACACAATTTTAGTTTCTAGTTATAAATGCTACTATTATTATTATGATATGTAAAATGTGTTGCTGATTAGAAGAGTTTTGGTGAAATTGTGTAAATAAAAGTGGCTTGGAATGGGGGCACCAACAATAGCATCATCACAATCAACGTTATCATCATCAGAAGTGAACATAGATGACAATATGGAAGTGGAGACTGGTTTGTTCATTGGACCTCCTGACACAAGACAATTCATGAAAATTTCTCCTCAAAATTAATCTCACAACTTCTTCAAAAAGAATGTTTAACTATATCATGTATGAACTCTTTTGTCTTTATATATTTTCGTCCAAAAATCTGACATGTAATAATCAATATGTTCTTAATCAAGGAGTTAAACTTAAAAAATTTTACCATGTAAATTACGTTTCTATCTATGACTCTATGAGGGACTTGATTATTTTTTGTAGAATACCAAAAATACAATTGAACAAACCGAATTGGTTTAACTACTTAGTTACGTTAAAGTACAAAGAGAATACAAATGATTAGCGACATAAGCCTTTAGGAGTGGGGACTCTGTAACGAATAAATTGGATTGCGTACTGTCGCTTTCCGGCGAATTTAATTCGGTTTCAGACATTTTCTTTTCACTTTTTATTGTATAGTTTGCGTTTGTGTTTTGCACTTTCGATATTCTCTCTCTAATTCAATCATCATATTCACATATCACAATGTATACTTCCTTTTGTAACACATTCAGTGCCGTGGGTTTCAAGCCTTTGGCCAATATGGGTTGTATCATTTCTTCTCGGAAGAAGAAACCGGCGACAAAAGAGTTGCCGGAAATCCGCCCTCGGTTCCATACTCTTCCATCAGAAAGAAGAATAGCTGAAGATGAAGCCCCAAAGGTATCAGAATTGTTGAAGATGAGTGATAGATTAGGTTCCAAGGAGCTGAAGAGAGAAGAAAGTGTTCTTGTTGTTAATGTTCATCCTAGGTCATCGGAATTAGCTGCCTCGGGTTGGCCACCGTGGCTTATCTCTGTTGCTGGTGAAGCCCTTGTCGGTTGGATCCCTGGCCGTGAATCTAACTTCGAGAAGCAAGAACAAGTCTCTCGCTCTTTCTCTGCCTCTCTTTGTTGATTCTCATCTGATAAAAAGACTTATTCTCTGTATTTGCAACAGATTGGGGGAGGAACATTCAGTAAGGTGTTCAAAGCTAGAGATCTTCTCCGTAACAAGACCGTGGCTTTGAAGAGAATCCGGTTCGACCTCAACAACTCAGAAAGCATCAAATGTATAGCCAGAGAGATCATAATTCTGCGCAAGTTGGATCATCCAAATGTCATTAAATTGGAAGGGTTGATGCTCGTAGACCACGATTCTTCTACCCTTTACCTGATCTTTGAGTACATGGAACATGACCTCTTGGGACTCTCGTCATTACTCGGTGTCCAATTCACAGAACCTCAGGTACTTTTTATCGCTTCTATTCAAGCTCTCTTAATTACTTGGTGTCAAATTCTCAGGTACTCTCTTCTTCTTCTTCTTCTTCTTCTTCTTCTCTGTCAGGTTAAATGCTATATGAGGCAGCTCTTAAGAGGGCTTGATCATTGTCACACTAATCATGTACTCCATCGGGATATAAAAAGCTCGAACCTTCTCATCAACGGTAATGGAGTCCTCAAGATTGCAGATTTTGGATTAGCTACGTTCTTCGATCCTCATAACAGTGTTCCCTTGACAACCCATGTTGCAACTCTATGGTATCGACCTCCTGAGCTTTTGCTTGGAGCTTCTCATTACGGTGTTGGGATTGACTTGTGGAGCACAGGCTGCGTGATAGGTGAATTATATGCCGGAAAGCCTATTCTTCCTGGAAAAAATGAGGTAAGCAATTACATTCCAATCAGTCTTGTTCTTACCAGATAAGCAAAGCCTCAGGCTCTTTCTCTGTATTCTCTTGTTAAGACAGACCAACTGCACAAGATATTCGAGTTGTGTGGATCGCCGTCAGAGGATTATTGGACAAAACTAAAGCTACAGCTTTCAACTCCACTGAGACCCATGTTTCCATATGGATCACATATAGCAGAGACATTTAAACAGTTTCCAACTTCTGTTATTTCGCTCCTAGAAACTTTGGTCTCAATAGATCCAGATTCTCGGGGCACTGCAGCTAGTGCTCTCAAGAGCAAGGTAAGTTTGGATTAGGATCCTTCCGTGTTCCTCTGTAAATTCTTGGTTTGTTGTTCTTATGACTTCACCTGATTAACTTCTTCACGGTGAAACAGTACTTTAAAACTGAGCCATTGGCGTGTGATCCATCTTGTCTACCAAAATACCCTCCCAGTAAGGAAATCAACATTAGAATGAGCAATAAAACTAGAAAACAAGCTTCACATGTTAGAAGAACAGACGAAACTCAAGCTGTCCATCCAATTCTAGCAGATTCTTCTCTCACAAAGCCGGTTCAGGTACCTCTACTCTTAAGGTTTCTTGAGTCTTTTGGCAGAAATATCTGAAAGAAAAGATTATGTATATGCAGAGAAAGTTCTCAGATTCCAAGAGCAGAGACAGTTCATTTACAAAGTCTTACGAGGAAGACGAGACTTACAGTATATCAGATCATTCTGCTGGGAAAATGCAAACATCTACGGACATGATAACCGAGGATGAACCTAAAGCGAAAGTCTCTTACACAGACCCATCTAGAGAAGAACAGAATCTAGGCGGATCAATGAAAATGGAGGAACGCATACCTTGGCCACTGAGTCCATCTAGAGTTAACCCAACAGCAATTCTGCCTAGCCTTTACGAGAATGGAACATCTTCGTCGGGAGGAGGACTAGGTTTCAGACCCACTCTGATTGAGAATTATACTGTCATTTAGATTCAATATAGAAAAATAGACAGATTCAAACACAAAATAAACATTATTGGTCAGTATCTTGCTTTTATTCCTCAAAAAATGCAGGGCATAACTCAGCCGTAAGAAAATCCAATCCAAAAGGTACAAGAGTTCACTGATTTGGGAGAAAATTTGACAACTTCAAACCACCACATTATTTCAACGGTTGCCATTGAAGGGTTTCTCCAGCAAACATAGGGACGATCTCTCCGAAGGAGAAGTTGAAAACGTCTGGAACTTTCCAAGGAGATTTCTTCAGTGTGACCTTTGACGAGTTTCTCGGTAGGCCATAGAAATCAGGTCCATTGAAGCTTGTGAAAGCTTCCAGCTTGTCAAGCGCACCCGCCTGAATGTTAAAGAGGTAAAAGTTATGAACATAAGTAAATCCCAAACTGCGAAAGAAAACTGTTTCAAGTTACAAAGTTTACCTCATCAAAAACCTTGGCGTATAAGGACAAGGCAATGGGAGCGCTGTAAATACCAGCACACCCGCAGGATGATTCTTTTCTACTCCGTTCATGTGGAGCACTATCTGTGCCGAGGAAGAACTTCTTGCTTCCACTAGTTACAGCTTTAACGATGGCTTCTCCTGTACAATGAAGTAAAAGCAATGATCATCAGAAAGGTGCTGTAAGAAATGAAATCTTAATGTTCAAGAGGAAAGTAAAGAACATACTGTGTATCTCTCTTTTGAGAACGGGAAGACAGTAGTTGTGAGGTTGTAATCCACCTTGGAAAAGGGCATTTCTGTTGAGAAGGAGATGTTGTGGTGTGACTGTTGCACCCACAGACCCTATAATCAACAAAAGAGTATGAGCCAGGCAGATTAACAAAAACCAAAAGACAAGAAATGAAAGATAAGATAGTTACAAAACCTTCTTTGCAAGATTCAACAAAATTCACAGCATCCATGGTAGTGATGTGTTCCATCACTACTTTCAGCTGTGGAAGGCGTTGGATCAGAGGCTGCAGAACTGTCTCAATGAAGATTTTCTCGCGGTCAAAGACATCAATACTCGGATCTGTGACCTCCCCATGAACCTAATCAAAACATTCCTCAGTCAAGACAGTCTAAAAGACACAAATACAAGCATAATTTGCTGTGTGATTTATTTACCAGCAAAGGCATGTTTTGTTTGACCATCTCCTCTAGTACCGGTAAGCATTTTCCAAAAAGGTCTGTGACACCATCTTGAGAGTTGGTTGTTGCTCCGGCAGGGTAGAGCTTCACCGCATAAACCACACCACTTTCCCCTAATAACGAGATCATATATGCATAAATTGAACAGTCGCAAGTAGAATCTCAACCTGAAAGAAGTAAATGTATCTTGACTAGTTTGCAACATAATGGTCAAAGCACATGTAACTTACTTGCAAGCTTGATCTCATCAGGCTGAGTTTTGTCAGTCAAATAAAGTGTCATAAGTGGATCAAAGCTGCTCCCATCTGGCAAAGCTTTCATGATAGATTCCCGGTAAGCAACGGCAGCTGCAGTGGTTGTAACAGGCGGCTTGAGATTTGGCATCACAATAGCTCTCTTGAAATTACTCGCACTACACAGAATTACACACACCATTAACCATCATGTACATCAAAATCATCAACGCAAACACAAAATTGTGACTGAGGAATATCCATACATAACAATGGTTCCACAAGAAACACCAATAACAAACAAAAAAAAGTGGCTGCAAAACAAAGCAAAGAAGAAAGATTGTAAAAAGTTATAAGACCTGTGGGGAACAACGGCATGAAGAAGATCACCATCACGGAGATGAAGATGCCAATCATCAGGTTGAGTGATAGTGAGCTCCATTCTTACTGCTCTCGTCTTCACTTTCTTACAAGATCTGTCAAACTTCAACTTCTGAGATCCAAATCCCTACAGACGCATAGGAGGTAATTAAATAAAATAAAAAAACTGGGTCACGTGGTTTGAACGAGAACAAGAAGACTCAAAGAGTGGTGTACATACACTAGTACAAGGAGAAACCAAAGTCTTTATCATCTCAAAGCTCAAGGCTTTGCAAGATTCACCTATTCAAAACACCAATAAAGAGAACACATTGTTCAGGAGCGTCCTTTAAATGTAAAGAAAAGAAATTTGTTCAATTCAATTAGAAAATGGCGAACGAAGAGGAAGAAGAAGGTTAATACCGAGTTCACGAACCGAGTCAATTTCCCTCTTTTCTTTTTCAGATTATAAATGACAGCTTTTTTGGTGTTTCCTGATTTCCAGATTTAATTTGGACGATGAACCCTAAAAAATTTCTCCCCTGTTTTTTTTTTTACTGTTCAGATTTAAAAATGACAACCTTTATTGGTTTTTTGGTGTTTCATTATTTTTTTTTCTTCCTCGATTTTATTATTGAATGAAATTAAGAGATATGGATCAAAAATTTTGTTGACAAGTGATTTGTCAAATTCATGAATCTCCTTCAAAGTCATTAATCACTTGACTAAAATTTTACATGTTTTTACTTTTCAACATACACATCCACGTGGGAATCGAGCACTGGACATTGTAGATTCAGTGATCACAAAGAATGTTTCAAGAAACGAGATGATGAAATGTATCAAGATAGGAGTAGGACTCTTATGCGTTCAAGAGAGTGTAATGAGAAGACCAAACATGAACTCAATAGTTCATTGGCTCAACAGTAATACTCTCTGACTCATCATACCGGTTCCATTAACACCTGCGTTTGTTGTCCACGACGTTTTAAGTGAAGCTATCTCGAGTTTCACTGTGAAGATTGGTTTAATCCGGTTCAATGGTGAAATTCCAAAAAAAAAGTCGATTTTACTTCATTACTTTCCATAAACTCTGCTTTTGTAGATAAGAAATAAGAAATCAAATAACTAAACCGAGTAAACAATGGAATTAAATAGAACCGGTACTAAACCGGATAACTTTGGGTGCGACAACTACATGAGTTAGGTTCGGTTAGAGCCGAATCTGTGTCTTTTTGTCGCAACGAGATGGCTAAGTTATCCAAAAAGACGGTTAGAGCCAGTTGTTAGCCCCACCATGACGACACATGGGGAAGCTCATGCAAAGATTAAGAGAACACGTGGCACTCTCTCGTGTTCAGAAAAATTCCAAAAGAGTGTTCAGATTTGGGCACGGAAGTGTGAAACGTGAAGCAACGAATCCCTTTTAAACACAAGAACCAACCTAATACGCATCACAAAGAACCCTAAATTCCAGGAAGATTGAAAAACCAAAGCTTCAAGCAAAGGAAAAAACTCAAAATTTGGGTCTTTTATTTCTTCAAAAGTTACAAGCTTTTGATTGTGCTTTGAACACGCAAGAAATCGCGTGAAAAATTTGTATCCAAGCTTCGCAGAAGGGTCTCTCTTTATTTAGGTGTTTTGTTCTGTTCTAATTTCTGAAAAATTGAAGCTTTTGATTTGGTTTCAAGAGAGCAGAGAGATGTGTAGTTTGTCGGCGAATCTGTTGCTACCAACGAAGCTGAAACCAGCTTATTCAGACAAACGGAGTAACAGTAGCAGCAGCTCACTCTTCTTCACCAACAGAAGATCCAAGAAGAAGAATCAATCGATTGTTCCCGTAAGGATTTGTTCTTTTTAATCATTTTGAAAAAGAATTTGTATGTATTGATGGAAGTTGTTTTGTCTTTTCTCATCTATGTCTGGATTCAAGGAATTTTGAGTGCCGACAAATGAATCTTGAAATCAAAGTAACAAAATATTCGAATAATTTGAGAGTTTTGTTGGATTTGGTGCAGGTTGCAAGATTGTTTGGACCGGCGATTTTCGAATCATCCAAATTGAAAGTATTGTTTTTAGGGGTTGATGAGAAGAAGCATCCTTCAACGCTACCAAGAACTTACACTCTCACTCACAGTGACATTACTGCTAAATTAACTTTAGCTATTTCTCATTCCATAAACAATTCTCAGGTGAAAACACCTCTCTCTCTGGTCTTAACACACATACAATGCATAGTAGTACATATACATGGCTCTGTATGATTGTCATTTGGAGCAACTATTAGAGGCTTATGTATGATTGTTTTAGTGTCTATGTACGTGTCTATATTTACCAGAATCTTTAACACTTTAGAGGCTGATATGTATAGAAATGTTGTGTATAGTTGCAAGGATGGGCAAATAGGCTATACCGAGATGAAGTGGTGGCAGAATGGAAGAAAGTGAAAGGGAAAATGTCGCTTCACGTTCATTGTCACATAAGCGGTGGCCATTTCCTTTTAGATCTCTTTGCAAAGTTTCGATACTTCATCTTTTGCAAAGAACTACCAGTGGTAAGTTCCTACTTTCAATAGAAGCTTTTTCTTATTGGTATCATGTAAAACAAGTGTTGATTGCTATGATATATTCAGGTATTGAAGGCTTTTGTGCATGGAGATGGGAACTTGTTGAACAATTACCCTGAGTTACAAGAAGCTCTTGTTTGGGTTTACTTCCATTCTAATGTCAACGAGTTCAACAAAGTCGAATGTTGGGGTCCGCTTTGGGAAGCTGTTTCGCCTGATGGTCACAAGACTGAGACTCTTCCCGATGCTCAGTGCGCGGAAGAGTGTAGTTGTTGTTTTCCAACCGTTAGCTCGATTCCATGGTCTCATAGTCTTAGTAATGAAGGTGTAAATGGTTACTCTGGGACTCAGACTGAAGGAATTGCTACTCCTAATCCGGAGAAACTCTAGTGATTTGAAATTACAAGTTTTTCTTTTGGTTTCTGGTAGTTTGTATAAAGTGAAAAGGAAATGTCAGGTCTTTCCTTTTGGTGGATCTAAAAAAATATTGGTTTGGTTTGGTGTACATAATGTGGTATAGGAAAATAATGATTATTTGTAGGTTAAATACAAAAATTTAAGTATTGATATTTTGTGTCTACTCTAAAGTCTTGTGTCTTGACCAATCATAGTAAGTATTAGTATACTAGTAGTATCTCATCCACAAGATCAAAATGTAAATCTGCCACAGATTTGCTATATTAAAGGTGACAGACTGGTATAGTACTGCAAACATAAAGATGAATAAGAAGTTGTTTAATGAAACTATATATTATTTAAATATGAAAACATTCATGAGAATCATCACCAATATAAAGTAATACTAATATCCGAAATAAGAATAAAGTTATATCTATAAAAAATAAGAAAACATTCATGAGAATCATCAACAAAGTAAAGTAATAGACGCATAGTAAGACCGAATTCGACGGTGTAACACATGAGAAACAAAAGAGAAACGTGAAGGTAAAGAGATGGCAAAAGACTTCTTAGTCTCTGGTGGTTTTACAAAGCGTATCAGCCACCTCTTGCTTCTAATGATTCCAAATCATTTTCTTGGATTTATTTGGTCTCTTTCTTCATATCTTTTTCATTTTATAACCAAATAAAGATGACTTTTTTTTCTCTGACCCCATTCGTCTATCTAATTTACTACCAAATACAGAAAGAGAAGAAGAACAAGTAATATAGAGAATGGGCAACGAATTATTGCATTATTATTATGGGCTCATTTATAAAATGTTGTGTTCGTAAGTAAATAAATACAAGAAACTATATTTGATATATGAAGTAAAATTGAATAAAGATATACACTTTGGAAAATTTTGAAGAAAATGTTGCGCATCTTGACGAACCCAAAGATCGTGGTTAAATCAAAAGGGCTAGATCTTTTTGCATCCGTGTGTGTAAAAGAATTTAATGACTCTCTCCCGTGTGAAAAAAGTTGGTTGAGACGACCAACTCAAGCTGGCTGCTGAAGAAATGAAGAATTTATGACTTTGTCTTGTGTGTTTTGAAAGAAAAGTTTCACCGAATTGTTGTTCTACCAAAGAAAGACGACCCGATTTCACTATCCGTATTCTGAAACAGAGCCAAAAACATCGAATTAGTTCATCGGAAAATAGTATTTTCGGATCGTTAAGTTATTATACAAGTACAGATTAAGTTGGTTTTTACCTGAGATTTTGGGGATGGGAACACGTTCCAGAACCGTAAGGTTTCATCCCCTGCTCCTGTTACAATCGTCTGTCCATCGGGTGAAACCGCAAGGTACAGGACGCGGTATGTGTGACCAGTAAGAGTTGCAATCTGAACAAACGAAAAAACATCTGATAATGCTCGATGATGGAGACTAATGTACAGACACAAAGGTCATAGAGATTTCATACTTTGGACATGGTTGGGTATTTCCAGACAATGATTTGGTTCTGAGAGTATCCGTGCGTGCTAACTAGCTCGTTTACGTTCTTAGACCAAGCCAGATTGCATACCTGTAATATGCAAGAACAAAGATAATTACTAACCATGAAATGTTGGTAATGTTTTGAGAGTCATGTCAAGTTTAGAAATTTACCTGACTGCAAGTATCTATGGAACTTAAATGAGTATTCGTTGTTGTATTCCAAAAACGTATGCACCGATCAGCAGTTCCCCCACCAGAAGCAAGAAGCCCATGAACATGAGGAGACCAAGCAATGGCTTTCACCGCTGCAGTGTGTTCACTATATTTCAAAACCGGTTGTGTTGAATGTTGGTTCCATACAAAAAGCTGCAATATTTTATAACCATTTTAGCCATGTTGGGGGTTAAAAAAGAAGACTAATGTAACCGCAAATGAAGAAAATAAATAGTACATACCCGATTGTCGTTTCCACCAGATGCTAACTCTCTGTTGTCATAAGACCACTTGAGTCCGCATACCTCAGATTTGTGACCTGTAAGTTTACTGACATGATCTTCTTGACACCTTATGTCTCTCTGAAGAATACTCTTATCTCTGCTACCAGATGACAGAACCGATGAACCCCATGCCAGGGCTCCAACTCTTAGACGATGACCTTCCATTGTTCTTGTTCTCTTGCAGCGCGACGCATCCCATATCTACCAAAAGGTCCAAAACACAACTAAAGCGAGTATTCCATAGAAAGAACATCATAAATTTCTCAGATAAATGAAAATCCTATCCGCCAAATACGCTCAGATACTTTCCATCGTATCCATAAATGATTTAGCTTCATTCAAGGCATTTTCCAAATACATACAAGCCCTTGATAATGCTTTATTCGAGCATATCTTCTCGATAAAGAAAACATCTTTATAATAATCCTACCACTAATGATCAAGATCATACCAGTAAAAGATAAGGCAAGTATCCTACAGTCCATACGATAAGGTCTAATCATGTTGTAACTGTAAGTAGTTTACTTTAAAATATTTCTTCCAAATTCAGAAAGTTGCAAAGTAACGTAAATTTTAGTTACACATAAGCATAGGCCTAAAAGTATGTAACAGGAAAAAAACAGAGTAAATGAGATCTAACCTGAACTTTCCCGGTACTAGTTCCAACAGCCAGATGAGTTCCACGTAACGCCCAACCCACTGAGCAAACACTATCCTCAGCTCCGAGATCACATAACTTAGTTACCTGTTGAATTTCAAGGAAGAAATCAACATCAAAACAATTAGAAACTACTGTGAATTATTCGAAATTTATAAATGACAAAAAATACTCACCTTGCTGCTACAAGCATTCCATAAATAAACGCAGTTCCCTAATCCCACTGCAAGAACATTTTGTGCAGACCAGTCCACAAGATTCAGATAAAAATCATCTTGCAAGGCCGGTGCATCCAATACCTAAACAACACAAAGAAGCCTCTGTTATCATCTGTAGTAACATAGCCCATAAACAAATATCCAAATCCAATAACAACATCAAGCTCTGCGCATTTACAAACACACTAAGAACTATCTAAAGAACAATAAAAAACAAACATTCTTCATCATCTAGATCACTCTACACTAGTAAAGACTACAAAAAAAAACCTCTGTTATCAGCTGTAGCAACATTGCCCACAAACACATACCCAAATCCAGTAACAAGATTTAAGCTTTTCTCATCTACAACAGCACTAAGAACATTAAACAACAAGCATTCTTCAATACTGGTTTCATCTATATCACATAACCCCAGACTCCAATTCTAGACCATCAGAGAACAAAACATCACCAAGATCACAAATTTTTTCATGTAAAAACGAAATCAAACATCAAAAGTCAACAAGATCAAGAATCTAAGCTCCCCAACCCCCAGAATCTGCAGACATTACACAAAAACCCATCGAAGAAAAAAACAATAAATTTCACACAATGCGCACAAACCACTTAAAAACACAAGATATGATCCAGATTCAATGATCAAAACACAAAAATCAACAAAAAATCAACAATGCATCATCCCCAGAAATCAAAATCCTCACTTTATACGGCGATCGCGGAACTTTCCTCGGAGCTTTAACAGGACTATGACAAACACCAGGAGAATCATCAACACCAAAAGGAGAAAAAGAATTCAAAGACCGATGCGTCTCCGTCTTAAACCTGAAAATATTCCTGGAAGAAGAGAACCCAGTAATATCTCTCTTCTCCGGCGTCTCTGGTCCAAACATGGCCGCACGCAACAGAGTAGCGTAAGAGCCAGCTCCATCTTCCTTACCATCTTTACTAGGAGAAGGAGATAGATCGAAGAGAGCAAAATTGGATCCGGATCTACTGGGAATAAATCTATCAGAGTATATAGACCTTGATGGTGATTGAGATTGATTAGCATTGATTAATCGATTGATTCGTGACTCAAGTGAAACCACCGGAGTATTCATCGACGGCGATAGATTTCTCTGAGATGAAGAATTCGAATTCGTTATCACATTGCTTGCGCTAGGATCTTCTTCTTCCATGGTTTTTTTTTTTGTTGACTCTTTTTTTTTTGGTTCGTCTTCAGATTTAACAAAGGCTTTTTTGTTGAAGTGTTGTTGAAACCTCTCTTTGTCCTTTTTATTGAAAGTTTTTTTCTTTTTTTGTTTTTAATCTTTTTACCTTTTTGACATTTTTTTTTATTTTTTTTCTTTTTCCCGGGAAATCTCAGGCAAAACAGAAAACGACATGTGAAGTTATGCGATTTTAAGCGGTGTGGTTTCAGGTAAGGACCGTGAGGTTTAAGCTTCTGATTACTGTCTGATTCAATCTTAATCGTTGGATTAAAATCTTAAGGTTTAATGGGCTTTAAGATGGGCCTTTTTTTACTCTTTTTTGTTGAAAGCAGTTAAAACTCTAGTGATCTTGTAGAAGAATCTTAGATGGCAGGCGTTGACAATATAAAAAAAAAATAGTTGATAAATGTTATAGATCTAATGCCAAATCAAGCCAAAACATGCTGATTTTAAATATTAAAAATTAGATCTGATTTGTATTAAATTGGTTTTTAATTTCATATCTAAGAGACTTGTGAGATACAAAAGTCCATAGTACCTAAACTTGAATATTAAAGATATAGTAGAAAATTTTCCAAAAGGATATATACTAGTCAAAAATAGTTCAATGAAATTTTAGAAAAAAAACTACACTTATAGAGTAATAAGAAATTATTTTTTCTTAATAGACTAAAACAATAAAACTGAAAAGAAAAAAAATCTTAGTTATATATCTTACAGAATTGAGATACAAAGTACAACAAACCAAATATCAAAGATAGAAAAGAAAATTCGCCAAAACATAGTCAATATAATCCAAACAAAATATAACAAAACATATTTCAAATTTTATTTTAATTTTTCTTAAACTAAAACACTAAAAAACTGAAAGAAAAAGTAAAACAAAATCTTTCTAAAATGAGTAAAAATTGATTGCAAGTTGCAATGAAGGTGGTGATTTGTTTATAATTCCGTACTTCGCATTAACGATAGCTTACTGGAGAAGATGCTTGTTGATGTTGTAGGTGGAAAATTCTATTAACTTGTCATAATACTGGAAATGTATATTTTCTTCACGAAATCAGAAATATATGTGTTAATTATAAACTTGGAAAAAAAAAGTGAGTTAATAAATCAAAATGAAAAAAAAAAGCTTATAGTATGAAAGTAGGGGGGAGGGGGACTATCTGATATTTTTTTGATAAATTGCATAATTTCACTGACCATAACATATAAAACATATATACTATAAATAATTTTTAAAAAAAAAATTAAAAAGGAGAAAATTCTCCATTCTGTAAAAGCCTTTACTTTTGCAGAAGGTAAAAAGAAAAGAAAAGATTATAGCCGTTTAAACAAAACTAAAAAAAAATGGACGAAAATTCATTTTGAAGCCATTGAAACTATTTATATAAAAATATTTATCTTAAGATACTCAATTAACACAAAAAGAGGAAAAATCAGAAAACAAATGATAATTATGGATAATTACTATTCAAATGAGTGTTTTTATACCTATCATCGGCAATTCTAGGAAGAGTTCTAGTTCCAGGAGCAGTAGGAGCTCTAACATGACCCACCATTGAAACCTGAAGTGCTTCTTCTTCATAAGCTCTTCTCTCCATTTCTTCTCTCATTGCTTTTTTCTTCACCTTCACCAACATCGCCACCACTAACATTCCCAGCAGAATTGCTCCAATCCCTGACCCAATCACACTCCCCACCGCCACTTTCCACCGGCTCAACTTTCCTCCTCCGTTGCCACCATTCATATCCGTCGATGACGTCACCACTCCACCACCACCACCGTCATGATCATCTTTACGAGCTTCGGTTTTCATCACGAGAGCGTAATGCCCTTGTCTTGTCCCTTTACAAACAGACGGCGAAACTTGCTCACTAAACGTTGTGTTACCGTTACTTGTGAAACACGCACACAAGACAGATGAGTTCTTCTTCATCGTCGCCTTAGGGTTAGGGTTATCAGTTGTCGTGCTGCTCAAGAAATCGATCAAAATTGGGTTTTGATCGGTAGCCATAACGTTTACCTCGTAAGGGTTCGTGGCCACACCGTCAGGGTTAGCATTATAAGCCAATAAACCGAGAACCGGTGATACGAGCTTGTAATTGTAACCGGATAAGTTATAACCAGTAGAGTAGATTGAGGACCAATTCAAACCAAGGTTTTGTCTAATTAGCATGACTCTCTCCGGACATGGCTCCACCGTCACGCCTGAACCGATGTGAAACTCTCCAATTTTTGCTCCATATCTTCTCAAACTCCCACACCTTAACTTGACTGTGTCAATATCGATACCAGAGAAATTAGACGGTAGATGGATTTTCTGAGTGATGCCTGTGTTGAGATTGAGCTTAAAGTTTCTAATGGTGTAATCTCTGATCATGAGATCAAGAAGATGTGTAGATTGAATCGATTGAGACTCAGATTGGTGGAATGATAAGAGAAGTATGATGATGATGATACAAAAAGAGAATGAGTCCATGAGAGGATCAAGAGAATCTAGTGTTTACAGAGGAAGTGAAGAAGAGGAAAGAAAGAAAAGTTTTGATTGTGTTTTTACTTTTGTGGGGGATGTGTTTTTAGGACAGACCATTATAAACACTTACACTTCATTTGTCAGATTTCTCTTTTACCTTTTTAGAAGACATAATAATTGTTAAATAAGCATATGACCGTTCTAACGTAGAGGTTTAAAATTTTAAATGTTTTAATTGATAGGTCTAGTGGAGGAGAAAATTGGATCAATGATGATAGAGGCATGAGAAGATGATGATCATGATTACACTTCTATGTTAATCAATTTCATGAAAAAGAAAAAAATTTGTAATCTATTTTTATACCAAAAAAAAGAGAGACATTGGCGTGCTAATGTTTTGTGTGACTTTATCCTCTTTTGTGTAATGTTTGTTACCTTTGTCTGTCCTTTCATTATATATGTTCTTGACTTTAGTTCTCTTCTCAATCAATCTCTTTATGTTACACACCATTTCAAAATTTTGACTCCCAAATTCAACCTATGCATTTCTCATACTTGTTGAATTGTAGAGCATAATTTCTTGTTAACGCGCTAAAGATTCAAAACCGAGTTTACGGTAATTGATCTTCGCGGTTAAATCCAAAGTTAATTATTATTGTACAATTTATTTAGTAAAGGTTTTATTTTCGGATAAATCTGATTCGGTTTTTAAGTTTTCGGATTTGGTCTTTCATATTTACAAAAGGTAGATGAAGTCTCATATAATATATCTCTTATTGTTTACACAATACTTACAAATTAGAAAACATGTGAAGGAGAGAGAGCTAACATGGAAGATCTTACATATACATTAACTTCGAATCTATTTTGCTTCTGACAAAACCCATTCTTCTTTTTCCATCTTCATCTAGCTGGAAAATCAAGTTTTATTATCTCAGATTTCCATGTGATTTAAAAAGAGTAACTAATCAGAATTTACTATAAATGAGATGTGTACCTCACAGGGTTCAAGCTTGGCTTCCTTCTGGCAATGTGATCAACCGAGAACCCGAGTCATACACCATCGCGGTTCCACAGCTAAAACCACGAAAGAAACAGAGATAATTAAAGATTTGGATAGTGTTATATGTTAAAATTTTTGAAACCAGATCTTAAGTTAAAATCTTACTTGGTGCATTTGACAGCGTTGGTTTTGCCACCACTGGAGATTGACAGAATTGTTCCAAAGAAGGAGGTGTTTTCCGTTCCACAATTCGGACAAGGACCCTATGAAACAAGAACATTCATTAAGGATTCTCTTGTTGCTTTTCTTTTGCGATCTTGAGTAATGGTTCTTACCTTCAAGATCAAGAAGTCTTTGATGATCAGTTTGGTGATTGATAAAGCCAGATATACAATCACAGGCACGGCAGCGAACCACGTGAATATGAAACTGTATGGTTCCGGAAGCTCCAAGATGTATGTGATCTCAAAACCTGTAATGTCGTCGAGGAAGAAAAATCTGCAAGTACACAATTGAAAGAAAACATATAAGAAAAGAAAACATCAGAGTTTTCTATGATTTGAATGTTCGAATAGAGAACTCGGTATAGAGACTCACAGTCCGAGAGCAACAACGGTTGCTGGAACATTCAACAGTAACATTTTGAAATAATCTACAGCGAGATCACTATACACCTGCATTTGAGGAAGTTCACAAAGACCGTAATTCAATATCTTCCTACGGTCTAATCTGAACAATGAATCTTATGCTATATTTACCTTTTTACTACGGAGACTGCATCTTGGACCCTCACACACAATTTCGCTGCCATCAATCTACATGGAAACAAAAAGAATCATAAACTTGAAGCTTAAAACAATCTTATAAGGATATGTCTATTTTGAGTGAAGCATAAAATGTGAATGGAACCTTTAGTTTCAGTTTGAGCTTATCATATTCTTCATCATTCAAGATTGGATTTCCAGAAACATAAGCCATCGAAGCTTCCAAGAACCTTTGTTCATCAGAACCTGTGTTTCATAAAACCAATAAAAGATTAGGACTTTACACCTAAAGAAACCAAAACAAAGAAATGAAATTTAGTCTCATAGTTGATTACTTAGCATCACAACACTGCTTCCTTCCCACATTAACTCGTCTTTAAGATTATCAAACTCTTCATTAGACATGATTGCTTTGCCATCGTAATAGAAAGACTGTAAGAAAAACACAAAAACAATTCTCAGGCTCTTGAGGAATATATGTATCATGTTTTGGCAACTATAAAAGGATGGTTTATGTAGCGTTACTTGCATCGCTTGGAGAAACTCTTGTTCCATTTCACCAATTGTTTTCTTCTCAGCCCTGTTGATGCTACAATAAGGCAAAACATTGCTATCGACGTTGTCTCCTCCCCCTGTACCTTGACCAAAACCAAAGACTCTAATTCAGAGCAAATATAAAGTTGATACTTTGTAACTCTTGACATTGCAGACATATAGAACAGAGATAAACTCTAAACAATGAAAGGAAGTCCAATACAAACAATCTTTGGTAAATCAGAATTATAATAGCCAATGAATCAATCAAACCCACCAAGAATTTAGTGACTGAAAAAACATAACTTTCAGAGCCAGAGACGTTGAATTCAAAGAATTTACCCAAAATTCTCAAAGGCTACAACTTTGGAAACTCAGTTGTGAACGAACTTGAAGCCAATGGTTATTATATAAACAGAAAACTAAAACGGAGAGATTCATAATCGAGACCTGATTGTTCTGTTGTGGCTTTAGCAGGCAATAAGAAGACTCTTCTTCTCAAAGAAATCGATTTTGCAGGGGTGAGCTGAGCCCACTGAGTCCTCGACGACGACGGAGAGAAAGAAGAGGTGGGTTTGCGAGAAACGGCGGAGAAAAGTCGAGGACTTGTCAAACTAAACAACATCTTGCTACCCATTTTCCCTGAGAGAGATAGAGAGAAAAGGAGCTCCTTTTCCTCTGTTTTTTCAGCAAGTATGAATCTGTTGTTGAAGATATGTTACTGTGAGCTTCTCAGGTTTGTTCTGATTTTTGAGTTTTTTTTCTTCTAAATTATTATTTTTATTGTATAGGAATTTTGGAGGGAAGAAATTAGAAGATAAGAGAGGTGTGGAGATGAATTCCTTGGCAGATCTCTCTTATTTTCTCCTCTCATCCTCATAAACAGAATATCCACGTCAGCATTAAATATCCAGATTTTTTATACAAAAAAAACTTTAAATAGACTATAAAGACATAATTTTTAGTTGACAAAAAAAAAAAACATAATTTTTAGGCTTTGATTATACAAAAAATTACTGTAAGAAGATTTTTAGAAAAAGTTGGTAATTTTTTTTTGCATTCCAAAAAAAAAAAAAAAACTATTGGTAGAAGAACTAGTAGAGGTGAACACGTGGAGGCACGATTTAGCCACGTGCACACAGACGACGAAGAACGCCAAGTCAACAAGTGTAACGTTGAATCAGTGGCGGAGGCAAGTGTAGTAGAGGGGGGTCAACTGACCCCAACAAAATTTAATTATCCTTTATATTTTATAAGATATTGTAACATTGACCCCACTGAAAATTTAACATTGACCCCTATAAATTTGATTTCAACTCATGCTTTACTTAAAAAAAGACAGAAAACCCATATTTTTCTAGCTACAAAAAGATTTGGTCCTTTAGATTAAACCTAAATATATAATACGATAATTAATGCCATGTAAACTTTTTAAAAAATTTCAATGTTCTTTTTGTTTTGTATAATTTTGACCCCAATGAAAGCTCGTCCTAGCTCCGCCACTGCGTTGAATCGTTTGATAGCGATTGCTTTCATTCTATTGTGACTATTTTTGGGCTTTAAGAATTTACGAGTTCCCACTTCCCAAGCCCATAGGGTAGTAATCTTTTTGACCGTTGGATCATATGCGTGATACGAAACCAATCAGTCAACACAACCATCCTCTCCCGTTGACCGTGAAGTGAGTCACGCACTTACCTCACACACAATATCACTAACCACCGGTAGCTCTACGTTTCTCTTAGTTCGGTAACTAACTCTTCTTTTTCTTCTAACTAAATTTATAATACAATCTTTGCTATATATAAGAAGAGCCTTTGCACATTTCATTTACTTGCAACCAGTTACAAAAAAGAGAGTGTAGAATAAAAACAGAACAAATCCTTCTTTTTTTTACTCTGCTTTTTTCTCTGTTTTAGCTTTTTAAAGAAGACAAAGAAGATGGTTGCTGTTGAAAGAGTTGAGAGTTTAGCAAAGAGTGGAATCATATCAATTCCGAAAGAGTACATTCGTCCCAAAGAAGAGCTCGAGAGCATCAACGACGTTTTCCTAGAAGAGAAGAAAGAAGACGGTCCTCAAGTTCCTACAATCGATCTACAAAACATCGAGTCAGACAATGAAAAGATCCGTGAGACTTGCATTGAGGAACTGAAAAAGGCAGCTTTGGATTGGGGAGTGATGCATTTGATCAACCATGGAATATCTGTTGATCTAATGGAGCGGGTTAAGAAAGCCGGGGAAGAGTTTTTCGGTTTGTCCGTTGAAGAGAAGGAGAAGTATGCGAATGATCAAGCCACAGGAAAAATTCAAGGGTATGGAAGTAAGTTAGCTAACAACGCTTGCGGACAATTGGAATGGGAAGATTACTTCTTTCATCTTGTGTATCCTGAAGACAAGAGAGATCTATCACTTTGGCCTAAGACACCAACTGATTACATGTAAGCTTTGAATTGTTTTACTTAAGAAAACAAATCTTGTTTTGGTTATGTATCCTTTTGTTAACGTTTTTGGGTGATTGTAGAGAGGCAACGAGTGAGTACGCGAAGTGTCTTCGTTTGTTAGCAACAAAAGTCTTCAAGGCTCTCTCTATCGGTCTAGGCTTAGAGCCTGATCGTCTAGAGAAAGAAGTTGGTGGTTTAGAAGAGCTTCTTCTACAAATGAAGATAAATTACTATCCAAAATGTCCTCAGCCTGAGCTAGCACTAGGTGTGGAAGCTCACACCGATGTAAGCGCTTTAACCTTCATTCTACACAACATGGTTCCCGGTTTGCAGCTATTCTACGAGGGAAAATGGGTCACTGCAAAATGTGTTCCTAATTCGATTGTGATGCACATTGGAGATACTTTAGAGATTCTTAGTAATGGGAAGTATAAGAGTATACTTCATCGCGGGTTGGTGAATAAGGAGAAGGTTAGGATTTCGTGGGCTGTGTTTTGTGAGCCACCAAAGGATAAGATTGTTCTTAAGCCGTTGCCGGAGATGGTGAGTGTTGAGTCTCCGGCTAAGTTTCCTCCAAGGACATTTGCTCAACATATTGAGCATAAGTTGTTTGGGAAGGAACAAGAGGAATTGGTGTCTGAGAAAAATGATTAAGTTTGTGTGTTTAGTCTTATATATAAGCCTCTATATTTCGAGTTTTTTTTTTTTTTTTTTTTGTGTCTCTTATTGAAGATGTGAAGTGTCATTGTGATGTGTAAGAAGAAAAAAGTCCATCTTCGTTTTCATTTTCTAAACTGTTTTCGATATCTTTGAAGTGATGATATATGAATCATAAAGATTTGTAACCGAGATTACAGAAAGAGACAAATGAGTAACCAAGAGTGATGATACATGTAGTAGATCTATGAACCACATGTTGTATTAAGAACTTGAAAGTATTTCTGATTTACATTTTCTGTTTTTCCTTTTTATGATACTAATGTAAGAAAACAGATGCCGAAGAAAGCAAAGAGAGAGGGAGATGCATTATATGGCTCATTATTATGAGAAACTGAAGAATGCGGTTTGCTTTGCTTTCTCCTTTCTTCCTTTTTCCTCAAGACGAATTGGTCTATACTTCTTTTGATTTCAAAATGTTAGCTTCAGGTTGAAGAAGAACCAATTCTGAATGTACATAAGGCGATGATTCCAGATACTACAAATGCGCGTTTCTGTACCATCAGCGAATGCCTAAGCTCCTGCAAAATTAAAAACAACAAAAGATATAAGTATAGCTCTTGCAAAATTAAAAACAACATTGACATCAAAAGATACAAGTATATATGTTGTTGCAGATTTGATCAGATGCATATTTCAGAAGTTAGCGGTTGCAGCCTTGACTTTATTATTAGCTTACCTACTAGCTGTCCATTGCTGGTTTGTTTCAGGAGTTATTCCACTATTACCAAATTGTATCTGTTGTCCCGCTGAAGAGACTGGTTTTCCCGCTGCCAATCTTGGTACCTGTAATGGATCGGAGTATCGACTTAAGAATTTACGAAACCTCTGTTGTAAATGGTTGCAAACTCCTTTTCAAGTTAAGAGCTTACCTCATTCCTTGCTTGGAAAGAGTTCATTCTATTTTCCTTCGAGACCTAATGCCAAGAAAAGATTGCAACTCAATGATTAGACTTGGGAATGGAAGAAAACAAATCAAGTGACAGGGAAGTTTCACAAGCTGCACCTTTGGTTGAAATAATCTTGTGCGAGATCCATCGTTTGGCTGGAGCTCGGATTTGATGGAGAGCTGTAAGTTAATCAAATCAGGTCAAAAACTAGGAGACTATTTAAATAACTAGAGTGCGTTTTAGAAAGATCATATGTCAAACCATGAGCTGTATACCTTGCTGAAAAGGTCTGTCGGTAAATCTGGTTGAACTCTCTTTTCCGAATGAAAATTAAACTCCTGTGTTACATATCCGAAAACAGTTTATGTGTACACATTAGGAAACTTCATTCATAAACATACCAGAAGATCAAGTGCAAAGAATAATTGGTAAGAATACCATACCAAAGGTACTGTTGTTTCTCGCTTGCTATTTTTGAAAATGCCCATGTCTCCTCTGCTTGAAAGTATCTGTTTAGAAGGAGTGAAAAACCTATATTAGGAGTGAAAATTATAATATAAGCGAATAAGACTCAAGAATGGATAGTACCTTCTTGTTCAGAGGACGAGCTTTAAAAACGTGACTTCCTTCTGAGACATCATGTTTTGATATATCCATAACGCTTGGTCTGCCAGAAAAAAATCAACTTTTAACATTATATTCACGTCAAAGACAAGTTGAAGTCAGAAAATCAAGCAATCCTTCATAAATTTTTCTTTGAATAGTGATTTTTTAAGTCATACCTCTTACTTTCCTTGTTATCACCGTCAATCATATCAGTTAGAATAGATTTGTCTAACCCCTGTCACAAAGAAATTCTATCACTTTAGAGGCAGCTCTTTGAGAAGGATCAAGTTATTCAGATGAAAGACCTTGGTAAGATCACAGGACACAGGATAAACTACTATAAAGAAATATCGTTGCTACCTTATATGCATGAGACCTTGTTGTTACTGCTGATGAATGTTGCATAGCCCTTTCTGAAGTCTTCAAATGGAATTCCTGAAAAGAAATGGCAATATATTTAAGCTAAAGCCTTAAACCTGACTATGGTGTGGAAATACTAAAGCAGCTGCTGAGACGAATTCATTTGTAATGCTTACTTGAAATTCTGGTAGTTTCGGAGTGCTCTTTTTCCGGATGGGCAATGAGGGAGCATCAAATATCTACAGATCACAAACATTAGCTTGAGTTTGGCAACGATAATGCAATCATTTCCATAACACATTTCTTAGTAGCAGATGCAAAGTTACAAACCTTTCGGTTAAATGGGCGTGCTTTGAATCTATATACAGTTGTTGAGTCCTGTTCTAACTTCGCGTCATTCTTGTGCCTGAAATAATCATTAGCAAAATATCTGGTGAAATGTGACCTTTCCTGTAACAATTCACTTTCAGCAAACATATAGTTTCTAACCGTATCCTGTGAGCCCTCTGTGACGTAGCAAAATCAGGCTCTTGTGGGATAGTAATCTTTGTCCTGGCATGTTGTAAGTTTCTATCAAGAGTTGTATCCTGCAAAACCATTAAGCAAATAATTTAATTGAATGATTTGCATCTCAGTAAGAGCTACCTTTCACCGAAAAGTTTAAGGCTCTATGTGCAAGCTCAAGAGTATTCAAGCAACAGAAAGCAAACCTTCTTGGGTATCTTGTGGACAAAACTCATTTCCTGCTTTGTATCAGCAACCTGGAACACAAAACAAATGACTTTTATTACCACTAGTTTCAGCACCTAAATTCAGATATACCTAGAACATAGTTAAAGTTAGTATACATTATTCAACTCGGAGGGACTACCATGACAATCCCCTTATTAGTAAAAACGACGAAAAGTAAACCAACAACAGCTAAACACTCTACCTTACGAAGAAGACCTCCATCAAGCTTCTGTCTTTTAGACGCTTGAACTTCAGTCCCAGATGTCCCGCAACTTCCTTTATCATGACTTGGATCCACTTGCATATGGAATTTACTATACCAGCAAAAGAAGCCACGTATTAGGTGAATAAAATTAAGTTGACAAGAAGAAAAGTACCAAGATTTACATGCTCCAACAGTCACCTGGCATTATTTTGTTTTGCTAACTGGCTAGCAGTAGGTCTCATTAACGTTGAGCTCCTTGGAGTTGGTCTGATACTGGACTTAGCTCGGAATTTTGGTTTATCAGTGTGTTTGTGATTGCTAACCGTCGGCCCTGATAGAAGTAGAGAAAGAGACACCATTAGCAATGATGAAGAAGGTACATACATATTTTGAAGGGGACAACAAGTTTGATCAATAAAGTATATACCAAAGATGGTCAGATGGTAATGTGGACCACATTAGAAGGTAAAATAAAAATGGAACTGATAATACATGCATGGTCATGTTGCTATTATAGCAAAATTATCACCTTTCCATATGGGCTGATTTGGAACTTTCTTCAAATTACTGCCTTGTTGAGAGGAAAAAATCCCAGAACGCATTCTACTTCCTGAAAAAGCAAAGATAATTTTAAGAATCTATACATATCTTGTAGTCTTCACCATTCTGCTTCCATTTCTACCTCAGTTATCCAATTCCACAACCATAATCAGACTGGTAAACTACTTAAGAGATGCAAAGTACATAATCCAGACATCATAAATTCACCTGTCTTATTCAAATCTGTGGCTAAATGATTTGGTTGGTGAAAGATTCCTTTATACTTATCACAAACATCTGCTGCGAGTTCCTCATCCTCTGATCTCGTAGATGTCTCAGTCTTGTCATCATAAACCTCCTCTCTAAGTAACAGTTTTGTTACAAAAGCTGAAAAAACAAAGAATTATCAACAAATTCATCTTGATCCTAACAAACTCACACAATGCTGACTAAAGAGGCTATGATTTAGAGATGTCAAGGACAATGGAAAACGTAGGATCCAAAATATAATTGAAATCAAAGCAGAACCATGAGTATAAAAAGCAAATTCCAAAACATAATAACGGACTTGTACACAAAAATGATCACAATGTGAATTAACTTAGACGCATATTCCCAAACGATTCAGCATTTTACCATATTCCCAATCAAAGAAAGAGAAGATGTAGAAATTAAGAAATTTAGCTAAAGTCAAGAAGAAACTAACGAAAAGTAGGCAAAAATGAAAACTTAAGGCCAATAGAGTATGATTAAAAACTCACGAGAAGGAGCGTACGACGGAGCAGAATGAAACCAGAACTCAGCGGCTTGAGACTCCGCCGGTAACTCCTCTCGAGTAAAATCGTACCACCTCGCCGCATCAAACTCGTACTCCAGATCGATCTCTTTTACCTCAAACACCATTGACTCGATTTCCATATCTTCATCCATCTCCATTTCACTATCTCTCTCAAACCTCCACAGTCACTTTCTCTCTTTCTTCTCTTTCCTTGGGGAAAATGCAAGTAACCGAAGAAAATCACTGATCGATTCTGGAAAAGCCTGAAGTTTATCAAATGAAATAGACGAGACAAAACCCTAATTTTCTCAGAAGAATCTCTGATTCATTGGGTCTGATGAAGAAGAAGCAGAAGCAGAAGCAGAAGGCAGGAAAGGAAATAAACGGCACAAATTTCGCTGTTTCAGAGATTTTTTGTTTAGCGACAAAATGGAAAATATTTATTTAATATCCCATAACACCAAAACGACACCGTATTCAAAACGTACTCGAAGCACAAAAGCATGGGACGCTCCGGTTTTTGTAACGACTCGAAATTTTGAATTCTAACTAGACCTTTGAAAAGACGATACTACCCTTAATAGTAAGAGAGCGTGAGGGTGTTTTAGTAAATTTAACTGGGAAGTGCCTATTTTTTCCTTCGTGGGTGCTTCGAGGCGCGTCTGGGTCTGCGAGCTTTATTATCTTTCGACGAGACTGAAATTCCGGCGGGATCAATATTTACCCTTTTGGATTGTGTTTATTTACGAAAATGCCACTAACGGTTGTATTTGCTTTCTCTTTTTTTTGACCAATTGTTTTTTTTTTATAAGAATTGGAGATTGAAACATTTCATAAGAATTCATCTGTGAATAATATTATTGTAGGTGTGTATATGTGCATTGCAAGAAGATTATTATCTTGTAACGTAATAGTTTTATTGCATTGCTAGGAGGACGACGATATAGAGGCTTTCTCCACCACAAATGAAAGTTTTTTCTTATTGAAGTAACATTTTCAAAATGATATTATAAGTAATATTTAAACATTTTGAAATCAGTTCATATGAAAATGAGAAGTGGACACACCAGAGCAATGACGTTGACTGTGAATTTAATAATTTATGCATCATTTTTTTAAGCAAAACTTGACATTTAATACGTTCAATGTGGGTACACAAAGACCCAAATTTGTGTTAAAGAAAAGGACAAATTATAAATTTTTTGGGTTCTTGGGGTAAGACAAAATTTCAAAATCTTTATGTATGTTTTTTAGGCATAAGTTTTATTCAAAGGGTTTTTGGGTTTTGTACCAAAGCTACTTTTGGGAGTACAAAGATACATTTATTTGGGGTGGTGTTGGTTGAACCATTTTAGAGGTAGTAAAAGAAATTTTAACTAAAAATAGAAAAAGCAATTTTAATACACATACATATGCAATATCTTCTTACCATTGTATTATTTGGTGTATGTTTTCCATTTAATTGGGCTCACAAGATCCACATGACAATTCTTTCCATAATAATAAATAAGTTTTCTTCTTTCTTCTATCCATCATTTAATATGTTCAAAAGAATATAAGTTACATTCAAAATATTATACGTTACTCTGACAAGCTTTAAATAACATAGTTTTGATTGGACAGACACGAAAAAGTAACATTAGTACAACACAGAGTAAAAAAGAAAGATAAATTATACAACAAATATTCTTCTCATTCATGTCAAACATAAAAATTCACTACAATAATTACAAAAAAAAAAAAAAACATTAAAAGGTGTTAGGTTTTTTCCTCTGTTCATACTTGTTAACCCATTTTTTTAACCTTCACATTTGAGGCTGTTAATAAAAGAAATTAAAAGAACCAAGGACAAAAAAACCAAAGCTCTTTCACATCTTGGAACAGACCTGTACTGTGTAAGAAGACAAGAGATGTTTCAGATAAAAGAGCAGAGAGACAAAAGAAGCTCAGAGTTTGTCACGTGGTTTTACAGTTTTACTGCAACAATACTTCCTCCTCTTTCTTCATAGTCTCCAGCTGTCTTTTCGCATACTTTGTGATGAGAATTGTTGTAGCCACTGTTGCTAAGAAGCCGAGAATGTTGAGAATAACCTGTGTAACCGAGAGACCCTGTTTTTCTGCAGAAGATGCTTCTGCTAAAGTCCTTACAAGAATCCCTCTGCAACACAGAAACGAGACATTTGACTCATCAGTGAAAAGGGCTTCTAGAAGCTAAATGCTAGACACAAGCTAAATCTGTTCTACAGTAGTGGAATGTGAGGATTTGCTAAGGATTTTTTTTTTAAAAAAATTTCTGCTGTTTAGGTGCAATGATCATTGATGTAAACAGTATTGGACCTACCAAAATGTACTGGAATTGAAGAGAAGAGATAGAAACCTGACTTACGTGTAGATTGCGACAAATACCTCAGGCACCATGCCTAAGAGAGAGCCTGTGATGTAAGGACCATACTTAACACGAGTTGCTACAGAACAGTAGTTATAAAGAATGTAAGGGAATGGAGAAATCCGAATTAAGGTTACTAATCGAAATTGGTGAAGCCAATTCCCTTCACCAGCAGCTCTTAATACGGCTGCTTGGTCAGGATATCTTTCTAGCCATCCCTATACAATCACAAGAAAAGACAGAAACAGATTTCAGTAATATGACAGTTTAGGCAGCTACATTGATCAACATCATCATTTGAGCCTTTGAGGAAACGAAAACAATGTTAATCCAGCTACGTCACAAATGCAACTACATTGATCAAAGACATCGTTTTGAGAAAACGAAAACAACGTTAATCCTGGTTTCAACCTGACAGTTATTACTTAATAGCATTGAACCGAGATAACCAAGCTTTTATAGTCATGTATTGAGAGCGGCTTCTTATTTTCTAAACCTACCTTGTAACTTTCTAACAAACTTAAACGTGGTTACTATAATTGAAAGTAGTTCTTGAGGGATGACACATACTTGAATTTTGTGGCAGAAGAGTTGTCCAATAAAGTAAGGTAGTGATACACCAACAGCTGCAGCTGAGATAATAAGTAGAAACCCATAGCCATAACCAAAAGTCATCCCAGCAATCCACATTGATGGTGTAGATGGAAGAAGTATAGTCGGAAATATTGCCACAGACGCAAAGACAAGAAGACCGCACACAGGATGTGTAAAAGTTCTTATCTCCCATTGTATAAGCGGGATAAGCTCCTGCAGAACCAGGCAAGTAGATAATCCCCCTTGTTAGGAATACAGTAAAAGACATTACACACTCAAGCTCTAATGCAATAACTCTTTGATCATATATGAATACTAACAAATACATGAAGCATCAACATCATCAAGATCGTCAAAACCACAAAAAAAAATCCTCAAATCTAATCAGACTATAAGCATGCAGACTATATACAATGAGTTTTCAATGCTTCATTACACATTCAAGCTCAAATGCAAGAACTCTTTGATCATATATGAACACTAATAGAGATACATGAAGCATCAACATCATGGAAATTGTTAAAACCAAAAAAAAAAATCCTCAAATCTAGTCAGACTATAAGCATGCAGACTATATACAATGAGATTTCAATGCTTCATTGCAAAAATGGACCAAAGTAATTAAATTTATCCTATGAAATATACAATCTCAAACTCTGATAACACAAGAAACACCAATGCAACAACGAATAAAGCTAAAATTGAATCTGATGGAAATTAAAATCAAACCTTATCCATGATCAATGGACCGATCCATATGTAACCCACAACAGCCAATGCAGCAAGAAAGGCGAATAAAAGAGAAAGCTTGAACCAAAACCAAAACCGCGACGAATCAATTTTTTCTTCTTCTTCTTCTTGGTTTTTCTCTAAACCCTCACTCAATTTCACATAAGAACCCTTTTTCTCATCGTCTTCGACTCTCACCCGCAGCTCAAGAACCGGCTTTTCATCCTCCGGAACAGTCATCGAATGCAATTCAGAAACAGAAAGAGACAACACTGAGCAAAACCTAATCCACTGGATTTTTCCGATTAACGGGAAAATCCAGTGATCGGAAATTCGAAAAAATGAATGCAATTGAACCAATCAAAAAACAAATTGGTGTGTGTGAAAGAAAGAGAGAAAATTTGTGAGCAATTCGCAGTGAGGAAGTTTTCTCCTCGATTTGTGTCTTTGCTTGTACCGATTTTTTAACCCTAACTAAAGTAATTAACTAATTGCGTCTTTCTCACTACACATTTATTCCAAATATTAGTTTAAAAATGAGAAAATATATAAATAATTAAATACAGCAGAAAAAAACTTTATTAAACTTTTCGTAATTTGAAATTGACATTATCTTAGCATATACAGTAATATAATTTGCATTTAATTTTCTATTTTTACCAAAAAAAATATTCCTTCCATATCCTTTTAAAGCCCAATGGCCCAGTCCGCGAAAGTTAAAACTCTAAACGGGTCGGGTCGGGTCGGGTCGGGTTTTGTTAGGTTGATGATGCGACAGTTTCTCGGGTCCCAGATTCTCTGAATCTCTCTCTTCTTCCATCTCCCAGCACTCTCGGAGTTTCGCTACTAGTTTCTTCTGAAAATCCGAAGATCACCAAGTCAAAAGAAGAAAACGATGAGCGTGATCACAACTCCAATAGAGACCCTGCACCTAAAGTCAGCACTTCGTCTTCTACCACGAGCTGTTTATCGCAGTCAACGGATTCAAGTTTTCCCGCCCAACACTTTCTCGAGCTTTTCTTTGAGTTCTCCACTTCGAATTGACCCAATCTCTCAAGGTTTGTTCATCTTATTCGTCGATCTCAGGCTTCTTTGGTTGTTGGGTACCTGCAAAATTTACTCTTTCTTCTCTCTTTTTCACTCATGGTGTTCTGCAATCTACAGGGATCGGATCGAGGAATTTGTGGCGTAGATATGCATCGGATAATTTCTCGGAGATGGGTTTAGATCCTGAAGCTGATTCAGTTAAGGTGTGCAATATGGGATCTTTCCTTTTCTTTATGTATTGGGTTTGAAATTGTTAATTAGTCTTCTCAAATGTGTCATCTTTGAAGTCAAAATGTGATTTTGCACTAATGAAGACTTGTAATTATCCAAATTTTGAATCTGAGTAGCTAGAAAATCATCCCTGCATCACAGTTTTGCTACTTTGTTCTTCGTTTGCTGATGATTTCAGTTGTTAATAAATTTATGTTGCTTCCAAGAACCAACATGAATCTAGTAGTGGCTTGCAGGTTGCTGAGAAGGCTTCTATAGTGGATACAATGAAGAAAGCTAACTCAATTCTTCCTCATGTAGTCTTGGCGAGTACAATATTAGCTCTTATCTATCCTCCTTCTTTCACTTGGTTTACGTCGAGGTTCTTGCCACTGGAACAAGGTCAAATTGATCTAAGACTTTGAATTGTAGACATGAGGTTTTCTAAAAAGCTCTATTTTACTCTCCTGTTCTTTTAGGTACTTTGTGCCCGCTTTAGGCTTCTTGATGTTTGCTGTTGGTATCAATTCAAACGAGAAAGACTTTCTTGAAGCTTTCAAAAGACCAAAAGCTATTCTCCTTGGTTATGTTGGACAATATCTCGTAAAGCCAATCCTAGGTTTCATCTTTGGCCTAGCTGCGGTCTCTGTTTTCCAACTCCCAACTCCAATTGGTAAAGCTCTCTATCTCTCTTGCATCATTCAAGACTCTTAACTGATCGCATATTGACTAATCAATCTCTCAGGTGCTGGAATCATGTTGGTTTCATGTGTTAGTGGAGCTCAGTTATCAAACTACGCAACTTTCCTAACTGATCCAGCATTGGCACCTCTTAGCATCGTCATGACATCTCTATCAACCGCTACTGCAGTTCTTGTCACACCGATGCTATCGCTCTTGCTCATCGGGAAGAAACTACCCGTTGATGTAAAAGGAATGATATCTAGCATTCTTCAGGTTGTAATCGCACCAATAGCTGCGGGCTTGCTACTAAACAAGTGAGAGATATAGCTTCAACTATAAGGGCCATTATATAAGCAGAAGTTGTTTCTCAGAGTTTAATAATTTTGTTGCGCCTTCCTCTTCAGGTTGTTCCCGAAAGTATCCAATGCAATCAGACCATTTCTCCCAATTCTATCAGTTCTTGACACGGCTTGCTGCGTTGGAGCACCACTCGCATTGAACATAAACTCGGTCATGTCTCCATTTGGAGCCACCATATTGTTACTAGTAACAATGTTTCACCTCTCAGCTTTCCTCGCTGGATACTTCCTTACCGGTTCTGTCTTTAGAAACGCTCCAGATGCTAAAGCCATGCAAAGAACGTTGTCCTATGAAACTGGTAACTCACTAACACTTTGGTTTTAAATTTTTGATTTTGTGGTTAAAGCTTTTAGCATAAGAAATGTGTTTGTGAATATATCAGGAATGCAGAGTAGCCTTTTGGCTCTAGCGCTTGCGACTAAGTTCTTTCAAGATCCTCTTGTGGGGATTCCTCCTGCTGTCTCTGTGAGTCTCAAAACGATATCATTGCATAATCTTTTTGGATGATTGATTATAGGGATTATGTTTTGTTTTGCAGACGGTGGTAATGTCATTGATGGGGTTCACTCTTGTTATGATCTGGTCTAACGAAAAAGAGAAAAGCATTTAACAATGTAATTTAATTTCACTCCACATTTGATTATACAAAAAATTGGAACTTCTTCTTGTAATATAATTCAAGACAGTATTTTGAGATTTTAATTCACTGATCTCCTTTTTGTCTTTGTATTTTCTGTTCAACGATGGGAAGTAATCAGAAAAACCGAAATGAACCAACCCAAATTTGTTAGTAAACCGAATAGTATTGTTTCTGTGTGCATTGGAAAATAATAAAAGACGGTTCGACGGCAAACCCGGTTTAAATTATACCAAAACTTGGAAATTGGAGAAAAATCTCAGCCATGGCGATTGCTTCAACAGCCACCGTTCTCTTCTGCTGCGCAAAACCCAATTTCCGGCGAATTCCGTCTCAGAGCTGTTCATCCTTAAATGAAAATCGGATCCGGATCCGTAGCTTAATCCATGACCCGAATACACTGTCGGGTCTTATCGGAACCGGTTTGATAGCGGCTACGTTCATCACGGCGGGACCAGATGCTACTGCTATGGCGGCGTTGGATTCTCTTCAGCTAAGCGAACCGGCTAATGCGTTGTCTTTACCCACTTGGGCTGTTCATGTTTCCAGCGTTGTCGAATGGTTCTCTTCTTCTTTTTCCTTTGCTCAAATTCCACTTTAAAGCATTGACCTTTGATCTATAGTGACATGAGAGAGGATTTGTTGTTGTGGGTTTTTCGAGTTTTTGATGTGCTCAAATCAAATCATAATGAGAGAAGCTTCATCTACATTATGAAAGATCGAGACTTTACTTTACATGTAGATGAAGCTTCTCTCATTGATCTCAAATGCAATTGGAGCAAACAAATGAGAAAAAATGTAATTTCTTCCTAATTCTGGTGTTGTTTGTACTAAAGGATTACGGCGATGGCGTTGGTATGGAAATATGGAGAAAGAAAGGGTTATGAGTCTTGGAAAGGTCTCTCATGGGGAATGGTGAGAGCTCTAAGCTGTTTTCCTAGATTCTCAAGATTACATGATTTCATTTTCTGAGCTTTTTTGGTTGTTCTTAATCAGGTACCTTTGCTTGGTGGAGCTCTTTGTGCATGCACATGGCATTTCTTCTACAATGATGAATCTCTTGAGGTCAAGAAAACTCTTGACTCCTACTTAGTTTAAGTCTGTTTCCCTTTGGTGAACACTGATCAATGAATTAGGCTAACTGTGATATTGTTTTTTGCTTCTTCACTCCTACCTAATGTTGTAATGTTGGGCTGCATTATTAGGTGTTGGTCGCGCTTCAGGCAGCACTAACTGTAATCGGTAATATTACTCTGTGCATTGCTGCCTTTCGAATCAACAAGTTGTCATCCAAAATTGAAGTCTCTGAAAAACCATGATGGCTTAACACATCTTTGTGTTAAGAAGTACAAGGAATATCTGTTTTCCCTTTCTACCGACGGGTAAAGCCGACTTTTGCGTGATATGGAACAAGTGATTCGGGATGAGACTGGAGTTCATCATGTTTATGATTCATTTGCTATTTGCGTATTGCAGGAATCTGAGTGTAGCCTTCTTGGAGATTCTTGGTGGTGAGAGGATCTTCGAGAATTGTCAATGTGGTATTAGCGAAACGATCATGGTTTATATTTGTAGAGATTGAACCAAACATGATTGTATGTTCCTGACTCCTGAGTATATTCTTGATGAGTTAGACCAAAGCATAATCTTATGTGAGCATCCTTCTTCTGTAATCTTTGTAGCACTGAACTTTTTTGGGTCTTATAGACAGTTAGACTTGGATGATAACTAAGATTCTTTTTCAAGTCAATTAAATTCATTAGTTAAATTTTTTTCCCCCTTAAAAAGCTCAATGAGATTCTATGGCAACGATTTTAACTATATTATACAGTACTATATTCTTTATAAAAATCGTTTATGGTAAAGATCCATGTGCATTCAACCACATACAGTATATTACCCGAAGTTACACAGATTTAGTCTTATCCAGTATGTAGGGTTTACATTAAAATTATAAATTATAATTTACATCTGTCACACATAAAATTGAATCTTTACGTGGGACAGTACAAGAAAATTATTTCAAAAAAAAAAATCGAATCTCTTAAAAGTTAAAACTTAAAACTATAGCAAAAATGTGGGGGTGGTTGAGCTATTTCTGGTAAGGATCTCATAAAAGAAAAAGAAAAAAAAATGAACTAGGTACATCATCAGTTTAAAATACTATAAATTTTCCGAATGATTTAAAAAAGATACCAAGTTCCACTTATATCTTGACAACTCGTTAATCGTGTTTAGACCAGGCCAAAGCGTGAGGACGAAGGCATATCTTATTTTTTATCTTCCCCAAAAGTCCACCAATAATACCATCTTAATCAATTACTTAAACAACCCCAAAGGCCATTATACATTTAAATTTGTTAATTACCAATTAGTCAGTATTATGGAAAGAATCCTCTGTATCCTAAATCATAATTTTTGTCAGTAAATAAAAAATGGAAGAGTCAGAATTCAGAAAGAAAAGGAAATGTACACGTAAGCCTTGAAAGTACAGTTTTGACCTCATAACGTAGAAATATTACAAAACAGTACACCATTATTATTTCCATTTAGCCGCTCAATGATAAATAACCAGCGTCAGATTAGGTTAGCTGAAGAATCTAACGGTTCATAATTACTACGGTGTACGATAAGCCGGTGTAGAAGAACAGAACTAAAAAGTAAAAGGAAACCGTAGCGTGACTCATCCATATAAATACACATGTATGTTCCTCCTTAGTTACGTGTTTGTCTTTTTTTTCTTCTCTTTTCTCGATAACGAAAGATTTCGTTCTCCAATTCTTATCGATTAAGAAGAACACATCTTACGAAGATTACTTTTTCAATTTTCTTCCGAAGATCAGAAAAATTTGTATATTAATTCTTTTAAAATTACCAGAAGAAGGAGATCTTCGTTCTCAACAGGTAAATTCACCATCTCCTTTGTCTTGTTTATTTGATTGATTGATGATTTATTTGATTTTGGTTTGTATTGTCCGATCTGATTAAAACCGTGTGTGATCTTAGAAAATTCAGATCTGCTTCTAATTGCACTATTTTTTAACGTTTTTGGTTAATTAATAACGAGATTTGTTCTAAACAAAGCTGGAACAAACTCGATCTATGTCGGATTGATTTATTGTCGTTGTTGTTTTTGGGTTATAAACAAATCAAGTCGTACTTGTTATAGATCTATCTTAAAAACCCGACAACCTTAAAAGATGTTCTGACATTTCAGGAATCTTGGTCCGATATTTAGACTAATCTCCTCTCCGGTCTTCTTGTCGTGTCTACAATGGTTAATTACGATTAGGGAAGATTTGAATTTGATTTTTTTTGCTTGGTTGGTTCTGTTGTTGTTACAGAACAAAAGCAAGAGTGATAATGGGATCGGAACAAAACGATAGCACAAGCTTCACGCAGTCGCAAGCTTCAGAGCCAAAGCTATGTGCTAAAGGATGTGGTTTCTTTGGATCACCATCAAACATGGATTTGTGTTCGAAATGTTACAGAAGCATTTGTGCAGAGGAAGCTCAAACAGCAGTTGTAAAAGCTGCTGTTGAAAAATCTTTCAAGCCATCTCCTCTTCCTCTTCCTTCTCGTAGTCTCTTCATAGCGGAACCGGCTGTTGTGAAACCCGAACCCGAAAAGGCCATCGTTGTTGTGTCTGCTGAGCCATCTTCCGCTGGAGGAGAAGCGGCGGCGGCGGCGGTTCCTGAGGAGAGCGAGCCATCGAAACCTGCACGAACTAACCGGTGTTTGTGTTGTAACAAGAAGGTTGGGATCATGGGTTTTAAGTGCAAATGCGGGAGCACTTTCTGCAGTGATCATCGGTACCCGGAGACTCATGATTGCAGCTTTGATTTCAAAGAAACGGGGCGCGGAGAGATTGCCAAAGCCAACCCTGTGGTTAAGGCTGATAAACTTCAAAGGTTCTGAAATATTGAAGTTTTTTTAAAGTATTTGGTTCTCTGTTACTCGATTGTATTTGAATCGATTTGGGATTGTCTGGATGGTTTTAATGGATTGTTTCCAAAGGGTAAGAGGATGAGTTTGGTTCCATAATAAAGTGAATCGATGAAGTTTGTTCCTGGTTTTGTTATTGTCTCACTGGTCACCAACGTTTGAATTTTATCCTTCTGCATCGCTGGACACACCAAACTTATACTCTGATCTATTTATAGACTAAGAACAAAGAAAAAAAAGTTCATTACGACTCAAATGCGACACTGCAAATATTCTTACCGATAGACCTTTTACGAAAGAAGGGATGCGGAGTTAACCATCGCAACGCAGCCATCGACCCATTATTTGCGTAATAGGTACATAGTCATGCAAGCATACTACTGGGAATTTGAGATGAAAGAAATACTCATCTAAATTCCCAATAATATGTTTGCATAATAACATACATTATGTGTTCTCCCTATTTTGAAAATGGGAGCATTATGAAATCTTATAAAACTCTTTTTTAATGGTAAATGTAAAAGATTGTTAAGAGGTTTTATTAGGAAAAAGAAAAAGAAAAAAATCATTTGCCAAGAAAAATTACACAGATACCATAGCAATAAAGATATACATGAAGGAACACTTAAGAGTTCTTTCAGCCTTTTATCTTTGGAAAAATCCATGTTTCCTAAGTGAGCTAACTAATTCATACCAGATCAACGATAACACAAATTTCATGTCTTGGTATAACACACCAAATGTTACTTGATATAAACAAATTAGAACTTGGCATATATATTAGAGTTTTATCTTATTTGATGAAAATGATAGCTTGGGCCCATACAGGCCTGTAAATATGTTACTTGAAATCTACTTATGGGCCTAGAATTTGGTCTGTAAGCCCACATGTAAGATTGAGGATATATATAACTCGATGCTTACTTTTAATATATTTGATAGATGCTAAGTAATTAATTAATAATAATAATATACAGAGGATAATACAGTATATCAACTTTATACATTTAATAAAAATGTCGAAAACAAATCTGTATATTGAATGTAATTCTTATTTGCTAACAGTTTGATTTTTGTTTTATTTATCATACATACATTATACATAAGATAATTAACTTCATGTGTATAAGCAACACTTTAAAAAATCATGAATTTAACTCATAACAACTGACTCCGCCTTCTCCACCGGAGTTCGACTCCACTAAGTCGCGTTACTCCACGTAGTAGGGATTGGTTATGGATCGGGCCTTGTCGATCCAAAGATGTCAAAAAAAAAAAAAAAAAAAAAAAAAAAAAAAACCTCATAACAACTAACAATGATGGACTGATGTTTGTATCTTTAAACTTTGTGAGATCCTAACAAATCAATTCGAGGTAATCACTCTTTTGACTCTCATTAATTCATCGATTTAATCTCACCTTTTTTTTTGGGATTAACTATATATATATCTGCTTGACCTTATCGCACTCTAAAACCATATACAAAGTTATTAGTTCAATTTCCAATTCAAAACATTTTGATAATGAATGAGTGATCATGTCTTTAATATACTTTTTACAGTTTCCATATGTGATCGTATACGTCGCACGTAGTCACGAAAAGAACATGGTATTCACAAGCAAGCTCACGTGTAAGGCAGCAGTTGAACAAGTATATTGTCTCCTTATCCACATATCCATACGTATTATATAACATGTATGAAGACATACACACACAAAACTTGCGTATGTAGAGAGAACATGCACATAAAGCCCCCATACCTCTTTCTTTATTTATCTCGTAAATTGTTAGCCTCTCCCGTTTAAGCCGCCGATATTGCAGCTTTTCTTTTATATATGCATACTCAACACAATTAAAATAAATATATAAATTAAAGAGCGTTACATATATGATTTCTGATATATAGTGTTTATGTAGTATCTGTCTTTATTTACATATGTGAGATTTTAAATCGCCATCAGCCATATGTATATATACACTCCAAGCAAACGACATGTGTATATATCCTTCCATTATCATGTAATAACCAATTATTAGGGTCATCATTATCCACATTGACAATTGATTGATATTTGGGTCTCTGTATTAAGGATTTAAGGACGAGAAAATGTTTTTACTTATTAGAAGAAAATAATGATTTCATGTCCATAATAACTACCACCACAAGTTCCTTTCTAATTTTGGAAAGTAACTTTTTAGTCACTTCAATAGAAGTACATACATATGATGAACGTTGACATAGATAACAGTAATTAATCATCAATAGTGTAAATATACTTAACTTTATGACTAGTAATATATGTGAAAGTCTTATCGAAACCTCAAAGTGGGAAAAATGACTTAAGCATGTCACATAAATTAGTTGTTGTATATCCAAGTGGTTTCATATTTAGTGTGCTACGACATATAACAATTGTCGAAAAAAAACACCTTCAAATGTTGATAAGAAAAACCATACTTAGAGCCAACCACACACAAAAATCAAATGCAAACTAGCAATGAGAATTCATCAAAGAAAAACCAAGACAAAAAAGAAAAAGAAAAATGTAACTCAAATCAACATAAAAAGATCTACGAGCTAAAACGAACCAAATTAAAAATTTAAGAAAAAAAGAACCTGATTCATTTTATGAACGTTGACCCAAACATAATGAAGCTCGATAGAATCTTGATTCTTGATCATCGTCGTCTAAATCCAAACTCTTATTAATGTTCATATGCTAACCTCTTTTAATCATAGATATATCCACTAAACTCATGAATCTTCGTTAGCTAGCTAGCTACGATTACGAGTGTGTATATATGAATATATTTGATCAATACGGTGGTCGTCCCGTTGACCAATAAGACTGATCATGCTGCTGCTGCAACTGAACCGAACCAAGAAGATTAGGTGGTAACCCTTGATGACCCGACATAGCTTGTTGCTGATGTTGCAGTTGTTGTCCCATCATCGGCGGCGACTCCAATGACCCTCCTCCTCCTCCGCCGCCGTGAACCGGCGTCTGCATCTCATCTTCCTCTAACGGCAACCTCTCGTACGCCGCATTGCTAAAAGACGCTGCCATGACAACAACAGGACCAGCACACAACAATGGACCAACCACGCTTCCACCGACTACTTGTCCTTGTCCTCCCGCGAGGTAAACACTCAACCCGGTGGCTGTAGGAGGAGCCGGAGGTGGGAGAAAAGAGCCGGAGAGAGAAAGAATCTCAAACCTTCCGTGAAGACTAACGACCGAGCCAGGAGAAGGATGAGATCCAGGCTGACGTATGGTGACGTTAGTAACGTTTCCGGTACCGCTCATAACGCAAACGCCGCGTTGGCGTCTTCTTGCGAAAGTGGCCACGCTCTCGACTAGATCACATCCGTCTCCGATCTCCATCACGTGGGTTCTAAGCGCGTTTGCGCTGTCCCGCGTGATGATAATTGGTGGTTTTGGTTTGTTCTTGGATCCAGCTGGTCTTCCTCTTGGTCTTCTTGTCATCTGATGATCTCCTCCAGAGCCGCCGCCTCCTTCTCCCGAACCTCCGTGTAAATCTATGTCCTTACCTTCACTACCGCTGTTGTTAGCTATGTTTTCTATGTTGTCGCTTGTCTCTTCACGATCCATCTTGATTTGTCGGTTTCCTCCTGATCCTCCTTGTTGATCATCATCGGTTTGGTTTCTTTGTTGTTGGTGATGGTGGAGGAAGAACTCTTGTTGTTGTTGTTGGAGATGTAATTGAAAGTCTCTTGCGTGGAAAGGAGGAGGTAGAGAGCTTTGTGATCCATGAGATTGCACTGGATCCATGATCTATGATTCAATGGTGGAATTGGATCGAAAGAGAGGAGTGATCTAAGAACAGATCTTTTTTAGTTGACCTTTTTTCTTCTTCTTATTTTGTTGTCAAAACTAGCTAGCTAGAAGAAGAAAGAGAGTAGTAATGATGAACAACGAAATCCAAGCTGGATCTTCTTCATCTTCGTCTCTTCTTCCTTTTGATTTTGTAGGGTTTCTCTCTCTATACCTAGTTTTGTTGTATAGCTATAGCTTCTGATCTCTTTCTTTGAGTTGGAGGAAGTGAAATTTGGAAAGTGAAAAAGGAGGTTTTGGTGGGGTTTTATATAAACTAATATTGAGATGTGTGTGTGGGTCTAACTTTGGTTTGTGATTGGTAAACTAGGGTTAAGTAAAGAAAGGGACAAGATAAGAAGCCAAGTTATGGTACGGTGCACAAAAAAAAAAAAAAATAGAAGCCAAGTTATGGGATATTGTTATTGTGCTTATGAATTTGGATTGTGACTTCCTAGCTCCTATGTATGGGCGGTGTTCTGGTCCCCCTCGCTACCTTAATATTTCGTCACACGTTAGTAAGTCACTATCCAACCATCAAAAATTGATTGGACAAAATAAATCAAACATGTATTGTTGGCTTGTAAACCTTGTGAACCATCGAGTTATTGAGTCATTAGATCAACAAGAAAAATTAGTAGCTATCTTTAGAGTAAAAATACCTTAACACATATGAATTTGAGTCTCGTTGGCTATCATTAACATGACTCATTACAGGTTGTATGGAAAAGGTTACATGGATTCAAACTTTCTAATTATCAGAAAAATAAGCAAAGTTGGTATTAAAGCATTTGATCTAAACACACATTTTTCTATAAATAATAAATTATTGCATGGTTGACAAAAATAATAATAGATGACTGCAATATTAGCTATAGGATTATATTACGACTATCTGATTAGTATACATATACCAACAAACAAACCTACAACTCATATTCAATGATAAGTACAAGAAATATCAATCACTCTAGGGTTATATATATGTTGGAACGAATTAAATCGTTTACATATGATTGTTTGTATTGTTAATTTGATAATGAATGTCCTTGTGATGATAAATTTTAGTTTATTCCTTTAAATCTTTAAATTAAATAATCACATCACGTTTATAAGATCTAGCGTTTTGCGTTGAACAGAAGAAACTGGTCTATATATATAAATGTAGCATTTACTTAGTTGATAGTCAAACGATCCATTTGTCAATTAATATTTATCTAGCTAAGCTAGATCTAAAGGTGTTTCTTTATAAAATATATGTTCATAGTTTCGTGTGTGTGTGTATATAGTGAGAGATTAGGCATTGGAGGGAGTGAAAACAAGAAGGCGCGAAGATGTCGCTGACAATTCCAAAACCACGAGAGAGAGAGAGAGAGAGAGAGAGAGAGAGTAAAAAGAAACGAAGAAGAAGATAAGAGAGGGAGAGGCATCGCATGAACTGTTGGGAGAGATAAACACAAACTCCGATGTGTTAAAGAGATGCTTTTTGTCGGCTCTCCTATGATCTTCACCCCCTCTCTCCACGTGCCCTTCTCCTCACAAAAGATTTCCGATCTATTCCAACCAATAAGAATAAGCAAGGTTCTTTCTACGTAGTGGCATTGTAGTGTTAGATCTAGGGGGCTAGGGGTGTCAATTTGTTATAGTTTCATGTATAATTCTCATGTGTAAATTCTGCGTATGGACCATTTGGTCATTCGAATTTTGTTATGAAAACCTATCGATTTAGGCGATATAGGTTTAGGCCGATGTTGGGGCTGACTGGATAAGAGTTTTGAAGTAAATGTTGACTTTCATTTGATTCATTTAAAACGGAAAACATGAAAGAATGTGAACGAGTATCATACAATATGAAACCATATGTACGTTCAATTAAAGATAATGGCGAACTTATGTATTTTTGTGCTTGATTATTCATTTTCTACCTACAAAAAGTATTTTCAAAGAAGTGTTTATAGAGGATTTGCTTTGCATTGTCCAATAATTAGTTGGTTAGTTAATGATTATTGATCCATTAGCAAAATCAATAAAATTATTGGGAAATGAGGTCACCCGACTTACTATTTTATCTTAAATACGAAAGGCATGAAACTTATCAAAACAAAAGTATGAGTTCACGAGCTCTTAAAAAGAGAAAAGGACAGCTTGCTTTCAATCCCGAATTCTACGGATAATTAGTTGATTGGCTGATTTAATTATTTGGGGTTTCATTACTTTATAATGTATGTAAGTACTCGAGGCATGGATATTGTTAAACATTTTGACTTCATACTCTATATAGATGCTTTCATAGATGCTTTGGTAGTATTGTATGTTTTGCTACCAGTACCATTATCCAAATTCTTGAAGAGGGCATAAAATATTTTCATTTTACATTTTGACCACTTTTTATTACTTGGTTTTCAAAACCACCAATAAAAATCTAAATGATTCTAAAATACCATATATAAACTTTTATTATATGAATTATACTAAATAAAAGTTATATTATAAAGGAATTGCTTCAATTGGTGTACCTAACTAACAACGAAACTTATGGTATTTTATATAATAAAATTTTATGGTATGTTCTGAAGTCAACAGTTCGGAAATAATTTTGTATTAAAAAAAAAAAAAAACTCATTTGTCTTTGTGGTCAATTATTTTAGAATTATGATTTAAATATTGTAATTAATAAACAAATTAAGTTAAAGTTGGTAAATTAAGCTAATTAACAAAATCTAAATGTAAGTCCCACGTGGAAGACACCTAATTTGCGTCAAACCTTGTCGTGCTTCTGCTTTTCTCACGAACCCAATTAATGGTCCCCTCCCCCCACCATATGTAAAGAAATAAATAATTATGTATATAAATGTTGAAATGAAATTGCTACCTCTATATCAAGTGAATGTGAAATGATTTATACGTAAACTAATCTATAAGCCGTGTAAATAAATCAGCTACCTTATTTTGTCAAAAAGTAGGAATATGGTTCTTTTCATTAAAAAAAAAAAAACTGTGTATCGAGATAGAAAGAGAGGAGTTGAAGACTAATGTCAAACTTGGAGGGAGTCATGTGGGTTAAATAAATGATTAATTGGGTGCTTTAAAGGCCATTAAGACGGCATAATTGGAGACAAATTAAGCTAACGACAAACTAAAGATTAAAGAGTCTTCACATGATTTAAGGGTTCTTTCCTATCCATTAGGAATCTCATTAAGTCATTATTACACACAGTCAATGATATAATCACACTCAGTTTAGAAACATGGTTTCACCAAAAATGTGACTGTGATCTTAGATATGATTGGATACGACTCCAAACATGGGAATATAGTGAATTTATTAAAGTAATAGTCTTAGAAAAAGTGATCAAACATATTTATCAACAAAACAGTGGTTAGTTTAGGCTGTATACGAAAATGTTTGTTTTGAGGAAATTATTTCTAGAGGTGTTTAATCTAGATTTTGGTTTGGAGCTTTTGATCTTTTGGTTTAGGAATGACAGTGATCGAAGTGAAACTTAATCTAATATATAGTTTTTGTACTATTTTGGTTTGCGTTCAGTTTTTTTTTTTTTTTTTTTCCAGGAGGTTCTGGGCCAAAGTCCGTAATCCTCCTAGCCCCGAAACCACATCATGTAATATTAGTTTCGTCCCAAACGTCACTCGAACCGGCAATTTCTAGGCTTCGCCTAAGAATATATCATTAATCTTTAAATAGTTTTCCCTTTTTGGGTTTTTTTTTGGTTCAGCTTGGATTAATTTTGTTTTTAGGATATAGGAAAAAAAAATCATTATAACTAAATGTTGAACATTGTCTGAAATGGAATCTTGCATTATATATAAACAATAATGGGCTTCTGAAATTAAAACAATAAAAACTTATTGGTATATGCAATAATTATAAGTTAATCGTCCAACTTTGCAGGAGCTCGTCAAGGGTCAAATACTCAAATTTCAATTAAAAAATATATTGAACGCTAATCTCTCTTTTGCTATTGGCTTACCAGAATGTTTCCGAACAGCTTGTCTTTGTTCTGCCAAACAGCAATTTTTTTAGTTAATTATCTCTTCTTAACTAAGAATATTACTATATAATACTTAACGGCAAGATAAACTAAAATATACGAACACATGAATTTTTCTAATCAGGTTTTGCTTTCCCAGCCAGATATGGCAGTTGTCCGAAGATATATGTAATATACTATTCCTTCTCTTTGGCTGGAGAAAAACTAAACCTAATTTAATTTTGGGTATTTCAACAAAAGATTCCTTTTAAGTTTGAAAATGTTGAATAAGAACATTAGGGCATCCGCAATGGGGGAACTGTTTTGAGTGTGCTTAGAATAAAAATATTGTTAAAATAATATAAGATCAGGAGTTTAGATCTTTTGTTAATAAGTTGGTTATTGGGAGAACATGTTTAAGATCAGAAGATTTAATAATATAATAATAAAACATATTACATTATAAAAACATTTAAATTGCAAAATTTACAAACTTAAAATAAAAGTGAAAATACAATACCAAATATTTATGAAAAAAAAATATTAAAGATATAAATAAAAAAAACAAACATATTACTTAATAAAAGCACAGAAACATTTTATTTAATTAATACATAGGTTATTGTCCAAATTTATTCCAAATATTTTCAATCAACTCCTTTGCTAAAAATCGTACCCATTCACGGCCTGCCACGTCACACAAGAACAAGCCCAAAATCAGTTCTACCTCAAGACCCAACAACATGTTCTTCGGCCACTGTTCACAATATTATCCAATTAAAAAAGTCCAAGAACACCCAAGGTGTTGGGCCATTGCAGATGGCCTTATAACAGTGTGGTTCTCGCAGCAGAGATGACAAACAAATGTTCTAGCAAAAACTTATATTTCATGATTATCTAATTATTGAAGAGTTCATCAAATTAATTAGTTTAGGGATCATTTAGTAATAAATATCGAGAATACGTAATTTTTCACACAAGTTTTTGTGGATTACTCTGGATTGTGACGTGAGATTTGGTTATATATTGCCACTATTGTCGTATATAGATGCAAAACTTCTGCTTTCGTAAAATATATCGCAAACAACAGTTTACATTACTTGCCGCAGAAAAAAGTTTGCATTAATTAATGTTTTAGTCATACTTTAATTAACTTTCTCGTGTTTGAATTATTCAGATGACAGCATTGACTAGGTATCCTTAACCCGAATGAAAAAACATTGACATGGATTATCTAATTTTCTTTGGTCAAGGTTTTTTTTCTTAGAATTTTAACGTCCTTTGAATAAAAAGAAAACTAGTCAACAAAACATGTAAATCAATAGTGTAGTAGTAAATCAACAGTACTTTGTGAAAAAAAAAACAAAAAATCATCAGTACTTTTGACTTTTTAGTAATATACATGTTTGTTTCCTAATGTTTAATGGAAATGGGCCCTTGTTGCCCGAATGAGTTGTTGGACCCGAATAAGTTTCTCAAAATGTTGAATTAATTAGTTGAAGACTAACGGTATGGGCTATAAACGTTTCTTATCAACCTTCCTTAGTAAAATGTTTCAGTGAAGTTGCAACTGATTATATGTAAAGAACAAAATGATTCGATGTAAGGGTATATGTTGAATGCTAAATTCCTAGTATCAGATTCCATTTATCACATACTTTTCATTCTTTAATGTAGTCATGGTATCATTAGCTATTTAAATTTGATAAAAGAATATGATGATTTCTGTTAAATAAAAAATTATAGCTAAAGTGATTCGCATTAACAGGAATATGGCTCGGGTATGGAGTACCAAATTATTTATCTGAGTAACTTTTTTTTTTTTGACATTTTTGGATCGACAAGGTCGAATCCATACTCAATCCCTACTACGCAGAGTAACGCGACTTAGTGGAGTTGAACTCCGGTGGAGAAGGTGGAGTCCTTAACCACTTGACTAAAGGCACATCCCCATCGAAGTAACTTAAATTGATCCCCATCGAAGTAACTTAAATTGTAATAATATTAATTTTTTCTTTTCTTGTGAAATTATCCAATTTATTCGTAATGTTCAATCGTGTAGATGATACTAAGCCGAATTGGTGAGAACTTATAGTGAATTAGATGTTCGGACCAACTATTATCGGTTTTTTTGTTAAAAACAACTATTATCGGTTCCAATTCTCAAAATGGACAAACTTAATTATTACGGTTTTATCCAACAATCACTTTTATCATTAACTCCAGAAATAGTGAAAAATATTTACAATCCATGAAAATTTACCAATCGTACCTTTTATTTTTGTCCTTGGGTCCTCTTAGAGAAAACCTTTTTTTAAGAAAGCAACAAAATAAAAGTTGAAATATCCAATCATCCTATAAAAAGTTGGTATTTTATATTCATAATATTTTCATTAGAAAATGATGCCTTATGCAATTATTTGTTGCTTTTTGGAAAGAAAACAATAGAAAGCCAAGGTCACATAACTTCTTCAAACACATTTTCTCTTTTGTCTTTTTATCTCTCTCTTGTCTTTCTTACTTGTGTGTTCAACTATTTCTCAGTTATGTAGGATATTTAATTCAAATTTTTGTTATATTATATTTCTATCATTGTTAGTGAGAAGAAATCTGATTATATTGATTTACCAACTGCCTATTTACTATCATACGCAAGTTTTGTTTTTTCTTTTTCTTGCAGAAAGACTATATAACTTCGTTTACAAAGAAATTACTTAAGTGAAATCCTAAATATGATGGGGGTGGAAAGATTGTTGAATGCGTTAACCTACTTCCCCATTTCTCTTTTATGATTTTTGTAGGATTTTCATAAATTCACGTTATACTTATATATATTACAAGAAAGATTATCTTTCTTAGAAAATTTGACAAAACTTTTAGACAAAAGGAAAAAAAAAAAAATGAAGTGATTAAAGTTCCATTGAGGTGTTTGAAAACTCTTTAGACTCGTTATCGAAAAAATGGCAACCACACACACAACTATGACAGTATGACTACATTTGGTATAATGATTGATGTCAAACTTTTCTTACATGAAAGTTTATCGTTTGCTTCCCCCTATTTCATTCCTCAACCAAATATCGAATGTTTTACACGAAAGCTTATGCGCAAACTCTGGTTCTATTTAATGAATTTGATTTGATATTCAAAACAAATAGAAGATAGAAAATAATATTAAAGTAATTTTTTTTTTAAGAATTCCACATTTTGAAATAAACAAAATATATGATTATAAAGTGGGAAATGGGAATGATATGGATTCATCATCACCAATGCACTTAAGGGTATAGTAAGAAACCCACCAACTTGTGCAACCTCTGCTCCTATTGGCCGTTACAAAAGCTTCCTCGAGAAAATCGATTCAACATTTAGATTACTATAAGCACCTCACTCTCTCACGCAACTCATGCTTTTAATCTACCATTTTATAAATTACTCCACGCAAACAACAAAACCATTGTCCACTTACAATTTTTTTGTCATCTTCATAAACAAACAAACAACCATCTCTGCAAAGTTGGCTGAAATCTCTTAAAAAAAATCTTTCCGTTGTTCCAAATTATTCATTTTTTCTACGAACAATAATGTCAGAAACATCAAAGTCAGAGTCTTTAGATCCAGAAGTCTCTGTTTCTGAAGGGTTTTGTTCCAAGACCTTGATGCAGAGCATTGTTCATGAGCTGAAGCTGCAAATGAGAATTGGTTTGCCATTGGTGGTTATGAACTTGTTGTGGTTCGGTAAGATGACCACCACATCTGTGTTTCTTGGCCGTCAAGGTACGCTTAACCTAGCCGGAGGTTCATTAGGGTTTTCCTTTGCAAACGTTACTGGCTTAGCTGTTTTATATGGTATTTCTGCTGCAATGGAGCCTATTTGCGGCCAAGCTTTCGGAGCCAAGAACTTTAAGCTTCTCCATAAAACCCTTTTTATGGCAGTGCTCTTGCTACTCTTGATTTCGGTACCGATTTCTTTCTTGTGGCTCAATGTTCACAAGATACTTATTGGTTTTGGTCAAAGAAAAGATATTTCCTTCATAGCCAAGAGATATCTTCTCTACCTTCTTCCAGAGTTGCCAATCCTCTCTTTGCTTTGTCCACTTAAGGCTTATTTAAGCTCACAAGGTGTTACTCTCCCCATCATGTTCACAACAGCTGCAGCCACTTCTCTTCATATCCCCATTAACATAGTTCTCTCTAAGGCAAAAGGAATTGAAGGAGTTGCTATGGCGGTTTGGATAACCGATTTTATTGTTGTGATTCTTCTAACCGGGTATGTGATAGTCGCAGAGCGATTGAAAGAGAACAAATGGGAAGAAGGTGGCTGGTTGGACCAAAGTGCTCAAGACTGGCTCACACTGATCAAGCTTAGTGGACCATGTTGTCTCACCGTGTGCCTTGAGTGGTGGTGCTACGAGTTATTGGTCCTTTTAACCGGGAGGTTACCAAACCCGGTGCAAGCTGTATCGATCTTGATCATAGTTTTCAACTTCGACTACTTGCTTTACGCGGTGATGCTCTCTTTAGGCACGTGTGTGGCAACAAGAGTGTCCAATGAGCTCGGTGCAAATAATCCCAAGGGAGCTTATAGAGCAGCTTACACTACACTCATTGTGGGTGTTATTTCAGGATGCATTGGAGCGTTAGTGATGATAACATTTAGAGGTGTTTGGGGGTCTTTGTATACTCACCATGACCAAATCATCTTAAACGGCGTGAAGAAGATGATGCTGATAATGGCGGTTATCGAAGTTGTAAACTTCCCATTAGTGGTTTGTGGAGAGATAGTCCGCGGAACAGCAAAACCTTCGCTTGGAATGTATGCAAATCTTAGTGGATTCTATCTATTAGCTTTGCCTTTGGGGACAACTTTGGCGTTCAAGGCTAAACAAGGGCTTGAAGGGTTCTTGATCGGGTTATTGGTTGGTATCTCTGTCTGTCTCTCGATATTGCTCATCTTTATTGCGAGGATAGATTGGGAGAAAGAAGCTGGGAAAGCACAGATTCTGACATGTAAAACAGAGGAAGAACAAACTTCACAAGGTTCAGGACAAGATAGATAAGCTCAAGGACACTCAGAGAAGTATCTTCTAGGTAGATACTAGAGATGTAGTCAAATTTACCTTGTGAGAGTATTACTCTTCTTGTTGCAACTATAACAATATATGAATTGAGGATTTCAAACTTTGTATTATTGTATATATATATGAGCGGTACACTCTCACAAATCAAAATTGCTTTCCCAAATAATAAAAACTCTCTTTTACAGCTAAAATCTGTGGATATTCAAAAAAACTTCTGCATGATTTTGTAGAGCCAGATACATGAAAATGCTGAGTGATTGTTTTTTTGTGCCTAACAGAAAATTGAATTTGCCCAAAGAACAAGAGGGTAGAAGAACAATGAAATGATATCGTTCTACAAGAAATTGATATTTGGAGAGGCCCATTATTTTACATGTAAGTTACAAAACCTTACCGGGCCTTATCGAATGAACTTTATTTTGTCATTTCCCCTTTTGTCCCAAAAAATTCATCAAATCCTTTTGATTAATCTGTGAAAAGAGAATTTCATATTTAAGTTTTAGGTATACGAAGCTTCCACACCTATGATCTATGGATATATTAGCTAAAGAAGTTTTTCAATCTCCTACATTTTATGTATTTTACTTTTATACTCTTCGTTCTATTGTACAAATCATGTGGTTTAGAGAGTCGTATTACTTCTGCAAGTATTTTGAAATAAAGAATGATATATATATATATATATATTATATATATATATATTATATATATACACCAAACGAAAATAGATACTTAACCAATACAGCAAGATTATTGGAGTACAACCATTTGGTTCTTGGTGTTTTGGTAGACAAAGAACCTAAAGACATTGATTGTGTCTTGTGAGTGCCATGTGAATCGGAAACACATATCCGAGAGAAGTGTGGGGCACTCAAATCTCAACTTAGGCCTTATGTTAAAGCTTAACTTTAATAAAGTTTCACAAAAAAACTTTAATTAAGTTTGGTTTTGTATTTAATTTTTATTGGTGAAATTACTTAGTCTTAAATGTACGACCACGTTTATCGTTTTGTAGATCGATGTATAGACACACTCGGGTTATTTGGAGTTTTTAATATTTTGTCAACGTTTATTAATTATTTATAGCGTTGAGTTTTTGTTAAAACTGGGATGCACTATATATAAACCATTATTATGCGATATGTCAAAAGCCGGTTTTGAATTTAGACTATTTCTTGTGATGAACATTACTGAATTTAGGTCGTCGCATTATATACTAATTTGTGGAATCTATCGCATTGTTTGGAGGTCGAGTCTCTATAATTCTGATTGTTTCAAATTTCATGGCTAAATTGTTTAGGAGAATTTGTATAATCCGTGTGTAGACTTGTATATTTTCTCTGCTATAATTGTTTTTTCCTATAGTGGAATTAAACTTTTGCTTATAGAAATTTAAAAATATTACTTATACATAAAGTACTTATACATAAAGCTATTATATGTGTGTGTATACATATAACAAAATATATACAGTATATGCAAACATTCTAGTTATTCATGAGGAAATGAGATAGACTAATAAATTTTGGTATATGGGGAGAGGCCAAGAGGAGCATGAAGTGGTTTAACATCCCATGTGATGCATCATGCATGAGCTTGTGATGATGTTCCTTCTGTGCTAACACATATTTATTTCTCTTCCATTATTATTTAGTAAACATATTGTACGTAATTAAAAAAGGGTAAAAAATTGCATGAAAAAATGACATTATTATTAAACGGATTTTTTTTTTCTTTAACATAGAGAATCGGAGAATAATTTTACTTTACTTTTTGATTAAAATAGCAGACAATTCAATAACATTACATAACTCACCATCTTTATTTTATAAATAAATAGTCGATAAAAAAAATCACGTCATACTTTACTAATATGTTCATCATCAATCAAAAACGTGAATAAGAGAATGTCGTTAATTATCTGGAGCTTCCCTAGAATCCCTACACGATTGGGAAATCTTAAGAATAACTAATAACTTTTCATAAAATGAACTATTTACAAAAGTAAAAACTATAGAAAAACTATAAATTGACAATTAAAGGTAGTAGTTGCACCTATCTAAAAATTTTGAACAATATAAAATATTTTGAATATACAAACACAACAACTATACTCCTAATTTTGGTATATGATCGTGATCAGGCAGTTAGTTGTCGCTGTAATCATCGAATTGTAATGTTCATTTTCAAATCATAAAAATTCATCTTGTCTGAAGAACACTTTTTACATATTCTATTTTAAAAAATTTAAATGTTGGCTACAGCTGTAAATACGTATTATAATGATAAAAGTGATTAGAAGATGTCACTATCTTATAAATCTGTGAGTCAAATATTAAGAAAAGTGAATTATAAGAAATTGGCCGGTTCAAATGTCTGAACTTACAAGCCAAATAATAGTCCCACGCCACACTCTTCTCTTTGAAATGTCTTTGACAATTACTATTTTTAATTCATACTCTTCTTAATTCCGACTTACATTTTAAATAAATTATCGCACTCATTAGTATCAGATGTGAATGGGAATTTATATAAAATGAAACAAGAAGCATATTATTTTTATTTTTAATACGGTAATTCTGACAAGTGAGAAGTGAGAACTGTTGCATGCAGTGACCACATGTTCTGTCTTTGACCAAATCCTAATCCTCTCTATCTGTTCTCTGATATTTTTAAGATTTTCTAAAAGAATCTAACTCGACCGAGATCAACGGCTCAGATCTGACACATAAATATCAAGATCCACATAAACTAAGTGCGTTCCCACTTTCGTGGTTTCACCACTTACTGCGACGATTGCGGAATTTTTATCCTATAAAACTTTAAAGTTAAAAGTGAGTTTTTTCATCGACGAAAAAAAAATTTGATTACCTTCCAAACAAATGGATCCAATAACAAGTATCCGTATTAATTCTTCTAATTGTACTTTGTACATCCATTTATAAAATAGTTTAAATCTATAGCTATGCATACGTACGTCACGTATATATCATATTTTCTTGTGACACCAATAATCATTCGCTAAGAGCATGGGCAGTGGGGCAAGCAGGTGGGTGTGAGTCTTGGGGTGTAGGTATTAAAAAAACGAAAAAATTGTTTCTCTCTTCACACCCGGGTGTAACTTACACCCGGGTATAACACTTTTTCTCTCTATCTCTCTCTTTCTCTTTTCTCTTTTGCTTTAAATTATAATACTAAAAAAATACTTACACCCACACAAACACATTTGCCACTGCTGATGGTGTAAAATCCATGTCCGATCCCGGATTCAAGTATAGATAAACACTTTATTATGTATAAGAAAATATTATAATAGGCGTGACTCCATAAAAAGACGAAAACACATCGGTGCTACAAGCACTCAAGAAGACACGAATCATGTCTTCCCATTTAAATAAGTCTCGAACCTTCACTATATTTTCACATGACACTTTCAAACTTATTTCTAAGAGGTTTTTGCTTTATTGCCGTTACTAAATCATTATATAAATAGTGACAAGAATTTAATGTTATAACAGAACGACGGTTACGAATTATCATTTATGTGAATTGACGGTGAATATTTATGAAATATGTTTGTGTATCTTATGTAAAATTAAATAAATAAACGAGCTACACCGACCAAAGTCGCTCACATGTCGAATGGTACACGTAGGACCAACTTCTTCGACGCGCCTTCAACTACTTTTAAAGGTCGTTTCTTCTTGAACACATGATTTTTTCCAGCAGTTTTCTTTATTTATTCAACGCGTTTTTAAAATTTTTTTACTACCCAAGACTTAAATTTGAAATAAATCACAAAGTTATGCTAAAAATTCAAAATATGTTGTACATATGAAATGAATTTTATATCTCCCGTATAGGTTTCATATATTTAATCATTTAACAAGTGAAGTTGATAATTGTAATGCTACTGAAATGTTTTTATCGAAACAACAAACATGTGAAGGTGAAAAAAAGAGGAAGAACATTCTTACATGTGAAATCAAATGTTTTATAACCTAAAAATATCTGAGTGTGAACGTGAAAAAATTTGGCGGGAAGACAACCGACATTCCGCGGGAACCGGAGTTATCAACGGCTGTGTTTGTTTGTTACTACGCAAATCCCGTATACTAACGGCGTTAATTGTTTTTAACACTAAACGTCGTTAAATTTACCGTTGACATAAAAATCTTACAACTCTCACATGTGATATGCCACGTAGGATATCCGACCAAAGTGTTGTTCCCTTTGCTTTGTTGTATTGTACGGCCAAACTCAATTGTTTTTTTTTTTTTTTTGCTTCTTCTAATTTTTGTGAAAAAAAAAGGGAAGGTGGGTAAGAATCGAGGAGACATCCTTACCAAAAAAAAAGAATCGAGGAGACAAGAACGGAAAGTCTATGAAGAAAGATTTGTTTTTTTGAAAATTCTAATGGTTTAGATTTTTCTTTCTATGGGAGGAGCCCAGAGTTTTCCAAAGCAGGAACAGGTCAGCTTCTGTTTTTTTATTTATTTTTTTTCCCTAACGCCTACTTGATATTTTAATTAGAAAATACTATTTATATATTTATTATATTACCATTTATTTCTTATCCTATTAAATTCTTCTATAGACAGACTTGGAAGTAACTCTGCCCCTGGAGAGAAAAGAGAGAGAGAAAGAAGCTCTGTAGAAAGCACATGAATTGTTCTGGTTTTATGAACATCTGAAGAAGAAGAAAGATACAAAAGGGTGTTTCTGAGTTTTTTAAGGAATATTGTTTGAAACAAAGAAGCAAGAAGAAGAAGAATTGAAGAATAAAAGATGGAGTTATCTGATTGCTCTAATGAATATGAGAAGCTTGTTGTACGGATGAACATGCCCAGGTATATATTTTTTTAATAAAATCTTATTACTCTTTTTATCTTATAAAATTGATATGGAAGATTATCATCTTCTATGAAGAAACCACAAGATCTTGTTCCCAACCATCAACTTTTTTTTTTCCTTGTAATCGTCAAAACATCTTTTTTTTTTTTTCTTTTCAAAACATGATTTCTCTTCAAAGAAATTCCTAATTCCTTTATCTATCTTCGTTCTATATTTAATTTAATTTTCACGAGTTTGAATTA